TTAATTATCGAATACGGCTTATTGTAACAATCCCATCGAGAATAGAAGAGAATAAATGTACGAGTACAAGTTCAATGAATTTTTTCTGTTTATTTCTTATGATGCAATTTTCAGGTGTATCGAATTACAGGATAATGGATTTGCCGATAATTCAGTTATAGGTGTTGTAATAATGCATATCAGTTGGAGCAGAAAAATCGTTCTTCTTCGTAGCTTACGTGCGGTAATTCATTTGAATCTTTACAGGAATCCCAACCCACTATACCAACCCAAGTTGCAATTAGGGCTATATACTATATAGTAAAACAACATACCGTATTTCCACCACAGAAGAACCCCACCCCATCCCACCCCCTCCTCGATACAACAAGTTATTTAAAAACCTGTTAGCCTTATTATTGCAAATGTCCTTTAATGAGTTTACATTTGCAAAATAATGAAACTTAAGGACAAGTCACTATAGCATTGTTTTTCATAGTGTATGTGTGTGTTGGGGGGGGGGGGGGGGGTTAGACAGAAAATAATTGAAAGGGAAAAAGAGTTGCCTGAAAAAATCTTGAAAAAAAAAACACGAGAACTGAAGACTGGTAAGGGGGAGTGGGGGGATGGTCGATTCAAAATTTCGAATATATAATACGATACAGGAAGGTTCGATTGTACTGCAACAAAAATCGGAGGGGGGGGGGGCAAGGCTTGCAATGAAAATTCCGTACTAAGTTAGAAGCCAAAGGTTATTCTAAAAAGGAAGGGGGTACTACATTCCTATATTAGGTAGGACGAATATGATTTCGTTTGACAGTCGTGTTTAGTATCTACTACTCTTCTACAGTTATAATAAACCTCTGTGTAAGGTTACAACAGTTTTGGATTCTGCACATTCGCCTTGGGACTTTCCAACTTAAAAGGTTAGTAATAACACTCAGAGAAAATATGCGTCACTTATTTTCAATTGATTGTGGGATTGTTCATTTCTCACATGTATTCATACATAATTATATAAAGTGTTTGTCCAAAGTGGTTGAAGTGCATAAGCGTGCATAATTATATTGGACAAATCTTAATGCATAAAATCTGTCACGTAATCATGAAAAACGAAAGTATAAAAGAAAGGAAAATTGAGAGGGGAGGGTTTTCTTTCATATGACCATAATCATGATAATATTAATTTGAAGATGATAATAAGAGTCTTAGCGCCGTTCTTCAGGTTTCTATAGAAAGGGGGGGGGGGATGGGGAGTTAGGGGTAATCCTGACACAAGTCAATATTTTTTATTTTATTTTATTTGTTTATTTATTTTTTTAGACATGGATACCAGTTTGGTGGGTTCTGGTGCATTTTGGAACTCTTAAAATAATATTAAATCAATATTTAACCAATCTACTTGTATTACTTAAATCCAAACAATTGAAAATGAATTTATTTTCATTTTTTTTTTTAAATAGGGAGTTCGATCCCACCTTAGTTCCCTTCAGATGACCATAAAGTGGTCATATTAATTAAACAATCATTTCTTTTTAATGCTTCCCAAAGCTACACGTTTAATACAATAACTAAAAAAATAAATGGCATCTTTTAACCCCCATTAAATATTTTATTAGAATATCAGCTGTGAGAACAAATTGGAAGCAAACCAAAATTCCAAGCCACCCTTCAACCTGTTTGATCCAGATACCACCTCAGCATATGAAGCTACTTGTTGAACATGAAACCAATTTGCGAAAGAGCTTATCAAAATACCGATATACACAGATGAAGATATTTATTATCAGCGAGCAATTCTGAAAGATATCTGGAGGAATATAAACACACGGCCGTACAATGCTGATTCTTGAGTGTTTTTACGAGTTTAAGTCCCCATAGGAACCTCTACCTCTGTTTTCAATCAGGTCAATGCCTTCGAATGACATTGACATGTAAAGATGAACATGCAATTTCCATGTCAACGGGGTGCATTGTGGGAAAAGCATGTATCAGATACAACATTTGTGCATTTTAAAGAAATACATTTGATTTTTTTTCCCAGAATAATCAACTGTTTAAAAAAAAAAAACTAAAACGTATACTTATCTACGAAGTATAGTTGTTCCCTTCTCTCTGAAAGGGAACGCCTTTCTTATCTTTGCACTCACCTTCTGAATATATAGGCATGATCCCTGGTCGTATCCCCCTTGCAAGCGAAATCCCCATTGTGATCCCGACTGGTTTCTCCTCAAACGAATGAGAATCGGACCGTCGCTCATTTTTACACGTCCCTCGAAAAATAGAGCTAGAAACCTGAAAGAGGGCTCGTTTCTATCTGCGTGTGTAGGCGGGGGGTTACTCTGGTTTGTCTTATCTTCAGAAACACTCGCTGGATCTGCAGTCGTGTATAAACAATCTACTCACAGCCGAAAGAAAGTAGTCAGCATTATTTATACATGCTCGTGGACGACTACAATCGAGTGTCAGTCAAGAAAAATGTCAAGTGTCCCCCTCTGTGTCCGATTGTTCTCTGAACTGTGACTAATGGTACAGAGGAGGGATTAAAATAAATCATTCGGCGCCTATCCGAGAAATGGGATGATTCGTGCAAGAATTTATAGCCCAGTTTGTTAATAAGGGTTAAAAAAAAAACTGGTATATAATGTATTTTTATCATTAAAGATGAAAAATTTGACAAGAATCGAAATTCAGTTCAAAAGAAGTTGAAGAAAAAAGTACTAGATAATTATAAAGATAAAACTATGGACAAAATGTCTAAATTCACAGAAAACTCCAAACTATACATATATACATGTACTTAATTGTACAGTAAAATAAAACACATTCTCAGTATGGAGGAATATCTTACGCTTGAAAACAGTTTCAAGAATAGGCAATTGCTGACTAAATTTCAAACTTGTAATTGACCATTGCCTACTGATAGAAACCGGTAGACATAATTAAGAAAATACCTCGACAACAAAGATTATGCACTTCATGTAATGCTATTGGTGACGAATTTCATTTCTTTTTACAATGTAATAAATTGTAATAATATACAAGCAAGGGATATACTTATAAAAACCATGCTAGATATCTCAAATCGCCCATACAGATTTATATATATTATAGTCCAACACTTGAAGTTATACCGGCTTTTTGCACTTATATAAAACAATCATTAGAATTAAGAAATAAAAGGTCCACAACGGTGTAACATATAAGGAGTGAATTACTTAAATTGCGCCTATCGTATATATAAATTCATTGTTCTCTGATATATATTTTTTAATGATGGATTGTATTGCTTGACCCATATGGGTGTATTATGCAATAAAGAAAGTATTATAATAATTATAGTAATTAGAGTGCATGATCTATGCAAATAAATGTGAATAATTGTATGTATAGAGGCCTTTAGTATTTAATCTTTTTAATTAAACCTAATGAAAAAAAATAGCGAACTACAGTACTTATATATTAACATCTGGATTCATAACTGGACTGATAAAATTCAATTCGGGGATGGCCTTGTCCATTTCTATATAAGTAACTGTAAAGATCGAACAATGTTCGAATGATGTTTCCTTAAGGATGGAGAATAACGTACGTTATAATATTATCACAATATCAAAAATAAAAGGATTTAATCATTGAACATAGTTGAGGAGGAGGGGGGGGGGGCTTTCTCCCTCCGAAAGCAGCATTATGTGATGCGTTGCGCCAGACTGAAAAGCCTAAAACTTTCATTTTAGTCAAGTTATAATTTTCGCTTGGCAAGTCATCGATTCTTCATGATCACTAGTTGTATAAAAACTTGGCTGTGGCTTACATAGTTATAAAGACTCGCTATCTATCGCTGCTCAGACCGTAGGTAGTAATTTCAGTTGGGGGCACAACCAAACATTTTTAATGGGCGGGGGGGGGGGGGGGTACTATCCAGCAAAAATTCCTTGACAAGCAAAAAAAAAAGTCATTAGACATTTTTATAGATGGGGGCTGTGTTATGCAGTATCTATGAAACGAAAATTTGCAAACATGTAAATAACATAACCATACAATTTTATCCAAGCATTTTTTAAAACACGGACGTCAGAGGCCAGGGAGTTGTTTCCTACTTCTTATCTGGGTATTCTTTTCCAAAATCATATTCATGAGACAAGTATTGGCTATTTTCTGTTTGCATAGCACAGTTTAACGATATCAGTATTGAAATCTCTTTTATCATCCACTATAAAAACTTACTATAACTGACTTTTTGCAATTTAACTTTAAGGGGGGCACAACCATATTTTCAGTTGGGGGCACTATCAACAACCAAAATTCCTTGACAAGCAAAAAAAAAAAAAAAAGGTCATCAGACGTTATTATGAGAGGGCACAGTCATATAGTAGCTATTTTTTCTATAGTAATCTATATATCGGCAAAATTATTGGGGGCCACGCCCCCCCTCCCCCCCGTGCCCCCGTTTCCTACGGCCATGTAATTAAAACTTAAAAAAGAAAAAGGATATGACGTTATAGTATATGTTTATATGTTTATATCATAATATATTGAGAGCAGAATATTATAAAATACAATTGTTTTGTATATATTATATTACTGTGCAAAAATATGCACATCCAAGTTGGGACATATTTGTTGAAACAGCCTGTATTTTCTTATACCATAGAAAAGGTTTTTTGCGATCATAAATTTGAATTCTTGATATTAAAAAATAATATTTGATATCAAATAATCTATTTAATATCAAAATAATATCTAACATCGAGACTTGAAGAATTCGATTTTTAACTGTCAGAAAACCATTTTCTGAAATAATATAATAGATTTTCTGATACCGGAGAATGAAGTTGTTTATATCAACAAATCATATTTATAATATCAGAAAAAAAGAGATTATTTGATAAAAAAAATCTTGCAAGCTATCAAATAATTATTCTCTCAGTCTGATATCAGATATTATTTCTGACATATAGATATAACTATTTCCATGCATAGACTAGCAATTCACGCATCGCAAGTCTAATCATTTAAATATTAGGTCGGGTTCGATATGTCAGTTATCTAATATGGCGGCAAGTTTGTTGGATGATAATTTGCGGTCTCTACACGAGTGTTTGACAGCCGCCAACAGTGCATCCAAGGAGCAAGCAGATGGCATTGTAGCAGATATAAGTCAAATATGCATCAACGAATCGACAGACAAAGATATAGGTAATGACACTTAATACTAGACAGTAGTCAGCTATTTGTGTGGAGGGTACAAGACCGGGGAAGGTGTGCTGATTTTTACGTTCATCTGTAAACTCCGCCAGTGCAAGAAAAGTAAAATGCCATCTGTTAGTTGCCTTTTCTATGGTGGCATATTTCTGCCCCTTGTGTGCAAGTTATTTTTCTATCAAATATGTCGACATGCAAGATAAATATGTTGACATGCAAGATAGTTATGTCAACATGCAACATAAATATGTTGACATGCAAGAAAATTGCAATCAAATAAGAATTATAAAAGATCTAAAAAAAATCTCAAATATAGCCCACATGTGACATCCAACATGCAAGATGCTACTTACTTATGTCAACATACAAGTTATTTATGTTAACATGCGAGATAAATATGTTGGCATGCAAGTTATTTATGTCAACATGCAACTTAGATATGTTAACATGCTACTTAATTATGTCAACATGCAACTTATTTATGTCAACATGCAACTTATTTATGTCAACATGCAACTTAGTTATGTCGATATGCAACTTGGTTATGTCAACATGCAATTTAGTTATGTTGACATGCGAGATAAATATGTTGACATGCAACTTAGTTATGTTGACTTGCAACTTATTTAAGTCAACATGCAATTTAGTTATGATAACATGCTACTTATTTATGTTGACATACGAGATAAATATGTTGACATGCAACTTATTTATGTCAACATGCAACTGAGTTATGTTGACATGCTATGCGGGATAAGCAGGGCTCATGATCATTGTTAATAGTTAAAGTGACTGCAACCTAGCAGTCTACAATGACTCGTATAGCTTAAACAATTAAGCTACGTTTTTTATGATTTTCAATTACTTTATTATGTTGCTTTAGTTTGGTGCCGATTCACTGTTTTTGTACCATTTACACATGCATTATCAAAATACTTGCGTGTATCTGAACAACTCTGAAGTTTTAATATGCATGGTTGTTATTTTCTGAGTTTTGTTATTCTCTTTTCACTTCACATGCTTACATTGTGCTCCCGAGAGGAGTTATTTTTAGACAATTTGTGTACATTATCTTAATCACCATGGTTTATATATCATTTTCAATGTGCATTTTGTTTGATTGTTTACCTCAAAATAAATAAGTCCCGGTGGTTGATTTTTTTTTTATCAATACACTTGAAGATCATTTTTAATAGCATCCAAATTTGCCACATTTCTCTAAAACATTACCCTTTTCAGTTTTATTCAAATTGAATATTATTAATAAATTCATTTTTCCCCATATATGATATCTGAATTAAAACCTGGTGAGTTCAATGTAGAGAGGGTATTAGAAAACAACTTGCTTTATCAAAGAGAAATAACAGGGTGTTTTAATGTACCAAATGACTCATTTACGTTACATTTGCTAATTTCAAATTGAAAACAAATATTTGGAACTTTATTAAGACTCTTAACGCAAGTTTTTTTTATATTTTATTTAAGTGATCTGGTATGATTAATAGTCATCGATTTTAAGTTTTCCCCCATATTGCCACTTTTTTTTTATTTGGTTGCAATAGTTCAATTAGAAAATTAAAAAAAAAAAAAAAAAAATCAAACACAAAAGTTGGAGGGTTTTTTGTATTTCATTTCAGTTAGTCTTGTGATTTATCAAAGTTCAGCAACATTTATTTTTTTAAGAAATCTTAACAACCCTTGTTTTTTATTTAAAATCAGTTATTTTTTTTTTAAATCAGTTATGCTTCCAAACTGTAAAAATGTTGTCGAGCGCATTGAAGCAGTAGCGGATATATATATATATATATATATATATATATATATATATATATATATATATATATATATATATATATATATATATATATATATACTAAGTATATAGGTCCCTGATTATATGTATTAATTTTTAAAGTGGAAATATATATATTTTTTAATGTGTGTATATATAATTGGGAAAAGAGTACAGACATGGTCCATCTAGATACTTAATTGCATATACATGACAAAGGGGGAAATTTTATCCAGAAAATGGATTTTTAAAATTTGATGCATAAGTATCACAACTAGAGATTTTTATTGATGGTTTAAAGATGCCAGTGTCAAACCTACAGTTGAGTATACTCAAAAATTAGGATTTTTGTTCCCCTGACAACTTTTAGGAAAACCTTTCACATGCACTGTTTACATGCATTAATAAATAAAATTGTCTTTAAAACTTTTCCTTATTTTCAAAATTTGAAAGTTTGATTGATGAAAAGTGTATGCACGTGTTGCAGAATAACATAACATGTAGTACCAAGGAACAACAGAATAGTCAAACTGGAAAGGAGACAAAATGGGAAAATATTGAAGACAACTAATATTACATTCTACTATAAAAGAGAGAGAGAGAGTTAAATCATAGTCTTATCCTCTATTCAAATCTGAAGTGCTATAATCTGAAAAGTCAAATTTCTGATGAAAATAACTAATAAATTAATCTGTTTGTCATTTGGGAATTTTTACCTCAGAGTCAACTAGAGTCAATTTTTAACACGGACTGGGTCCTTTTACAGCACCTGCATGCAATGATGTTAAAATTTTGGTAATATATATTTTAAATGAATGTAAATGTAGCTGCAATAGGTAATATTTGTTTTCTTCTTTTTTAACACAGATTTATGTTGTTCTATTTTGTTCGACAAAAGAAAAGGACTGGTCTCATTTTTATCTGAAACAGTCACAAAGGAAGAGGTAAATAACTGAATTCATTATGTTCTCTGGTTGGGTAATTGTTAGACCCATGTATTGAAATGATTGATACAGAGAATAAGATTATATTAGATTCCAGAATAACAGGAATTCCATATCCAGGTTTTACTTAAGGTTCATCATCTCTGAAATTTTGCTTTAAAGCTTATGATTTCTCAGAAATTTAGTGATTGATTTACAATGCACACAATTTCAACATACTTTGCAGGGCAAAATTTGACAGAAATAGTCTTTTAACTTGACAGTTTTATAAAGGAATAATAGTCATTTATCCATATGATAATTATTGCTCTTAACAAAAGGACAATGTACCTTAATGATATAATTACAGTTTCAGACATGCAAACAGAAAATCTTAGAATTTCTATCAGAATTTATTCAAAAGATAGAGAAGAAAATCATCCCATATGTTTTTGACATCAAGGTAGGTATTGGTATATATAATTTGTCTGTTTACCAAAGACAAATGTAAATTTATAGAAGAGGTCTATTCTTTTTATATACAATATATATGTGTGCATTCAGAAGTGATATTAACAGCAGAATGAATTTTAGGATGTATGCATGTCTCTTTTCTTCCGTGAGAGGTTGACTAAAATAAAGAACTTGTCTGTGCCTGTTCTAGCAAAAGTAAGTGTAGCTGACTATCAAACTGTTATTAAATTTTCACTTATTAAATGATGCATGAAGAAGACAGACTATTACCACTTTTGCAAACATTGTATAAAATGAAAATAGGGGTTATTGTCCCATTTTATACAATTAATTATGCTGTTTCTTTCTCATATGAGTCATTTTTTAACATTTTTGGCATTGTCATTTTTTTCTTTAACTTCGTTCAGATTCTGAATGGGACTTGCTGATTTGACAAAATTGCATTAAATTTTTTTTTAAAGTGGCCAATGAACTGTGTTATTATATACATTCATCATATTCAGAAGAATAAAGCATGTAAAGAAGTTGACCCAGAAAAATCATTAAATATTGGTCCTTAAAGCTTGTGGAGTAAATTAAATTTGCATGTTGTGTAATTTTTAAAACACTTGTTGATGTATTTTAAGGGAATTCCTCTTATATATTTCTAGGTTTTAGAATTGTCTGTAGGGTCTGCTAGTGCCCAGGATCTGGGAATCGATAAAATGGTCAACAAATTCTTCATGGAATTAACAAAGAGTGTATCCAAACTACCAGCATCAGGTAAACCCCAGTAAAAGTTTACCAAAACAATTAGTGTGATGTTGAACTTTGTGTGATGTGAATTTTGATTATACTTTATAAAGGGGATATTCAGCAAGCATCTATATGTATTTTTGGCATAACGAACCCCCACCCCCTCCCAAAGAAAAAACACTCAAACCAGGAAAAAAAGCCAAAAAATAAGATTTATATTGTATATTTTGAAAAGCAAAGGATCAGTAAAATAACTTTTGCTTTTTTCCACCCAAAAGAAAAAATTTTTAAGTGTTTTTGATGTTTTGTTTTTAACAGTGAAGGAGAGTATTTATGTGATTTTGGGACTTTTAGCTGAGATTTACCCAGAACACATGACTGAGTATGCCGGTAAACTAACAGACATATATCTTAGAGCCCTTAAAGCAGAGGTTGGTAACTATTTCAGAAAATGAAGATTTTTTTTTATTGAAAAAAGGAATTGAGGATAGAATGAGTTTACTGGCATTCACAAAAATACATGTGGATCTCTTCTCTACCTTTTACATACATAGATGACTAGTAAAACAAAGAAGCCAGAATTGACAGTGATCAGTGGTTGTCTGGAGGGTCTGGCCAGTTGTCTTGTCAATTTCACAGTGGATGAAGGTGAGTAATATTATATATCAAAACAGTACATATAGAGTAAAGTCAGGGTAAATGAATTTTTTATTTATTGTAAATATATTGTGAAGATTGATTGTGGGTTTATTTTAAGTATACTTAATCTATATTATTTGGTATACAGATTTATCATAAGAATAAGTCAAGTTCTATTTTGGATATGATCGAACAATTTTTTGACAGAGTTATGCCCCTTGGACCTAGAAAAATTCCAATTATTTGCAGTTTCCATTCATTTTCTTCGCAGAGGTTGCACATACTGAAATGAAATTTGGTACACATGGAATACAGATTTTATCATAAAAATATCTAGGTCAAGTTCTGTTTTGGGTACAATCGAGCAATTTTTGACAGAGTTATGCCCCTTAGACTTAGAAAAATTCCAATTATTGGGGGGGGGGGGGGGGGGGGGGCATAAGTGTTTCACAAACATCTCTTGTTTTTAAATGATACATTAACTCTGACAATTCAAATTTCATTAAAGTGTTGCTTAGGTGGAGAAATGAAGAAGCAGTTCAAACTATAACAACCCCTGAAGTTCGTTTTTCCTTAACCAACGTATTATTACTTTTCTTTTATTTAGACTCTTCAAACAGTTATGAGATATTCAAATATGCCCGAATGGCCATAGATCCTGATATAAACTATACACGTTATGATGTCCCCAGAGCTGGCCTTAAACTGTTTGCTAGACATTCTGCCCAGTTTAGATCTCAGTTAGCAGATGACTATCAGGTATAGAAAGAAATTTACTGTATTCTATATATCATTGTGATGGTACATGTACATATATCCCCTCCTCCCAATTTTACAGTAATAAAGGATATGAAATGTACACATTCTTGTTTTAGTGCTTTTTAGCTCACCTGAGCTTAAAGCTCGAATGAGCCTCTCTGATCACATTTGTCTGTAGTCCGTCTTTCCGTCTGTCTGTCTAGCTGTCTGTCTGTCTGTCAATCTGAAAACTTTTCACATTTTCGACTTCTTCTCCAGAACCACTGGACCAATTTCAACTGAACTTTCCACAAAGCATCCTTGGGTGAAGGAGGTTCAAATTTTTTCAAATGAAGTGCCATACCCTCATTCAAGGGGAGATAATTCAGAAATAAAGAAAATTTGGTGGCATGTTTTAAAAATCTTCTTCTCAAGAACCACTGGGCCAAAAAAGTTTAAACTTATTATAGAAAATCTTCTTTACATAGTGAAGATTCAAGTTTGTTCAAATGATGACCCCTGGGAGTAGGGTGGGGCCACAATGGGGGATCAAAGTTTTACATAGGAATACATAAAAAAAAAAAATATAAAATCTTCTTCTCAATAACAGCGAAGCCAAGATGAGTTATATTTATATGGAATCACCCTCAGGTAGTATTTATTCAAGTTGTTCAAATCAGGACCCCCAGGGGTAGGATTGGGCCACAATGGGCAATCACATTTTTTCTTTCCATCTTCTTCTCAAGAACAGCAAAGCCATGATTGGTCATATTTATATGGAAGCATCCTCAGGTAGTTTAGAATCAAGTTTGTTCAAATTATAACCCTTGGGGTTGGGTGGGGCTACAATGTACAATCAAAGTTTTACATAGGAATACATAGGAAAATTATTTAAAAATTTCCTTCTAAAGAACAGCAAAGCCATGATTGGTCATATTTTTTTATGGAAGCATCATTAGATAGTGTAGAATCAAGTTTTTTTCAAATCTTGACCCCTGGTGGTAGGGTGGGGCCACAACAGGGGATCAAAGTTATACAAAGGAATATAAGGGATATATCTTCTCAAAAACAGTAAAGCCATGATTAGTCATATTAATTCAGAAACATCCTCCAGGTGTTGTAGATTCAAGTGTGTTCAAATCATGTCCCAGGGGGTAGGGCAAGGCCTCAATAGAAGATCAAATGTCGGGACCACTTTAAAACTTTTTAATACTGAACTGATTTCTGCTTTTTCCTAGCCAAAGTGCTCATGTGAGCAATGTGGCCCATGGACCCCTATCTTATACTTTTTACGTTGCTACCCTTATTTACATATATACGCTGCCTATGGATGTTCATCTATTTACTCAGTTAATTCATATTTTATTTTTGCTTATTGATAATGGCACATTGCCTACTCAAAATGTAAAAGGATTCAAAATTTCTGCCAGAATAAGTAAACTGTGCATTAAACAAATACATACCTGTACATGTGCATTTATAGTAACATGCCAAACTTTATATTGACAAAATTTTTATGTTTCCTTCAAGTCCATTTGTTTTTAGTGGATGTAAAAATAAGCATGCAGGACCATTGTTAAGTAGATTTGTTAAAATAAAAAATTGTGAAAGTGGAAAAAACCAAGCCTGTAAATATAAGATCTGAAATGGAGAATATGAACTCTTTTTCAGATAAGATATGCATATCTCAAATTTATGACATTACTTTCAGGGAATGTATAACAAACTGAAAAGCTGGAGTAAGCACAACAATAGAGATCTGCTTCATCTGGGTACTGCAGCCATGGAGGCCTTCTTAAATCAGGTACAAAATTAAAACAAGTCTCAAAACCATAGGTGGTCTAAGGTAAGTATTCCCATAATGAAAATTTGACAGTTACCCTTTACATTTCACCATAAAAAAAATTATTTTGATTAATAAAAGTATTTAAAAATAACATGGAAATATGTATCAATGTCTTTTTTCTTTTGTAAAATCTTTTAGATATCAGAAGTTCTAGTAACCAAAGCCAAGGAAGGAAAGAGAGAAGGGGCAGTGTTTAAGGTATTTGTAGGTCCCTATTAACTCTATATTCTACTTTGTTTTTTGAGGCACTTTAACTGAACGATTTATTCATCCTTTTTCCAGTTTTTTGTGACAAAGTTTCGAGAAATCATGAATGACAGTTCTGCGAGTTCTAAAGAGCTGTCTTTAGCTATCAGAGGATATGGCTTGCTTGCGGCAGTGAGTAGAGATTTCATATATTTTATTTAAAAATGTCAGTGCTTTTGTGAAATTTTATCTTGCATTTATTATTATTCAACAATTATTGTTGACAGCCATGCAGAGAGTTCCTGGAGCAGACTGATGTCCAGTTTATGTTCAGTGAGATGATAACTAAGAGTGAACAGCTGTATCTGAGGTATACTACACAAAAAACTATAACATAGCCCCTAGATGCAGTGAATCAAGAATTAAGATACAGTATGGAAATTTATACAGGCAATTAGTACTTGCTTGAACATGTATTCCTTAAGCAATTTAGTATTTCTGAAGATATTTCAATCCAAAATCTAACACCTAGCAGCTCGGCGAGCTGTCTGTTCAATGGAACTAGATTTTCACCACTTAGCTGCTAGGTTAGCTGCTATGATCTTAAACGCATCCCTGGTATGCATGTTTCTTTGTCGTACTATTATCACTGTTCATATAATTCGTGTAACAATGCTTTTGAATGTGAAGGATTGACTCTTACATTTTTCATTGTAACAAAATATCTGTGCTTCTAGATCCTGAATGTTTTTCTTTGTCTTACTTATAAGCTCGGAGAAAGCAGATGTAGAGGACAAACTTTACAGCTTGCCAAGCTACCTTGAGGCATTGGCCAATATCATCAGAGAGCTAGACCATGTAAGAGCATAGATACATTTTACATGTTGCTGTTTGTAAAGTTTAATGTGCCATTATTGAGATACAGTCAAGGTAATGTTTATATTTTTCTTAGGTACCAGAAACTTATGCCACATCCATTGAGCGCCTTATGATCATTCTGGCTGAAAATTTTCCCACAATCCATCAGAAGCAGCATTTTGTGGCTGTGAAGTCCTTACTGTGGGTGCTGATAACACTTATGCCAAAAGGAGAGGTGTTTTCTCAAGTTCTGAGTGGCTTTGGTAAAAATATATTTCCTTAAAACAAGAATTCAAACAGGCATTAAGATATTAAGAATCATACCTAATTGAAATTTGTTTTTTACTTTGAGGTTACAGTCTAGAAGATACCAAGGTGAACTGAAGGTGTTGTTTCTTCTATCATTCTTCTATCATTGAACAATGCCATGTATGATTTGACTTTTACAGTGTACCAAATGCTGATCCGAACCTGTTCCCATCCTCCAGTGATTGAAACAGAAGACATGACAGAAAGCAGTCAGTCAGAGCAGATGGGGAACAAGGTGACATACAAGGACTTCATTGAGATGTGGGACACCCTCTTCAACAGTCCCAGAATCAAGGTTAAAAAGCACTCAGTACCAGATAATTAATTTCATCCAGGTAATCCAAGGATTTGTTATGTGATAGTATTCAAAGTTTGGTTCAGAATTGTATCAAGTTCAGAAATCTTCAAAGGACAAGGTATGGTAATGGCCAAATTTGGCTCATTATTTGAAGTAAAAATCAAGGCACAGTTAAAATTGTGATAGTTTGCAGTTAAGAACTTTAAATGTTACTTGTTTATAAAGTAGCACTAATTTTGATTCAAAGAGTACATAAGAAATGCCAAAGTAGGACATATGTTTACATATTTAATGTCAAGATATGAAAGCTAACCTTTATTATTGATGGATATTATTTTTCTTTTTTTTTTTTTTACAGGAATTCAGTGTGGCAGACATCAGTGTAGAAATGAGGCTGGCACTCACAGAGGAGATATACAACAAGCTTATTGAATCCTTGCTTAAAATGCTGGGCAAACTTGACCTGACTTCACAGTCCAGCACAGAAGTCGCACAACAACAAGTAAAGTTTTTTTTTCTGTGAATACAATTGCAGTCTTTGTAAATCAGTTAATATTTGATTAAGTGTGTAAAGATTCAGAATATTTTTTCCATTTAAAATATGTCCTTTTATGCTTATAAGAGTTAATGTAAACAAATGGTACATCTGTTCAGTCTCATAAAAAACTCAATGCATATAAATATGCAAATTTTCCTTCCAAATTTGGTGGTTTAAATTTTCCATACACAGATTTGTTTTTGTTATAGGAAGGGTCAAGTGCTGATGACCCACAGGATGTGTCCAGTGATCCACTTCATGGAATGCAACCCAGCAAGCCCAAAGACTTCCAGATCTTCATCAACCTTGTTGATTTCTGCAGGTCACACACAAATGCCAATTTCCTTAAAAAAATCATGCTCATGTTAATGACTATACTTCAACTGTTTTCAATTTAATTTCATTGAATATCTTATAATTAGTTTTCAATTTATTAGAAATACAGCACCATAATTTCACTAGTAAAATGTTAATGTTCTTGTTCAGGGAGGTTCTTCCAGAGAAGCATTATGGGATGTTTGAGAAATGGATGTTTCTATTTTGCCACACCTTAATTCTTCAGTCTACAGAGTAAGGACAGTTCATCAGATTTGTGTTACAATAGAAAAACTCTGTAAATTTAGTAAAGACAGAGGTAAATCTGGAGTGCATACTTTGTAGGATTACTCTATATTTTCAAGTTGTCCCACATGAAAAGCTTGTATGCGCCATATGTTATGCAAGAAATTTACGATTTCTGCAGTTGAGTTCGTCAAGTGTGTCAGGTTCAAGGTTTTAAAAATATGATCAGGTTTAATTTTGTAATTAGTTTTTAAATGGTGTCAAATGAAGAGAAAGCCAAATTATTTAAAGTTACTTTTATTGGACATTATTATACACATACATATTGTCAAAATAGATATTACAATACTCAAAGATTGTGAAAAATTCGGAGGGGAAAAAAAAAACAAAACATTAAACAAAAAAAAAAAGAGGAGGAGTTGTTCCACTTTCACAAATTTCTAGATTCACCTCTGTAAATATAATGTATTGCTAATTATTATTTTAAATATTAAGCCAGATATAAAACTCAAAAGGTACAATGTACATGTATTTATTGATAACTGTATTTTGCTTTTACATTTCAGAAAGCCTTTGGTCAGTGGATACTATAAATTGTTGGCAGTCTGTATGAAGATTGCAAATAAACTGAATTACTTTCAGGTATGAAAAATATTAAAAAGCCAAAAAATATTAAAAATTGATTATGTTTACATTCAGTTAATTACTTTTAATTCACATAACTGAGAGATATGAATTTCTTTGAACATTTAAGAAAAGTAACTAAAGTATCTTTCAGTTATTAAGAATGAGTATTATTATTATGCTATAGTTTCATGTTATTAGTCCCATCAAATTCACACAAAAATAATGCTTTCACAAATAAAACTTGATTTTCGATTATTTCTGACTTTTATATGGTTAAAAAAAAATGTTTCAACCATAATCTGTTATATTTATTGAATTCATTGAGTTATATCTGAATGCCTCTACATGACTTTACCATTCTTTCTTTTTCAGGGTATGGTTAGCCTTTCCCCAGTGAAGAAAGAAGTAAAAATGGAGGTGGATTCTGATCAAAAAACAGACATCCATCAGAAGGCAACCTGTTTCCAGCTCATTCAGAAATTCACCAAGGAGGTTAGAAATCTCTCATTTTAAAATAATATAGACATACATGTGATATGTACAGGCTGTACACAAAATGTACAGTTTTTTGAGCCCATTCATCGTGTACTGGCGGGACACCAAAATTCACGGAATATGAAAATTTGTACAGTATTTTGAATTTCTCGCTAAATGCCGCCATTTTCCTCTCATTCTCGCTCGCGAGACACTGGAAAACGTCACCTGTGTTTGACACTTGACCTTCTGATAATTGTGTAGTGTACACAAACCATCGCGTGCGAAGGTGTGAACTGCCAATTGGGATAATTATCTTGCTATAAATCCGTATCAAATACCCCTTTAGGTAGCTTTATTTTTTAAGGGGTACTTAATTACTGTTAATGTTTCGTATACGTAACTTGATTGAAAAAAATTAAGCCAACTTCTAAAGTTGATATACATGACTTTAGTCTTAATATACGTGAATCTGACCCAGATCTTCGTAGGTATAAAATATACGATGTTTATTACAATGATTACGATGGAATTTCAGAAGAATTTAAGCGATATTTTATACCATTTTTTTGTACCGTTTTTTGATAGGCAGTGTACAGTTTTTTCACCCAAATTCCAGTTTTTTTATGGCTCCTGTACAGTTTTGTGGTCTTTGACTTATCACATGTATGTATAGATTAGATATAAAAAATTTTGTGAAGATTTTTAGATTACTAAAGGTTAAGGTTCATAAACCCTCTGCTCACTCTAACAAAATTTAGCTTTAACTTTTATGATTTTCCTAGAGAAATGTATTTTATAAGTAAAATACAAACAATTCTATCATAGCTTGCGGGGCAAAATTAAACAAAAAAGACATTTCAACTTGGCAAATCTATAAAGAAATAATAGGCATTTATGTAATTAAGAGTTAATTAAGATACTCTTATCAGAGTATCGATGAACCTTAAAAGTTCAACAGTTGTAAAAATCAATACTCCACTTGCATGTAGGTCCTTGTGAGGATGAAGCAGTACAAAGATGACCTGCTGGCAGCCTGTCTGACCTTTATTTTAACCCTCCCCAAAGAAATTGTCTCTGAGCAAATGTCCAGTGTGGTACCAGCGATACAGGTAAAATACAAACATCTCAATTTTAAAGGGAGAGAATATTGATAATAGTATTTTACCAAATGGTTTTACATTGTGTGTTATGTATGATTATTCTACGTCTTTTGTTTCAGTTGACATTGTCGATAGGTCTTGGTTATCTGCCCCTAGCTATGATTGCATTGGATGCCCTGAATTATTGGTCTGACACCCTGCCTCCCTCTGTAATACAACAGTACTACCCACAAATCCTGCCATGTCTGGACAGCTACCTTAAAACTATGGACCAAGGTTAGTGACTTTATAAATCAGTTGAAGATTATTTTTAGGATTTTATGGTAGGAAATCTGTTTGAATGTTCATTTTTTTTTTAAATTAAAAAAAAAAATCTTTTCTGACTTTATTTCCTTGGGCTTCAAAGCAGAGGTACATGTATGTAGCCTTCTATGCCTCTGACTTGTACAATTAAAAATAGTAAAAATCTTTCATAAATTTTATGTATGGGATCGAAGGAGAAAAGAATATTTAAGCATGTTTAATAATATGTCTAGTGTACATTATAAATTTGTCTTTTGAGTGTTATTTGTTAGTTTATCTTGAGTCTCTGTATACCCATGATCAAGGTATCATGATTTGTAGCTGAACTTTAAACTATCAATCATTACAGAATATAAAATGATATCTTTTTGACAGGAGCTGATGATGTTAGTGTAAATACTATGGAAATGGCAAAAGGAAAAAGTGGAAAAGGTAGAAAGAAACTGTCTGTAAGAATCATCAAAGGACCCAAGACAGAAACCAAACAGGTAATACCAAAAGTCACTGTACACTATTATATGCATGCTGTTGTAATTATTTTTGAATGATACCTACACTTTTGACCTCCTCTGTATTTTGGTGCAGTGTTAAGATTAGGTATTTCTTTATAGGCTTTTCAGACTCAGATAGCAGAAGTGAAACAAAGAGTGATGAATTACTTAGGGAGACTTGGGGGAGAGGTGAACCATACCCTCCTGTCTGGATGTGATGTTTGTGAGGAGGCTATCTCGTGGGACACGGAACAACATCTCCGATTTGATGTGCCATTTATTGATATGAAGCCTCAGATATATTTTGGTGAGGTCATGTGATTTTTGAATAAAAGACACATTCATTGGGTTATCATGTCAGATTCATGGTTCATTTGAAGTAATAGGCATTCATTCAAAGTGCAAAAAGTATTAAAAAAAAATTCTAAACTTAACAAAATGAATTAAAAGATGTGCTTCTAGAACTTCAGAAGGCTCAGAATTACAAAAAAAGGTTTTGAGAGTTATGTGTTGCAGTCTGATTATGTGAATAGGAATGACTGAGACTAGGGTCATTAAAATTGTAAGTGCTTATCAGACTGTGTACTTTGTAATTAGTGAATTCTCTGTCTTTAAGACCCATTCCTGCCTCGTATAGTGGAGCTGGCCACTAAATCAGGAGACAGACAGACGAAGGTAGCTGCCTGTGAACTGCTTCACTCCCTAATACTGCTCAGTATAGGACGCAGTGCTACAGCACCTGGCAGGGAACGATTCTCAGTGGCTCCCATCTACAGAAAAATATTTCCCAGCATCCTCCAGTTGGCTTGTGATGTAGATTTGGTTAGTGTCTTGTAATGGTTTTAAAGGCATCAAATTACTCAGTTTCTTTTTATTTTTGTTAGATTTCTGCATACAGTAAAACTCACTTTTAAGGAAGTCACTGAGACCTTCAGTTTTGCTTCCTTATACCTGAGATTCTATATATCCATGTAAGGAACATTGTGCAAACTCTTCCAAGGGATTTGTAAAAAATTCTCTGTAACCTAGATTTCCTTATAAGTGAGTTCTTTATAACCAAGTTTTACTGTATTTTGTTTGATGACCTTTAATTTCAAGTGTCTATTTGATGATACAGTATTAAAAATAGAGATTTTCATAATGGTATGCATATGTTTTTTACAGGTTACTAAACAGTTGTATGAGCCATTATTGATGCAGCTGATCCACTGGTTTACAAAGAACAACAAAGCAGAGAGTGAGGAATCTATGGCATTACTGGATGCCATCTATGTAAGATCAAGTAATTAACAGAAGTGACTTTAATTCATAAAATATTATACTTATCAAGATGATTTTAGAACAGAGAAAAAAAAACCATGAGTATTTTCTGTTGATTCTAGGATGGTATTATTCAGCCAAATGACACAGCTTTGAGGGATTTTTGCGCAATCTGTTTAAGAGAGTTCCTGAAGTGGTCTATCAAACAAAGTAAAAATGTAAGATTCAATGCAGCACTATAATCTAAGAATACAAGTTACTTTTGCAGCATGCCAAAATTACCCAATGTACCATAGTAATCAACACATTCTTCTGTCCATCCATCCACACATACATGTATATGACAAAGATATGTGTAACTTGGGTACTGTAAAAAAATTTTTTTTTTTTAGTGGTAATGATATTTTAGTGTCTTTTGCAATGCCTCTTGTCTATTGTTTATATTCAAACAAATGTAATTGAGAGATTGTTATAGAGACACCTGCTCATTTTGAGGTCACTTGCTCAGGGTCAAGATTATACCGGTAGATATTGACACACACAACATGCTCCTATGACTTTTTGAGTTTTCTAGTTCAATTAGAGTCCACTGCTTATTGTATGTAGCAGCTATTACAATGCTTTGAAAACTGATATTTACAAGTAATTGTTAGACAAGCATAAATGTACAGATTTTTTGTGTGGTGAAAATTATGACATTTTCATGTATAATGTAAAAAGAAAGGAAAGGCAATGAAATAAGATTGAATTTCAGATTTTTGTTTCTGTAGGTTGAGAAGAGCCCCATCAATGCAAAGTCCCTGCTGAAGAGGTTGTACAGTTATGCACTTCATCCTGGAGCTTTCAAGAGACTGGGAGCAGCCCTGGCTTTTAATAATATTTACACAGTTTTCAGGTTTGTTTGGAGGTCACCAGAAAACGGTCTATAAATTTGACATACATGTATTATCATGTTTAACATGAGTTTAATAGATAAGCATTTTAAGAAGAGTGCAATAGGTTATACACATGTTCTTAGCAATTTTTTTTTTAAGTTGTGGCATTTTTCAGAGAGGATAATGCTATGGTGAACCTTTACACTTTCCAAGTATTGGTACATTTTGTAGAGAGTTTGGCCATTGCTCACGAGGATGAATTATCAATGGGTTTGTAGTCTCTTCCTGGTAAACTTTTGTATGTATTAAAGTGTTAATTTGTAGATATGCTGACATTTTCTATGGTTTTCTATGCCTTGATATTTCCATCAGGCACTCAGACACAGTGTAAACTGGTCCTTGAACACATGGAGAGAATCATGAAAGTGAAAGCTGCTGTTCTGAGCAAGGAAGATAAAAATAGAACTGAACCGAAGTAAGAATCATATTCTCTATTGTTCATATCCACTTTCCTAACCCTTACTTATAATGTTCTGCACACATAGTTTCAACTTTCTGTGTCTTTACTAGTTGTGTCTTGGTATTGTAGACAGTGGAGTGTCCGTAAGTTAGACATCGCTGTCCGCTGGCTGATGAGACAGTGCGGACGCCCCCAGACAGAGTGTAGACATGCTTGTATGAAGCTGGTTCATCAGTTAGCTCCTTGTATTACAGGTAAACTTATTTGTTTTGTATACTGTAAAATACGGATGCAGTAAACCACTTAGGACAGAAAACATCACTTCATTATGTCCTTAATAAAATGTATGGAGATAACGAACAGTATTCCAGTTCAAAAGTTCATTAAGCAATACAAATTTTGGAGCAGAACAAACACGGACCTCCAAAACATCAGAGGTGGGATCAGGTGCCATGGAGGAATGAGCATCCTCTGTTGAATGGTCACACCCACCAAGTGCTCCTTGTCATGATCGGGTAATAACGGAAAAATCTGTCAACAACTCAGTGTGTAAATAATGGCCTAACAATTAGTATGAAAAACGTCAGTCAGCATTTGACTTAATCTGTTACATTGAATGGATATGTCACTTGCTCTGACTTGTTGGATACAGCTTTCTGTTTGTTCCCTTTAGAAACATATCTTATGGCATACTGTACATTGATTTCTATTATAGTCATATACTTGTAAATCATGAAGTGAATATTCAGAGATATACTGTTCAGTTTCAATAGATTAATCTCTTAAAAATGATACCATGTTCATGAAATTCAGTTTTCGTTATGACTGTACTTGCTTAGTAACTAATACATGCATATTTATGATAAATTACCTCACTTTTGAAATTAATTTCAGTCTACCCTGGTAAATGTGTGTCCACATTTGGTTTGACACCATTTCCAAAATTCTGGGGCATGTGGATAAATGTTTCTGACATGTACTTGTTTTTGTTTTTATGTTTTGTTTTTGTTTGTTTCTGTGAGTTTGGCCTCTTTGTTTATACAGGGTCTGTGGGAGAATTATTTTAATAGAATGTATTGATTGAAAAAGATAATTAAAATAAAGCTGATCTTCATCACCAAAATTGTGAACATGACTTTTTTTCCCAGCGTTATTCTGTCATTTCCAAATTATTTACATTACTGAAGAAGGCATTATCTTGGGATTTTTATCACATTATTCAGCAAAAAGTGATCTTACAAGCAAATATACTGTATGTACATGTATCCATTAAATCACATTTTTACATTTTCAGGTATCAAGTCAACCAAAGACTATTTCCAGACATTTTATAAGAGTGAAAAGGCAGCTTATTTCATAATTAGGTCAGTGTAAACATGTGTATTTAATTGTAATACATGTGTATTTCAATGGAGTTTTCATATTTGAAAAGGCACTCTATAGTTCCGCACAGTGACTGTAGATTGCTGATGCCCATGTCTACGGAACACTTACAGATATCTATATATTTGAGGTACATAATACAGTGAAATATTTTTAGATTTGAGGGTAAGCAGCAGAAATATGGTTTGTTATCCTGTCCAGAGATTACTGCTGTGGATTCTTCATTCTCCATACAGAATGCTGTGTCTTGGTTTGACCATTATTTGGCTGCTTTGGACTGCTACATCTGGACATTTGGAGAAAATCTGCTAACACCTGATGATATTTTCCAAGGTAAAGTCATCCTTTAGCTTATTATAAGTACATGTACACGAAAAAATTCTTCTGGTATACTGTGTACTTGTGTGGAGTGCACAATTTCTGACTGAAAAGAGGAGAGTTCCATACATAAAACAAATAATGACACCATTATTTTCATATGCTGAAATTGCTTACACCTATACATGTACATAAACATTGTAAAAATTAGCATATTTCTAAAACTTCTAAAATAAATGTAAGCTGTCAGAGTATATTAAATTTTAAGATGAGTACTTGTATATTTTGTGTTGTGTTTAGGTGGTGGACAAAAACAGAGCAAGCTTTTCCAGGCAATGCAGCACTTTCTGAGTAAGATTGTGATGAAGGATGTGGATGAAGTGGCAGGGATGTTTCCACATGAGCCGCTGACTGATGTTTACACTCCCAAAGAAAGGGATGAATACAATAGGTAATGGAAATACATCATTATAGAAAGTTAATTTACAAAAAGCTAGCACTGTATTGTGTGCTATAGGTAGGGAATTCGGGCTTCTGCTGAGTTGGTACAAAAGCTCTGTCATTCTATATATTCGCTCACACTAATTTGCAAGAGCAAAAGATTTTGATATGTAACTTAGTAAGGAAATAAATACAATGTACCATAAATTGACCTGTATGAGTGAAAAGCAGACAAAGGTCAAGTCATTGTATGGTTTTAAATGGAACAGAACTCTTTTATAGCCACTGGGTATAAAGGGTTTAAAAAATAAATTGTTTCTGGAAAAACGTTTGCTCTCAAATATACCATGCACTATATGTTGTTTTTTTCTATTCTGTTTAGGACTAAATGTACAGCTGTAGTGAGGACACTGGATTTCTTCTGTATTTTGGTGGCCAGAAGTCCTTCTTCCATAAAGAAGGTAACTTAAATGACACACTGTTAGAGCTGACAGAATAAAACTTAAAAAAGGAAATTGTTGGTTTTCTGCCAGAAATAGATATGTTCTGTCTTCCTTACCATTTATATGTATTGTTTATACAAGTTCTTGATGAGTTAGTATTTGGTCTTCTGAGTACACTGTAGTTCACCAGTAATTGTGTATCCATGATTAATAATGAGTTCTATATTTCAGCTGTTGCCCCCAGGAGTTTTGGGTGAGGACCTGTGGGATCTGATCTGTATGTGTGTTGTCCATCCTTCAATTGTGGGGTTCAACCTTGGTGATGTGCAGATCATTAAAAATCTACCTACAGAGGTCAGTTTGAGTAATTAATGGCAACAAAGAATGACATATATTTTGTCAAATGATACGCTGTTGCATTTAGTAAAGTTATTGATTGAATTATTGTAGATGGAAAACTTGCTAAAAGTATTCAGTGCAAAGCTGCCAAGTGACATCTTAACAGAGATGTGTAAACAATTTGGATCACTGCTGCAAGGAGACAGGTTAAGCATGGTTTGCTTATACATGTCTATCCCATAATGCAATGTCAGCATGCATTTTATTCTGAAATATTAAGACATTTTTTTAATAATGTTTTCTTACAAATTATAAGCTAAAATTTAAAGATTTTTGGGTTTGATTCCATAGAGATTTGTTAGGCTTGCTGAGCAGGCCTCTGGATGATCCTTCTACTGACCACGTATTCCTACAACAGTTGGTGTCTGGTTATCAGCTTCTACACTGTGTGGGATTGCTCAGTAAAATCTTCAAAGGAACATCACTTCCAAATCTGGCCAACTCTCTGTTTGATTTTGTCCACAAGGTAAGATTTTGTGAAGAGAGAGTTTTCTTTTACATAGCAGTACAGTACAATTCGTTTATTATCATAGTTTATTTGTCAGGCCAAAACTTTATAATAAGCGACTTTTATAATAACCATAGTCAGCTGAAATTCATGTCGGACGGCTGACGATACGACGTTTGTGTAAATTATTGGATTTATTATACATCTTACGTTACATATAATTTCGATTTTTTAGGTTTATTTGAAATACAAGTTAACTGACATATCATTTCACAATATTTACTTACTGTTTCAACTTTTTATTATAAAGAAATTCACTTAAATAAAGCTTAATACTCTTCAAACTCAATCTTCTAGATCCCTTGGCATCCATCTTGTTTATTTTGATCTACTTTCATTTTCAATTTATGGTCAATTCAAATTACCAATGTTTCGTTTCGTTTCGTTTTTTTTTTTTTTGGTCACATATTAAATAAATTAACACAGCAACAAAGCATGCATTCAAATTGTTTCTTTTATTCATCCAAAGTAGACATAAAAAAATTACCTATTTACACTTAATGTCGCGGTATAATTAAAATTAATTGATACACTGATGAGCATATAAATTCAATGCCGCTTGGACAGACTGGTGAAAGAGTTAATTTCACTTAATTATTTCTTAATTAATCAGGTAGTTTTGTAAATGTAATTAACTATGAACATTGATCCAGACACCAAGCGTAAGAAAGCTTGGGTTAATATTGACACTAAATTTAGTTTCAACACATTTGGTAAAATGTATTTATTACAAACGTACAATTCAGGATTAACTCAAGAAGAAAATAAGTTATGAAAAAAAAGAGTTCGTGTTATCCTGTCATGTACTTCATGAAATAAACAGACTCCCTGTCAATCGCTCAGGTAAGTGCACTGAAGTGTGACTGATCTCCCCAGTCTTTCACTATCGGCAAATTTCAAAGTGAAAAATCAAGCCATTGTGTATAGACAAGTGACAGTGCATGAACCACAGGTGTAGATAGGTGTTATCTTTTGTTTTGTTGACTGTCCCAAGAGTGAAAAGGTGTGAAAAAAATATTACGGACGGAAATTTTCTATTATAGTAAGCGAAGTGTATACTTTTACCTATGATAATAACAGACGAAATTTATAACGAATTATTAAGAAATGGTTTTGTGTTTCAGATATCTATGATAAAAAAAAGAAGTATGATATAAAACCGGTATGATAAAAAACGAATTGTACTGTAGTTTTAAAAGTTTACTAATATGAATGATATTCAAATCATCAGATTCAAAGTAAAAGTTTTATTTGTTCTTTGCAGAGTTTAATTTGTGTGGAGGGAGGAACCAAACAAGCACTGACCCTGTCCCCCACAGCACATGTCACGGCCATCAGATTACTGGAGCTCTCCTTCTGTCTGGGGGTGCAGGTAAGAAATCAAAGCACTGAATATTATCAGTCCCTTCTGGACACACAGTAGCCACCAGAATGTGGGGGAGGGGGTATTCTGTGCTAGAAGTAGCCATCAAAGCCATGAGATCGATAAATCATTTCCAAATTCTAAATGGATTGACTACCCTCATTAGGTCTGCATGCCTCAGAAATATGTACATTTTTGTAAGTGCATGTACATACAGACAAAATTTCATGATCTGCAGGTTTCTAATTGTTATATTAGGTTACATGCAATGCTTCAAAGTGCTATGCAGATACTTTTGCATGAATTGAAAAGATGTAGAGAGTAAGAATGTTTTAAAAGTATAAATCTTTCAAGCCTTGTTTTACAGATTAAGAAGGTTATTTCTGGGATCCTTGACCAGTCTGTGATAGAGGGGTCAGCTAAGGGTTACTCTCAGAGCCATGGGGAGCTCCTTTTTACAGTCTTCAAACCTACAATGTCGGTACATTTGGCCAAAGCTATGAGTGACACAGTTCCAGTTCTTTGTGAGCATGCTAAGAAGCAGAGTTACCGAGTGATGAGCATCATGGTTACTGTTGTTGACACTGTATCCAAGGACAAAAACCTCAGAAAACAGTAAATTTTACAAGCAATTTTCTTTTAATAGTAAATCTTCAGCATCTTACCACTGCTTTATATCATATTCAATTTTCATACACATTATTTAATATATTTTTAGAAGAATAAGAAAATTACCTCTGACAATGTTGGGAAATAGAATACGTGTATGGTTAAGTGGTTAAGAAGAAGCTAAATGCTTTTGTCAGAAAGATTTTAAAGAATTTCTTAATTATTTTCTAAGGATTGGTCCGAGTGTCGTGACATCTGTGGTACAGCATTGGAAATCCATCTCTGTCTGGTGCTTAGCTACCACTGAGTTACACAGTATGGCCATGTTACTGCTTACCAAACTTGTGCTCCTGGATAGCAAGGTACTTTGTGTCACAAGAAAAGTAGTCTCCATTGTGATAGGATCATCTTAATACGTACATGTAGGTGATGATACTGATGTTTGATTGTAGGTGGTAACTGACACTGGTAGTAAGCACTTCCCAGAAGTATTTGACACCTATCTCAAGATGTTAACAGAAACCAAAACAACATTATCTGTCAAGGTAGGAACTCTCTTGTCAGAAACAGAAATACATTTTAGTCTCTTTGGAATGATTTTGATTTCCAACTTTTTACATGCATCTCCGCATTTTCTGATTTTCAGTGCAGAATGCTAGAACTTTTGCCATTTTTTGCCATACTACAAGAACCACACTTGAAAAAACTGAAGTAAGGGTTGGCATACTAACAGAATTTATATACAGTTGAACTTCAGTATCTTGAACATGGATATGTCGAAGTGATTGGGAAGTCCTAACCACATAGTTCATAAGTATTTAACCCTCGGTATCTCAAACCCTCGGATATCTCGAAGTTTTTTCTCAGTCCCATCGAGTTCGGGATATTGAGGTTTGACTGTATGTTATAAGTTATCTCGTAAGGGTTTGCAAACTAACAGAAGTTATATATGTTATAAATTATCTTGTACATGTACTTTTCTACAGGAATATTTAGAATTTATCATAAATTTAGAGATCCATATTATGCAGGTAGATACAGAAATTGATTATTAGTGATTTTTTACAGGCGTAGCTTGGACAGACTTGTTGCAGACCATTTTCCAGTAAAAAGCACAGATCTTCCAGAATCCAGTCCACAGTTCAAAGACTACATTTCTGCAATAGACAGGGTAGGGTTATTGTAGACAAAACAAAACTGAGTATATTTCATTTGTGTACCTTGGGACACTGGAGTTTTCAAAAAATTTTCATAGAAACAAGAAAAGTCAAATTTACATGCAAACTTTCTAATAAAATGCCTCAATTATATGTAAAGCCAAAACTGACAAAAATATACATACTACATAAAAAATTATTGTATAAAAATTTGCAATATTTACCTGCATGAACAAGATATGCAGGGCTGCTAAAGTTAGACTGTCAATTTATTTGAAATATGTGGGAAATAACTTGAACATAATAACTTGATACATACGACATATAAACTGAGTGCTACAATCATTTCAGTTTTGAAGAAATGATTTGTAATCAATGTTTTAATGAGGTTTGAATTAACCCTCATTAGTTGCTGACCAGTTTGGAGTTGTCTGGGAGTGAGATGTTGTTGGAACTCCTGACCAGCATCTTCTGTAGAGAATCCAAACACGTACATGAGACAAAGATACAGGAATCCATCAACAGGTTCACAAAAAGGTAGGACCAGAAGAGAGGGGAAAGTGAAAAAATGTCTAGTAGGACCAGAAGAGGGGGGAAGTGAAAAAATGTCTGACCACAACTGTGAATTTTTTATCATTGGAAAAAAGAATCTTTATTTTGACAATGGAACATTTCAGGCTACCAGTAGCCAAGCAGAAGTCTGTCGTGGATGTGGCCTATAATATTTTCTGTCAAGAGAAGCTGTACCCAGCAGAAGTGAGGAGGATCACCATAGAGAAGGTGGCCCTCCCCTTACTGAGACTGGTTCACAAGTCCGCCCTGATCGAGTTCTTCACTGACCACATGACTGACCTCAGAACAGCAGTGGAGGCTAAGCTTGTCAAGGTCATTTGATTTAAAGGACATCAATAAATCGAAAATTTTAAGTTTTTATTATGCTGTGTAGATAATTTTTCATATTTGGAACAGGCCATGGCTTGTATATCATATAGAAAATGGGCTCAACTCCAATATATGGATAAAGTAGTACCTGCAAACAGTTGAAGACGATGATGGAAAAGTTTTCATACAGAGATAAAGAAATCTATCCTATGATGCTTAGATCAGACCTCTCTGTCATTACAGGGCTCTGGGTTGGAGAACCAGTTAACATTCAAACTCTGCAGTTTTCAGTTGCTGGAATTAATGTATGGTCGACTTGGTAAGGAGGAGGTGTTCGGTAAAAGCTCAGCTTTGAACAAGAAATTCTGTGATGTGAAGTCTGAACCTGTGGATTCAGGGAAGGAAATGACTCAAGCCATAATGAGGTAAGTAGCGATTTCTTATTGTCTGGTAATGAGTAATTGGGATTTATCAAATTATATGTGCTTGAAATCAATCGTAGTTTTTGAATTCATTGCAATGCTGTAGACAAAACTTCATGTTAATTAAACATTTTGTAGTTTGTCTATGTATACATACATTATGATGGAATGTATGTAATGTTTTTGAAATTGACTGAACTGGGGACATTCAGAAAATAAAAGCATTGATTAAATTTGAGCATGATTTTGCTAATTTCTCATCTATATGGAACAGGACAGGTCTTGACTGACATGATTCATATGAATGATGTTCTTTACCATCCAAATGTGAATTAAAATACTTGGTAGAACTTGGCTATAAGTTAATAATTTTTGTTTCTATTGCAGGACTGCACATGCAGCTAAAGGAGAGGACGTGAGGGGTGAGAACAGCTGTACAGAGCTGAGGAGACAGTATCACTGTGCTGCCTACAATCTGCTGATCGCCGTACTCTCCAGTACACAGAATGACGCCAAGTTCTACACAGCCTTCCTCTTCAAGGAGGACGAGGCTAAAGTATGTCAGTGTACAGTACTTCTAAAGTGACAAGGATAGTGAATGTTTCATTCATTTGGTTTCTTAAAGACGGGTACATTATTGATTGTATTCAAATTTTGGTGCAATGCTCAGATAAGTGAAGATTTTACATTACAATTGAAGTGAACAAGACAATTTAGGGAAAAAAAAAGGAATTTGCTTGATTGAGAATTGTTATTACTACTGAATCATAGAGTTGTCTGGAGGAGGGAAAAATGTGCCATCTAAGTGAAGAAGAGGTTATTCTCGACCAGAGAATACCCTTTACCTGTAATTACATGTAACATATAGTGCACATACTCCTTACACTTTTTTTGTGCATTATGATATTAATATCGATTGTGTTGTAGGGACAGTTTGTTTATGACAACTTGGTTGACAAGGAAAAGTCATATGAATTTACATCAGAACTGAAGGTAGAGAAGAGAAATCTTACAAGTACTTGCATATCTGATATTTTTCCTTCTGCTAAAATTGATTCATGGTCTTGTATGTTGTGCAAGCCCAAAGGCAGTTTAATTCGGGGAAAGACATAATTAAATAACAATATCTAAGAGGTGGGTTTTTTTATTTTTATTCAAGGCACCCTTGTCCAGAAAGAAGCAGTATGTATCAATAAGGAATGAAGTGAAGGACAGTGAGGTACAGAATGGGGAGACAGAGGGAGGGACTAGCTCCTCCCTCCATCTGGCCTCTCAGTACCTGGCAGATAGCAGTCTGAGTGAAGACCTCAACCAGTACGACTTCACAGCCACACCCCAGGTAATGTCAGTCATACGACTTCACAGTCATGCCCCAGGTTATGTCAATTAGTACGACTTCACAGCCACTCCCCAGGTAATGTCAATCAGTAATGGCTTCACAGTCACACCCCAGGTAATGTCAATCAGTACAACTTTACAACCACACCCCAGGTAATGTCAATCAGTACAACTTTACAGCCACACCCCAGGTAATGTCAATCAGTATGACTTTACAGCCACTCCCCAGGTAATGTCAATCAGTACAACTTTACAGCCACTCCCCAGGTAATGTCAATCAGTACAACTTTACAGCCACTCCCCAGGTAATGTCAATCAGTATGACTTTACAGCCACTCCCCAGGTAATGTCAATCAGTACAACTTCACAGCCACACCCAAGATAATGTCAGTCAGTATGACTTCACAGCCACACCCAGGTATAGTTAATTAGTACGAGTTTACTGGCATGCCCAAGGTATTGTCAATCAGCATGACTACATAGCAGTGTACATGATTTTGATGCATGATAAATAGATGTTGATGATTTATTTTTAGATGTCGGAGGGATCACAAAAGGAAAAAGTGCTGACTGTTCGCAAATCTAGCTACACTGATGAAGAGGATGATTCTGTAAGCATTTCTTGTTCAATATTGTATAGACTGTTTACTAATCAGTATATGTTTAAAAAATATTTTTAGCAAAGAAATTCATGGATTTCTTGGATTTTTCGCTAAAATACCATTATCCATTGACAGGATACCAAAGTGATGGTTGAGGAAGACTATGTAGAGCTGGAAATGGATGACCTCAACCAACACGAGTGCATGGCAACGATGATTGCTCTCCTCAAACATATGCAGAGGGCTAACATCATTCCACTGGTGGAGTCTGTAAGTAGAGCCAGTTAGATAAATATACAGCACAGGTGTATGGCCCTTCTAGTATATAATCAATACACCTTTATTTTCAGGGTGTGGTACCAGAATTACCAGCCTGGATGAAATGCCTGAATGATAAACTGAAGAATCCAAGGACTCACATTAACATCAAATACTTCATTGTCAAACTCATTATAAACACTGCTGAGGTTAGTGGGTGTTGATGGTTAATGTCAATACAATCATGTACTGTTTGTGAATTAGTGAAATATCAGTGATGTTTCATTTTCTGTAATTTAACATTTACATGTCCACTTCATATGCTGAATCCATCTTTGCTTTGTTTTAAAGTTATTGCTATTATAAGTATGATTTTTCACCATGCCTAAGTTTCACAACTTACCTGCCCTTGACTCCAAGGAAAGTTGGTTTAAAGCATTCAAATATCAATTTCGTTTATGAATGAAATGTAATGCAAATGACATCTCTGTATTTCAGATATTCCGCCCTTATGCCAGAGACTGGATTCGCCCCCTAACACAGCTAATCATCAGTGGTCCCTTCACCAGTCTAAATTACTTTGTTATAGATATAATAGTCACCATCATGTCCTGGCATCAAGTAGCTATTCCACAGGTAACAGTGACAGATCACTCACTATTATGTGTTCAAAATATATATGTCAATGTTTAAAAAATCTCCACCAATCACGAATTATGTAAAACAGTAAAACATGCTTGTAATGAAGTGCTAGGACAAAAGATTTTGATTTGTTACAAACATAATTTGTTATACATGTATCTGATAAGTTCATAATACTTTTTTGAAACAAAGAGGAATGAAAATCACTTTGCTATAATTGTAAGTTCATTACAAGCATGTTTGTTCTAACCATGTTTTACTGTACTTGTTTAAAGATAATGCTGTTCCATTTTCACTTTAATGAGTTTTGCTATGGTATGAATTGTTGATCAGGATAATGAATTTTCTCTGATTCTAAACTGAAAAGCTCTTTATGTCCTGTGAATTCTGTGTGTACACAGGACACAGTAGAGGATCGTGCGATGTCCAGTCGCCTGGTGGAATTTGTAATGGGCTACGTGTATAATGATACCAGGCCTGTGTACCGTAATAACTTAGAGCTGCTGAAAACTCTACTACAGGTGTGGAAAGATCGAGTGGAAGTACCATACAGGTAAGGAATACACAGAGCATCAAAGTAACCAGAGAGATTGCTTTGGATTGGGTAAATCTCTCTGATTGTCTTTGCTGTTGTTAAAACATTTTTTCTTAGTGTGATGGTTATTGCAACTGGATATAACAAAGATTATTCTGCTATCTTTGAAGCATTGTGTACAAACATCTGAAACAACCAGATGAAACAAAGAAGGAGAGCTGTGTGGGGATACAGCTGATGGGGGTTGTCCTGTCCTGTAAGTTTCCTCCCTATGCCCCCACAGCACCTGTTGACCAGGAAAAGTAAGTTACACAAGGGCCAGAAACAGTAATTTGCAGTACATGTACATTTTAAATGGAAATTATATTGTTATTATTTGATCAGTGAACACAAATGTCTATTGAATAGTATTTCTTAGGTCTACTTAAGCACTACAAACATCATTGTCTCTTTTAACTTTATTTAAAATGAGTACATTTCTTTGTTTGTAGATTCTTTATCACTGTGGCTCAATACATGAAAAATCGCTACAAAGCAGTTTATGCAGCTACAGCAGAAGTGGTAGGAATGATCTTTAAATATCTAGCAGACAAGGAGAGGCAGACAGAAGGAACCTTCCATGATTACGTTGTTAATCTGATGAACTCCTTACAACAGAGCAATCCTTCTAACTTCCTCCTCTGTATTCACAGAATGCACCTACATTACCCTCCCATATCCGACAGGTAGGGTTTTTTAGGAGTTCGTTTATTTTTTTGTTTTATTTTTTTTGTTTGTTTAATGATTGAATTATCATTGTTGAACAGATTGTTAGCTTCAGATAAGAAAATTTCTAATACTAATCCTTCAGGTCTTTCCATGTTGAAATTTTTAGTACTTTTATTTGTACATTTATGGTCAGTGTAAGTTATCTATTGTACTTGAAGGTTTATGAACCGCTTATTGTTTGTTCTTCCCAATCTTCATGCTGAGTTCCGAAACCGCTGCCTGGAAGTTATTCTAACAAGGATTGACACCTTAGAAAATGTCTATGTGGAGCTCAAAAGTAAAGGACTGTTATCCTTCCTCACACACAGGTGAAAGGATTTTTCCCGCATTGTATACATATAGTAGTGTCAAATGCATAGCTTTTATCAACATCTGTATGCTTTTAGAATTTATAGATTTTCAGGATAAAATTAAAATATTGATAAAATTGAATGTGAATAACTGTTGGTTGGCATTTTCTTATTTTCAGGGATGAAGAAACCCAGTTGATTGCTCTGAAAATTGTCAAGAGCATTCAAACGAAGCTGCAGCCTGGTGAAGTGTCAGAGTTACTGCCCCTGATCTGTGGATTTTGTATCAGTCCCAGTATCTCCTGCCGTAATGTCATGTATGACATTCTGATGTGGGTCTACGATAACTACAGGTAAGGAAAGCAAGTCTTGGGCCTTTTACATTTAGTATTATGAAAAAAGGTTTATGATTGTTCAATAAAATGACAATGATTTCTGTTTGAATGTCAAAATTTTTAATCAAGCTTCTCTTTTACAGAGAAGATGAGAGTGATACAGCAAATGACATCATGCAGCAAACAAAAGAGACCCTGCTTAAAGGACTAGGGGATGAGGATCTACAGTGCAGGTAGGAGGATATCGACACACAAAGAAACTTTATCAGTCAAAATTCTTATGCACACAGAGAACAAAAATTTTGCTTGTTTACATTGCTTTACATGGATATGTGGATACAGTAGTATGTACTTTGAGTTCATGTTTATATTTGACTTGATTATTTATAGACTGCTGGTACAGAATTTCTGGAGCAGTGAATCAAGAGTTCCTGGGAACACATTGGACAGACTGGTGGCCATGTTAGAAGCTATGTATTCACCAGTTACAGAGAAACAGTTTCTAAGTTACGCCACAAATCTTGTCCTAGAAATGACATCAAAAAGTCCAGACTACCAAAGAGAAATGTTTGAGTCGCCACTTGAAGACTGCAAATTTCAGGTACTGGGCAGATTGATCAGTTGCAGAGCATCCATCCAGAGTTCAGGTGGCCCAATTTGAATCCTGCTCTGGTCTGTCACATTTCTCCCTTCTTGTTACAACTAGATTGGCAAATAAATAGTACAGCTGCATGAGTTTGTATCCACTGATATTTTACAGGACTATAAAGTGAAGTCGTCATGGAGACAGAGACATGCAGCCATGACACCACTGTTTGCCAACACCATGGCAACCCAAAGTATGATGGAAGAGGATGAGAGTTTTAGTGGAGAGATCAGAGCCACACAGGACGTCCAACAATTCACTGCCACTCAGGATGGTAGGATATCTTGCAAATAGTTCCAGATAAAATCTTTTGATTATCTTTTGGTATCTTTTGTGATTTAAACAATGCAAACTTAACATTAGTATGAGTAACATGAGCTGATCAGATGCATTGTACATGATTTTTGTATGTATATAAGGAAAAAATACTCAAACATTTAAAAATGAAAACAATTGAGAGCTTTATACATATACATTGTATATTAAAGTAAATAACATTGTAAGTAAGCTAAAATTCTAATGCCTGTTATTGTTTGTTCAGCTTCAAAAGCTCCATTTAACTGGTTGACTGGGAGTAGTTTAGACACATTCACTGACTACAGTACAGTGGGATCAGAAACTTCTAGCTCTCTGCTGTTTACCGTGGGAACACAGGATATGGCCATCAGAGCCCGTCTGAAGCCCAGCAGAAAACCTGGCTCAGGGTTTGGAAGGCCTCGAGCAGGAACCAGCAAAGCTCCTGAGAGAACCAGCAAAGGTTTGCATCACAAATGAATATCCAATCCAGTAGCGTTAACTGCCACAAGATAGAAGTCCTCATGTACAAATGTGAATATTATAAAGATGTTGTCCATATATATACAGTCTATAAGAATGAAGGAATATGATCAATTAATTATAAGTTGAAATATTGAATGATGTGCATTGTACTTGTAAAAACATATAGACATTTAAACTCATTAAAAAAATATTTTATCAGATGAAGTAGACAGTGAAATGTCCAGATTAAAGAGACGTTTCTTGAGAGATGAGGAACAAAGTAAAGCTTACTTCATAAAACGCCACACCAGATTGCAGAAGATGAGGGAGGTAGGAAATCAAGGAATCGAACTGAGACAAATATTTATCTGAAACAAGATTACAACAGGATTATTTTGTTGCATGATTTTTCAATTTCTTAAGTTTCTTCAAAACTGAAGTAATAGTGCTTCTGTATGTTTTGGGAAGACTACAAAAAAATTTGTCCTGTTTTAAATTCTTTCAAAGCCATTCTGCATCTTAAGAGTTATGTTCCCTTTAATAAATTAACCATTTTATATTTGCCCACTGAGAAGGAGGACTAAAGCCTGAAGTGAATTTTTTCCTGTACACAGTAATTACATAATGTGTCTTTTAATCCAGCTTTCATTTTCCTTTTGAAGGAGGCCATGAAAGAACAGAAGTCTCGTCGAGAACACCAAGTGACCATGTACAGGAAGTATCGAAAAGGAGACTTACCAGATATACAGATAAAGTACTCCTACATAATAGCTCCACTTCAGGCAGTAGCTCATGTATGTCACACCCCTGACAGTAAAACTCTTACAGTACAAACCAAGTATACAGATAAAGTGCTCCAGGAAGGTCATATAAGTCACACGTGCATCGACATTAAAAACACTTACAGTACAATCCAGATATACAAAGTACTCCAAAATTATAGCAGTAGCTCATGTAAGTCACACCTGCACCAACATCAAAAACACTTCAGTACAAACCAGATATACAAAGTACTCCTATATTGTAGCTCCACTTCAGGCAGTAGCTCATGTAAGTCGCACCACCTGCAGTAAAACCCTTACACTACAAACACAAAAACAGAAAATACATGTTTATACACATGTACAAAAGCTATAATAATGGCTAAAGAATCCTTAGCAACATTCTCATACTATTTTTTTTTTCAAGAAAAATGGCTTAAAGAATTTTGTTTGTGCATTGTTTTGTTTTCTAGAGGGACAGTACTGTGGCCAAACTTCTGTTTGGGGCCATATTTAAAGGAATATTTGCTAAGATGGATGAAGTAAAAACAGAGAGGGAGGTACAAGAGACAATACAAGAGATTCAGAAGAGTATCGGTGTGGTGCTGACGTCCTCGATACAGTACTTCACACCATTCATCAGCTGTCTATTGGTAAGTCCATGGTCATCTGTACTGCATTATTTACCCAAACTCTGGTTTACTACTGTAAACCAACTTTTATTCACATGCCCAAGGAATATTTGTGAGTTTTGTGACCTTCTTTTAGGCACAAATATTTCTACTGCAAATCAGTTATTTAATTGTCTATTTACATTGTATGTAGAATGCTACCTCTATCATAAAAATTAACAGTTGGATTTCAGACTGACAGATGATAAATGAAAGTTGTTTTGAATAATAGTTGGTTTACAGCATTATGTACATGCACTCATTTATAGATTTTTGGAATTTGTCCAAGTTTTAAGTTGAATGTCTTGTATTATAAATTCTTCTCTATTTTCAGGACATCTTGTACAGTTTAAGAAGCAAACTGAATGTAGATGTATCTGATGTGAGTTCAGCAGCAACATTTGGAAATGTACAACCCCTGGGTAAGCAGCTGTTCTCATTGTTTGATTTAACTTGCTGTGCAAAGGAACAAACCTCTGAGAGTTAAAAAAAAATAAAAAATTTAACTTGCTTATTTGCTCACTTTTCATCATATTTTCATCAAAACTCATAGACTGATACATGTTGATGGGGACTATTCAACTGAGTCATAATTTTTGGACCTTGACCTCATACAAAGATTCAAATTCATGAGCAACTGAGTCATAATTGTTTGACCTAAACCTTTTAAATGACTTTGACATCACTATATTCCTTATTTTGCATTTATCTTTGTTCTAAAGAAACTGTTCAAGGTAATTTAATCAAACTTCATATAGAGATACAAATTGATAAGAGCTATTCAGCTGTCAAAATTCTTTGACCTTGACCTTCTATATGACCTTGACCTCACTATTAAAATGTTTTTGCATTTAGCACAGTTTAGAGGAAATTGTCCCTAATATTTTCATCAAACTTAATACACTTATACAAATTGGTAACAGCTATTCAACTGTGCCATTATTATCTTGTGTTGAGCTTCCAATGACCTTGACTTCACTTCTCCTTAATTTTGCACATACCTAAGTTTCAAAAAAATGTTCAAGATATTGTCTTCAAACTTTGTATACTGACACACATAAGTGTATGACCTTGAATTTAACATTTTTTTCTCATTTTACTCTTGCATATATTTCATCTTTATGAATTCCATAAAAGATAACTTCAGATCAAAGAAGGAAAGTACAATTCTTTTTTACTGTTGTGATACATTGGGCAGGTCTTCCTATCCTATGGACATATTTCTAGTTTTTTTCCCTGGAAGGAAAGATTCTTCAAAATTCTTTCCTTAGAAACCCCCCCCCCCCCCCGCAATTTCTCATGTCAATAAGTAAACTTCTTAGATAGTGTAAATCCTAATTTGTTATGTCATATCCTCCTCCCCCCCCCCCCCCTTTCCAAGTTAGGGAAAGGTTGTGAAACGAATTCACACTGTGTAGATTTTAATAAAATCAAGGCTGTAATTTTTTTTACCAAAATGCTGTAGATTTAACTTATTTAAAACTTGGCATTTGTCTTTCTTTTCGGCTGCAACGAGGGCTTTTATTTTTTTACGTATACATTTATTTGTCAGGAAGAGAAAAGTAACTCAGGTGAGCACTGTGGCCCATAGGCCTCTCGTTCTTGTTACATCTGTTCTTTCCATAGGAATCTGTGTACTGGAGGAGCAACTAATATCACAGAACGAAGATGAACGGCCATCAAAGAGAGGAAGAAGTGAGGGAGCAGTTGTATCCAGAGACACAAGAAGCTGGATTGAACTTGCAAGGTAACTGAACTCTCACACCAAAAGGATGGATGTACCGATTTACCATTGTACATCTGTGTCTCCTACCACCTGATTCACTTCATTGCAACTTTACAGAAACTACTTGTACATACTTATTCTTCTTAGAGAAAAGATTAAATGGGATATTAAACCTCTGTTTGAATGTCCATCATTTAATTTTTTTACTGACTGTTCACCTTTTGACCTTTAATTGTAACTTTTGGAGTCAAAGAGACACTATAATAGATATATTTGGTCAAGGCCTCATGTTAGATCAAATTTTGTAGGTCTGATACAAATTGCCTTCCTTGAATTTTATCTACTGAAAGGGCATTGAGTTTCACAAAAACGTCTTTCTCTTGGTAAAAGGGAAATGGGGAATTCATCAAAATATAGTCAAATCCAGGAAATATATGTGTATTAAAGAGTAAGTATGATTTTGTATTACAGATTGTATAAATCAGTGAAGGACTATGATGTACTGCTGGGGATCTTCAGTGACAAGATAGGAACACAGGAAATCACAAAGGAGGCTGTACAAATGGAGGCCAGAGGAGACTATTACAAAGCTGTTAAACTGTACAATCAGGTAAGAGAGAAAAGGGCGGGGGGCTACTACAAAGCTGTTAAACTCTACAATCAGGTCAGAGAGAGAAGGGGGAGGAGTACTACAAAGCTGTTAATCTCTATAATCAGGTCAGAGAGAGAGGGAGGGAGGGGGGAGAGGGGGAAGGTAGCAGAGAGAGGAGACTACTACAAAGCTGTTTAACTGTACGATTAGGTCAAATAGATGGGAAGAGACAGAGAAAGGGGGAGGGGGATCTAATTTATATACACTGTACATGTATTGACATTTAGTCCTTGGTATTTGATATGATGTAGTTATTTCTTTTTTTTGAAAGGGGGGGGGGGGATTTTAGCTAGTAATCAGGGCTAGAAATAATTTTTTTTCACTGGTCACTCAGGCTAATACCTTAAATTTTTACTGATCAACTGGGTACTTTCACTGTCTCACTGGGCCAGTAGATTTTAAAAGAACTGGCCCGAAACCGTAAGAATAATAATAATATTTTGTTTATATTGTGATACTTAATAGAACAACTTAACAAAACAAGAAACGACAGGACTTGAACACACACCCCTGTCAAGTTACATGTAACTAGCTCAATCATGAATGAATTTTATTATGCATAAAAAAGCACTGACCCAAAAGACACATGCCCTCTACAATGTACTAGCCCAGATTAAAAATTCACTGGCTCCAGACCAGCGGGCCATCAATTTTTTCGAACCATGGTAATATGTTTCTTTTAATTAAAACAGGCCATGTCATGTGAAGAGTGGGATGAAACTCCACCCACCATTGAAGTGGATATGTGGGATGAATCTAGGATGGAGGTATCTTACAGATAGTTAATTTCTGAGTAAAATCTTCTACTAATAGAGACTATTGATAAATGATAAAAGTGGAATAATGTTGTAAATTTACTTTCATTCTAGTGCCTAGACAACCTGTCTCAGTGGAAGGAGCTGGAGGGAGTGGCCATGTCTGGAATCAACAGCAAGTCTATCAACCAAGTGTGGAAGGATACATACTACCAGGTCAGGTCAAGGGCAGATCAAGGTCATTTTAAAGGACACATCATACACTGCAGTTATAGCCTTAAGAAGACATTGGCTTTTTGTTTTGGTTTACTTTGATGGGTACATTATTTGCAACAAATCATGAGGCATACTGGTTGTAATTTGACAGGAACACTACTTGCCATACATCATCAGAAGTAAGGTGAAGCTAATGCTACATGGAGATGATGATCAGCAGCCATTACTGACTTTTATTGATGACTGTATGAAGCAGCCAGACCAGAAGGCCCTGATAGAGGTATACTAAAACTAGATCTATCTTATTTCCTGATGAATGAATGACAGATTATCAGTGGCACAATACCTGACAAAGAATAATGATAAAGCCTTGGATTCTGATTTTAAAAGTTTGAACGGTCATTTTGCAGTGTACTTTGTTTTGACAGAGTCGATATTGTGAGGAGCTGGCTTTGATGTACATCTGGCAGGGGGACTATGACAGAGCAAGGCACTATTCCACAATGGCATCCCAACAGTTCTTGCTGGTATACCGATATAAGTCTTCATTCAGATAAAATAACTCAGACTCTTCTCTCTTATCCTTTGTTGTAAATTATTATTTTAAGACTCTGAATAGTAGTGCTAGATAGTTGAAGCAAGAATTTTACTGATGTTGGTTTCCTTTTACCAGGACTGGAGCAGCACAGACAGTCTGATGTCTGTCAGCAGGAGAAGCCAGCTACAGAATCTACAACCACTAGTGGAGCTACGGGAATTTCTGAGCTTTATGGAGCTTGAGAGTAAGTCAGTGTATCATTGTAAATCTGTGTTTACTTAGCTTTTGGTTAAACTACAGAATTTCCTCAACTTATGGAGCTTGAGTGTAAGTCACTTTACAAGCAGAAACTATTATTAAGTGTGTAACTACAGAATCTCCAGCCCTTATTGGAACTACATGAGTTTCTTAGGTTTATGATTTAGTCAGTTTTAGAGAAGACAAATGTGCAGCTACAGGATATACAGTCTCTGTTGGATTTATTCCAGTTTTAGTTTTATATGTAGGCTAGTGTAATCACTTAAATTAGCAAAAACATATATTGCCACAGAATCTCTGGCTTCAGAAGTAATATTTATTCTAAATTTTTTAAGTTTCTTTAATAAGAAGGTAATTTTTTATTGCTGTAGCATGACAATAATAATGCATGCCCATAGCAACAGTTTCAAAAGGGGGGGGGGGGCAACTTCCCAAAAATATCTGACAAGCAAGAAGAAAAACTGACCAAAAAGTGAGGGGGCCAACTTCCCAAAATAATCTGACAAGCAAGAAAAAAACCCATAATTAACCGTCCAATCGACCTTACTGCAACAAAAAGTTGAAAGGGGGGGGGGGGGGGCAACCAGCAAAATACTATACTCAAAAAAAGCCCATCCCCCCGTTCTTCGGGTCTGTAATGGTAGCAGGATTCTATTAGATGGGTTTGGAATATAAACGCTTTCGTTAATATCTAGGGAATTTAACTGTAATTTAATTTAAGAATTACATGTACTAGTTGAATGTGACTGAATGTTGTACACATTCAAATGTAAAAATAATATACTTATATGTAAATTGTGTTCTATTTCAGGCAATTTTACATCAGCGGGGCCTGCTAACTTGCTAATAGAGAGATGGCAGAACAGGTCCCTACATCCACTATTGGACCCTGAGGTTGTGTGGGATGACATTGTCACCAATAGGTAAACTAAAATGGAGTGCTAGATACTGCATGTATTTATCACATATCATTATGGAATCTAACAAGAATTCTTCAACTTTTCTGTAGAATGGTTTACCTAGACCACATATCAAACAAATTGTCCAGTTCTCTGGTGAAAAAAGAGGAAGATGCAATGGAGGAAGATGAAGAAGATATATTCCTGGAATCCAAAATCCAGCTCCGACTGAAGATGGCAGACAGCAGTTGTCAGAAGAGGAACCATAAACTGGCTCTTAATATACTGGCTGACATACACAAAGTAATTCTTAAGTCATGTTGAAATAAGATCGGATAAATTTTACCAGAAATTTTTATTTGGTTATTAAATCTTAGATACATATACTTTATTTTTTCCCCCGGAAATTTTATGTCTTAATTCTGTTCCATAAAATAACAAGTATTGTGTTTGATCTTGTAGTCATATAAAGTATTTATGTATTGTTAGAGACACATGGGCAGCTAAACAGATGACAGACAAAATTATCCTTATGTGCCCATCATTTTCAGCAGGCAACACACAAAAGGAATTTAAGTGATATAAATAAAGAACATTTTATATTTTTTAGTTGGATTTGGAATTGAGTGGGACAGGATTTTTTTATGTTTTCACGAGAGTGAAGCAAGAGTGAAAATATTTTTAAAAATCCTGTCTCATTAATGAAATTAAATCTACATTCAAGGACAAAACATTGAATTTTCTGTTTATTACATTTTCTTTGAATTTCCCTTTGCCTCTGTCTTTTCATAATTCAGTGTCATAAGCTGTGAATTCATAGGTGAGCAACTGTGAGACATCATAGCTATAAGTGATTGTGAGATTTAAAATTGTAAAGCTAACATGAATTTTAACAACTTTGAGAGACTTTGGCAGGTCAAGTCTCTTTCAGGATGGTTTATTTACTCTATCATGTAACAGGCTGGGGAGTATTTTTTTCATAAATTCTTTGTTAAGGGAAGGGAAAACTCGATTTTTTCTTCACTTTTGATATCATTTTTGCAGTGTAAAAAATTATCACTTTCATATGTTTTCACACTGTAAAAAAATACAACTTTCATTCCATTAATAAATTACAGTATTTCACTGTGGAAAATGTACTGGTAATAAACTATTTTTATCCTTCCAGAATTACAGAGATAAGGAGAATGAGATTTTGAATTTAGAATGGAGTCACTTGTACGCCAAAACTCACCAGCTGAGTGCCATGACAGCTGACATGGACTGGACTAATGACATTTTCTCAAGCATTTTGACAACAATAGACAGGCTTGGTATGTATTGGTATTATTTTACATGTACAGTAAACATCTTTTATAACGTATCTCAAGGGACTGTGATAAATCCTACGTTATAGCTGGCGTACGTTATAAACGGAGATCAGAAGTACTCAGTACACCTTTACCGTAAACACCTTTCAAACCGCTAGTGTGTTATTTATACTTTAAAGAATGAATATTATGTAAATAAATGATTTACAGGTATATTTGACTTCAATCCTTCTATTAAGAAAGATTAATATTCACTAACATTTTATTTTTTGCAAACTATAAATTATTTCCAAAGCACTATAAGTGCTGCACAATCTTGATAATCGTCAGATCATTTTAAAAAGAAGTCCGTATTGTTTGTCTATTTGGCCTGATGACATTTATTTACAAGTCTCCACAGTTGCCAGTGCGGAAAACACTTTTTTTTTACAACTTGAGATCATTTTACGTAAGTTGTACTTTCGGACAAATGTTAATTGATCGTCGGGTAGATGGTATACACGTACCAGGCACTGGCTCATGGTCCTCACTCTCGTCGCGGTCTATGGATTTTATTCAAACAATTAATTATGAATACATCTACCTGATGAACCTTATTCAAAGAATTTATGATAAATACATCTACCTGAAACAACAAAGAAACCTCGTTAGAAAAACACCCATTACGGGGCAACTATGAAGTCAACAAACCGTGACTAATCCGCGGTCACCGAGCTGATAGAAAAGGTGTGAAACCAGGTGTCAGCATACGTTATAAAAGGTATAATTATGTAACGGGACCAAATAATACTTTATAAGCAATACTACATTATATACAAATACATTATAAGCGGTGTTTATTTCAATGAAATATACAGACACTTTGCCGGGACTACAGAATGGCTACTTTACATCCAGAGATACTTTATAACCAAGTATGTTATAAAAGAAGTTTACTGTATTTTAGTCCCCACTATCTACTGAAAAAAAAAGGATCAAGGATAAGTTAATGCATAAAATGGCCCTGAAAGTATGTCTATAAATCAATCGTCAGTTACTATTAATTTTCACACATTAAAATGAAATACAAGCCGGCTTCATACTTTAATTTTCTGTTAAAGAAAAGTTCCCTTTCAGAATTTACTAACTGGATATCAGGGCTTGTGAAATTTCTATATTCATGACTTTCATAGAGAAATGTTGTTTTGGAATACATCTACTGTGAAATCACTAATTTTCATGGGGTTTAATTTTCGTTGTTTTCAAGGTAGGAAGAGACCCACGAATTCATGTCCACCACAATGTAAATTTTCCTATGTTTAACAACACAACTATTCTTCATCCACGAAATCAAATCCCCATGAACCCATATTTTTTCCTCAATCGATGAAAATTTTACCCCATGAAAATATGTGATTTTAGGGTACATGAAACTTTGAAAATAAGCACATCCCTCCATACAGAAAACGAAATCTGTAAAGATCATTAAAAGTTCTACCAATAATACTTGCTATTTGAAATACTTTAGCATATGTTTCACCATTATGGAGGACATTTTCATGATGCAGGACAACAGTTATGTAATTCATGATGTCATAAAGCAGAGACTTTTAAGAAGAAAACCCTCCCTTTTATCTTATCTCCTCTATCCTCATTCAGTTCACCCATCTGTATGTCTGTAGACACAAGGTTAAGCTCAACATTTACCTTCAGATATGGTGTCTCTGTGGATATAAATGAGATGTTTTTGATTGTGCCCCTGAGAAGAGTATCATTCCTGGATAAATCTAGTTTAGATGTGTAGCCATCATAGGTCCTGTTGATATTTTAGGCAATATTTAATAACACTAAACAGCTTTTCCATAAAATTACTTGGCCCCTTATAAGTTTTTTGTGAACATTAATTTTTACATCACATATGAGAAATAATTTGTTCTTTCTTAATTGGTAGGTAAATTTAAGGACAGCCAAATCCTTAGGCGAGAGCCTGGGTTAGGGCGCAGACATTTTGTTCTGATGGGACAAGCTTATGGCTTGTTGACTAAAGGAGTACTTAGTGAAAACTGCTTTAGTAGCCTTAGTGACAAAAACTCAGAGAAAATTATGTCCATGATCAAGGTTCCCAAGCTTGACCAGAGAGAGGTAATTAGAACAATGTGTACATATGTATCACAGTGGCATTAAAAAATTAATCAGGAATTTTAATCATTCAAAGATACATGTATATGTACATGTGTATTTATGACTTTTCTTTTTGAACATACAGATGTTGCATAGTTTTAGTATTTAAAAGAAAAATCTCTCTTACAATTTCGATTTGTCTTTTTAGATAGCTAAATGCCTTGTTGATGAAGGATACAAGCAGATGAAGACAGCTTTATCCTATGATGGCCGATCAACAAGGACCTGTCGCTATGGTTTAGAAGAGGCATATCTAGCTGTGTCCCAGTACTGTAATAAGTTCCTCAGAATGGCTGTGGATGATGAAGGTCACTTGTTTTTTCATAACGTTGGATTTTAAAATCCACGCTGCAACACGTTTTCTTATACACTGTATTATGAATACTACTCATTTCTCTTTTACCGTCTCAAACATATGTTTAAGCTTTTGGTCTCTGCTGTTTGCCTCAGTTTGAATCACATTATTTTCTTATCTTGGTTAATGTGGAGTCTGAGTAATGGTATTGAAATTTTGTATTAATCAGAGACGGAACATTTATCGCTTTCTAAAGAGAGTCTGAAGAGCTTCCCAGAAACCATAACTGTCTGTCTGCTGAATGCTATGAAGTTTGATTCTATGGAGGCCAGACAGAGATTTCCACGGTTACTGCAGTTGGTGGAAATGTATCCAGAAATTCGCTCCACTTTTATTGAAAAGGTTTTAAAAAAAAACATTATACCAGTTCATTTACCTGATATAATGCTTTCAGACATACAAATTTAAAAATGGGGGCAAGATGATTTTGTAACAAGTGGTTTGCTAATTTGAAAACACTATTATTTTCTTTTTGTGATTATGAGTTTTATCAGTTATTTTCTTTTAATGTTCAGAGTAAACAGGTTCCCTGCTGGATGTTCATTATGTGGATTAGTCAGATGATGGCTTTGTTAGATAAACCAGAGGGCAGCACTGTACACCACATTCTGACGGAACTTACCGAAAACTACCCACAGGTCTGTGCCATTGTATCTCAAGATCTCATATGTGTCTATTTAAAGTCTGTTCAAACTGAATCAAAATTTTGTTTCATCTGGAAGACTAGGAGTTGTGTAAGTGTTCTTGGATAATATGACATATTGTTTTACATAGGCTGTAGTTTATCCCTTCAAGCTGAGCAGTGAGGGATACAACATTACAGACAAAAAAGATGAAGCTTTTATTGCAAGGTAATAACATACATGTACATGTTAATGTATTTCAGGTTGAAATTCTTGTTGCTAACTTTTATCTCTGCATGTATTTATTAGAATTTGATTTTTTTTCTTCTTCTCTTGTACTAAGTAACAGATTTTTTTTTACTGCCTCATTATGACTTCTGAGAGAAAAGCTTCCTTTTTCAACATATACAGAAACATACATGCTTTATTAGATAAAATGAATACACATAATTGTAAATATATTTTGTAGCCTGAATGATAAGTTGGGAGATGATCAGCTTCCTTTGGTGTCAAAGTTCATCTCAGCCCTGGAACACATGAGTCAACCCGATCAAATTTTCAAGGTTCAGTGAAAACAATGCATTCATGTATTTTCCTTAGATTATCTCCCTTTTACAAAAAAATTTAGTGTTTCATATCGGCAGAAAAGTTTTTACTGAATCTCTTAACATTTCACAAAGAATATTTGCATGTGAGAAAATGTGATGGAGCTGAATATTGTTCCATTCTGCTTTTAGACAAAGAGTTAGAAAGAGATAATGAAAATAATATTATTTCTTAATCCCTCACATAGAAACTAAGCAGTTAATTTTTAAGTGTTTTTTATGTGATATACATGTACATGTATGCTTATATACATGTAATATCCTTTCACATTTTGTTATTTGATGCACATGTGAGACACCTGGTGATGTAGTTAAGAGCTGGTAAAAGGAAATGAATTTTTACATTAATGTATTTCCTTATTAAAGGACTGGTTTGATGACACAAGACTGAAATTCAACAAGAAGAAACCAGATAAAAAAGCCATGAGGCAGGAATTTCAGATCATGTACAAGAAAGTTCTTGAGCTTAACGAGACTGTGGGTCGAGGAGCAAGCCAAAGATCTCAGACTGAGGAAACCTTGAGCACAGTGGACAAAGGGAAATATCCCAAAAAGTTTGCAGAGGTAAGTACATGTACTTGAATGAAGTTTTTGGAGACTGGTATCAAACTTAGTATGCACACCACATGGCATTTGAAAATAACGTTTGAATATGGTATGTTCCCATCAAGGGTTATTCTTTTAATTGACAGAGATTCAAGAAGGATGTTGACAGTTGCTTTGGAAAAGATGGAGAAAAAATTATGGATATGACATTAGGTGTAAGTTTAAAAACACTAGAAATTACTGACCATAGTTATTTAGAAGTAAAAGTAGTTTTCAGAAAATCCTTCATATCTGATTTATTACTAAACAATAGCACATCATTAGGGATTCAATTCGGCTGTCAATTAATTTTCTGCCAAAATAATATAAGCACAGAATCAATTCTTCTAAATATTGCAGCTAAATTTCTTGAAGTAGTGTTTGTATGTTAGTCTCATAGTTATATGTAAAACTTCTCATCAAATGAGTGTTGAAATTTTTAGCTCACCTGAGCTGAAAGCTCAAGTGAGCTTTTCTGATCACATTTTGTCCGGCGTCTGTCTGTCCGTCCGTCTGTCTGTCTGTGAACTTTTCACATTTTTGACTTCTTCTCAAGAACCACTGGGCCAATTTCAACCAAACTTGGCACAAAGTATCTTTGGGTAAAGGGGATACAAGTTTGTTCAAATGAAGGGCCATGCCCTCTTTCAAGGGGAGATAATAAGGAATTAGTGAAAAAATAATGGCATCATTTAAAAATCTTCTTCTCAAGAACCACAGGGCCAGGAAAGATAAAACTCATGTGAAGCATCCTCAGGTAGTGTACATTCAAGTTTGTTCAAATCATGACCCCCGGGGGTAGGGCGGGGCCACAATGGAGGATCAAATTTTTACATAGAAATATATAGGAAAAATCTTTTAAAATCTTCTTCTCAAGAACAGCAAAGCCATGATGAGTCATATTTATATGGAAGCATCCTCAGGTAGTGTAGATTCAAGTTTGTTCAAACCATGACCCCCGGGGGTAGGGTGGGGCCACAATGGAGGATCAAAGTTTTACATAGAAATATAAAGGAAAAATCTTTTAAAATCTTCTTCTCAAGAACAGCAAAGCCATGATGAGTCATATTTATATGGAAGCATCCTCAGATAGTGTAGATTCAAATTTGTTCAAATCATGACCCCGGGGGGTAGGGTGGGGCCTAAATGGAGGATCAAAGTTTTACACAGAAATATATAAGAAAAATCTTTAAAAATCTTCTTAAGAGTCATATTTATATGGAAGCATCCTCAGGTAGTGTAGATTCAAGTTTGTTCAAACCATGACCCCCGGGGGTAGGGCGGGGCCGCAATGGACTATCAAAGTTTTACATAGAAATATATAGGAAAAATCTTCTTCTCAGGAACAGTAAAGCCCAGATTTGTCATATTTATACGGAAGCATCCTCAGGTAGTATAGATTAAAATTTATTCAAATCTTGACCCCCGGGGTAGGGCGGGGCCACAATGGAGGATCAAAGTTTTACATAGAAATGTATAGAAAAAATTTAAAAAATCTTCTTCTCAGGAACAGCAAAGCCCTGATTGATCATATTTATTTGGAAGCATCCTCAGGTAGTGTAGATTCTATTTTGTTCAAATCATGACTCCCGTGGATAGGGTGGGGCCACAATGGAGGATCAAAGTCTTATATAGAAATATATAGGAAAATATCTTCTTCTGAAGAACTGCAAACCATGATTAGTCATTTTGATTCAATTTTGTTCAAATGATGACCCCCAGGGGTAGGGTGGGGCCCAATGGGGGATTGAAAGTTTTACATAAGAATATATAGAAAAAATATTTTTTCTCAAGTTCAGAAAAGCTATATTTAGTCATATTGATATGGAAGCATCCTCAGGTAGTGTTGATTCAAGTTTGTTCAAATGATGACCCCTGGGAAAGGGAGGAGCCACAATGGGGGATCAAATTTTTACAAAGGAATATATGGGAATTTTTTTGAAAAACTTCTCAAGTACAACAAAGCCATTTGTTATATTGACACGGAAGCATCATCAGGTTGTTTAGAATTCATCCCCCCCCCCCCAGTAATCTTTTCAATACTGAACTGATTTGTGCTTTTTCCTAGCCAATGTGCTCAGGTGAGTGATGTGGCCCATGGGCCTCTTGTTATTTCTTTACTTTCCTAGACAACCCAAGTCAATATAGTGCATTCATCGAGAGATTTTGATCACTGAGATTTACAAGACAGAAACGTGTTCTCACTTTTTTTAAAACAGAAATTTGTAAATGCTTACAAGAAAGTCTACACAGACATGACAAATGAAGTGAAGGGGAATAACTTGAAGCCCCCAGAAACGCTAAAGGATTACTGCCAATGGTTGTCAGATTTCAACCCCAGCATTCAGGGCAAGGATCTAGAAATTCCAGGTGTGTAAAAATCTTCATAACATTTTGATATGTAATTGTATTTTATGCAAGATAATAACCTGTTTTGCAGTTTCTGCATATTAGAAATATGTCTTACAGGCCTTTTCATTAAAACAGGTGAATGAAAAAAGATTTTCAATAATATTTCAGAATTTAATTAATAGTTTTTGATAGAATTTTTTATGCCCCACAATGAATGGGTATAGTATTTGTCTTGTCTTCCATCCTTCTGTCCTTCCATCACACTTTGCATTTAGCTCAGTTTCAAAGAAACTATTCAAGATATTGTAACGAAACCGAGGGTATAAGGTTAATCGTGGGCCGCTGTTGGTTTCTGGTAACTGGTCAAGGTTGAAATGGTTGTCCACAAAATTTATATAAAATCGGAATAACGACCAATTTTTGGTCCACTAAATAATTGGCGAAATGACCAAATTTTAGTTCACTATAATATCTGCACTAGAACCGTGATGAATAACACGTTGTAAAGTTTATTATATTTATTAAGACGATCAAATGGTTCAGTTATAAGCACAATGATAAACTTGGTTGGTACAATGTTATTTGGTTAATACAAAGATGACGAACCAATGGTCAATCCAGGACGTTTCTACTCTAAATGATTCTTCACTAATGATTTCGCATACATAGACTTGGTACTGTTTGTACAAATATACCACTGTCTTACACCCGAAGTATACGGAGTTCTACCCACTGCAGACTGAAGTATACAGAGTCGCTACCCACTGCAGACTGACTTCTAAACACAAAACAGCTGTCTTTTATAGACAAAAGTTGTTATGATGACATATAAACGTCAGATACAAATAACGTCACAATCAATATCTAATTTGTAAGTTAGCGGGTTTTAACCACTAAAATCACTAAATAACATTGTACCTATATAGAGCATATACAATATAACGCTTTGTAATTACAATACATAAATCAAATTGATAAAGTTCAAATAATCAATTATTGTTCAATTCTTTCGTTCATTGTTCATTGACAAATATTTTAGTAGTTTATATACATCAGGTTCAGGGTCTGTTTATTCAGAACTTGTCAACAACAGTTAATCCGAATTTCACAGGTAAGCTTATCGGAACGTAACAATATTTTATCAAACTTGATGCCTTTTGTGGCTCCACCCTATACACAGCAGCTGTGATTTGATCAAAAATGATTCTGCATTCCAAAGGAGGCTTCCACATTGATATGATTCATCACAATTTTGCTGTTCTTGACGAGGAGTTTTAAAGATTTTTCCCTATATAATCCTATTTTGGCCCCACCCTTATGCTGATACATATTAGTGAGAGTTTTTCAACTGCATTATATTTAAAAATGTTTACCTTGAACTTCTCCTGACCTTTACCTCACTTTTCTTAAATTTGCATATTGCTCAGATTCAAAGAAACTATTTAAAATATTTTTAGTCCCCTACCGGTGAAACCGGAGGGGACTATAGGTTTCCTCTGAGTCTGTCCGTCCGTCTGTCTGTCCGTCTGTCTGTCTGTCTGTCTGTCCCTCTGTCTGTCTGTCTGTCTGTCCCTTTGTCTGTCTGTCAGTCTGTCCCACTTGGTTTTCCGCACTTTTTTCTTAAACGCTTGCAGATATTGAGCTGATTTTTGGTATGTGAGTGTATCTTGAGGAGTTACAGATCAAGTTTGCATTTCGTTCCGCTTCATTGATTTTTGACGGAATTACGGCCTTTTCAATTTTTACGGGTTTTCCGCAATTTTCTTCTAAACGCTTGTAGATATTGAGCTGATTTTTGGTATGTGGCTTTACCTTGATTAGTTATAAATCAAGTTAGCATTTTGTCCCGCTTCATTCATTTTTGACGGAATTATGGCATTTTCAATTCTTAGCGGGAACCAGATTACACTTGCCGGTAGGGGACTAGTATTGCTAATGCAATACTCTCAGAATGCTTGTTATGTAAGCATTTTTTTTTATCTTTGACTTTCCCAATAACCTTTGACTTTATTATTCACTGTGTATAAAACTCAGTTTTGAAGAAACGATTCAAGATATTTTCATCAAAGATACACTAATACAAAATTTCATATTGCATTACTAATGAACCCTTGGAGGGGCATTCATGTCCTATGGACATATTTCTAGTTCTTTAAATAAGTATGTTCAATTTTATTTTTTCCTCAAAATTTGTAAACCAGTATCTTGTATCGTCAGGTCAGTACGATGGAGTGACAAAACCATTGCCCGAGTATCACATCAAAGTGGTTGGATTTGATCAAAGGGTGAGTGGGAAGATTTTTTTCCAAAAACTGGAAGCGAATTGTATTGTTAAGTCAAAGAGCAGGGAGTCTTATGATTATCATTCTTATACAAAGAATAATTTTAAATTATATAAAGGATATTAATTAGTTTAAGTTGAGAAAGTGGAGGATAGGAATCTGTAAATTGATGTGAACTCCTTGCTAGGTAAAAGTTATGACCTCAATACGTAAACCAAAGAGGATAACGATTCGTGGAAATGATGAGAGGGAGTACCATTACCTTGTGAAGGGAGGAGAGGATTTAAGGCAGGATCAGAGGATAGAACAACTCTTCTTCCTGATGAACCAGGTCTTGGAGAGTGACCCAGCCTGTAAACAGAGGAACCTTAAAATCAAAACCTACCAAGTCATTCCAATGACACCAAGGTTAGTCTAAACTTTATATCCAGGTCCTTGAGAGTGACCCAGCCTGTAAACAGTGGAACGTTAAAATCAAACCCTACCAAGTCATTCCAATGACACCAACGTCAGTCAAAATAAAGTACCACATGAGTAGTGTGGCCCATAAAGAGATGAATATAAAAATAAACACTTTTCAAGTTATACTCATGACACCAAGGTGAGTCTAAATACAAGGTCTTGTAAATTACCTGGCCTGTGAACAGAGGAATCTAAAAAATCAAAACTTAACAAGTCATTCCCATGACACCAAGATTACTAGTCTTAAGTATAGAACTGGGCTCTGATGAAGGACAGAAGAACCTAAAAGTGAAACTAATCAGTTTAAATATAGAACCAGATCTTAGAGTGATCTAGCTTGTAAACAGAGGAAGTCAAAAAATGCAAATTTTATGCCCTTCCTCCCTCTTTTCAAAAAAAATGGAGCCTATGTAACACGTAATGCTACACATGCTGGGAAGTCAGTAGGTCAATGCTGTTGAACCAATACATTGAAAATCCTTTGTCAATCCTCATACACTGATTGCCTGTGTCAGATGACCTTTATGATTTTGTGGTTGAAAGGTCATCTATGTTCTAATTTTATTTTTTGCTGCATTTGCAATAAATGTTGTTCAAGCAGTACCTAACATGTCATTTAATTGATAATTTTCAAACTTTAAACACAGGTTGAAAATAATATGCAGATAACCCTTATTGATTTTCAAGTCAAAGGTCAGGAAGTTTCAATATCACTGTCATCTAATCAATATCTTAAGAATACTTTGCTTGATAGTCATCAAACTTCATATGCAAATTCACCTTGATGGGTGAATGATTGCTAGTTTTTCTGGTCAAAAGAATGAAAGTCACAAGACTCACTAACATACTCAGTTCAGAAGATTTACTATGCAGATCAGACATTAAAACATTTTAGATCCATTGGCTATTTCCCCATCTTTCTACCATATATGTTATCTGATGGAAGAGACAACAAAGAGATTAATGTTGTCCACATTTCTCACATACAGAGGTTGACATGAGTAGGAGATAATCTTTAGTCAAGTATGGAAGCAAATTTTCCAGTAATTATTTTCTTTGAATATGTACATGTATATTATAGTTTTTCAACATTTTATTTCAGAGTTGGTCTTATAGAATGGATGAACAACACTATACCACTGAAAGATTTCCTGTATTCCAATCTCACAGACCAGGAAACCAAATTCATGCACAGCAAGTAAGTAAATTATACCACCATGACGTATCCCACCATGATAATCAAAGAAAAATGGCAACTCAGGTGTAATATTATTATATGATAGTGATACAAGTCTGAGACTGAATTGAGTAATGCTTTGTTACTCATCTTCTCAGCCTGAGATCCACATTGATAAAATTTCGATTGTTTGCAGACTGCTCCACTTTAAATGATGAACAAAATCAACTGATATTTCAAAGTGCTTTGACTTCATTCATTATTATAATATGTTTTCAGTTCTTTTTGATTTTTTTTTTTTTTTTTGATGTCTTTCATTTTAATTATTTTTTTTTTTACTTAAAAATTATTTTTAGTGGTTGTTTTACAGTTCTATCCCAAGTTGAGAGCAGCAAAAATAAAACTGCAGCAAAAATACAGTTGGATACAGTATCATAAGCATGAATTAAATATGTTTCATTTTAGGCAAGGACCCATGCACCTTCACACTACTTGGATAATGAAACTAAACAAAGATCAAATTCCTGCCTACATGCAGATGTACCTGAAATATAATATGACAGAAACGAAGCGAGAACTACAGAAGAAAGAAAGTTGTGTGCCATGGGATTTATCAAGGTACATTACAAGATGTTAATCACTCAATGCCCTTGTTTATGTAATGCAGTGAACATTTTTTTATGCCTGATTAATGAAAGATGGGGAAGAAATATTCAATAATATTGTAGCAAGGAAACAGTTTTAAGAGCACCTCATTTTGTTGGTTCCTCTGTACATGTACGTCTGTAAACTTTTCACATTTTTGACCCCCTTAATTTGAACAAAAAGGCTTTTTAAAGTAAATCTGCAGTTTCCACTAGTAAAACTGGAAGTGTGTTAAAATTAAACACAAGGCCCAAAGGCCACAATGCTCACCAGAGTATCCTTAGCCTTGTTGTACTCCAGATTTTCCCACACTTTATTCCCATGAAAAATTGTTACCCCATATTGTGGGCCACCTCACTCTAAGGAGTCTCTGAATCCACACAACATGAGGATGCAATAATATGATGAACATGGCCTTATTTTGTTTTTCATCCATTTTAAAAAATTTGATCCCAAATTTTAGCCTTATTTTAACCAATAATTGAAAAAAAAAGTGAATCGACACAAGGTTGAAATGATTGCAAAAGAATGATTTTATTGTGGTTCTTAGGAAGACTTTATAAAAAGATTTTTTCCCTATGTATATTCCCATATAAAATGTTATCCCCTATTGTGGCCCCACCCAAGGTCTATATTAATATCACTAGTCATGGCCCTGCTGTTCTTGAGAAGATTTTATTCTAGATATTCCCATGTAAAATTTTGATCCCTATTGTGGCCCTAACCTACCCCTGAGGCCCATGATTTGAACAATTTAGAATCTACATTATATCAGGAAACTTTCACATACGTTTTCATCTTTTCTGAACCAATGGTACTTGAGATTTTCAAAGGTTTTTTCCCTTCATATTTCCTTGTAAAACATTGATCACCTATTATGGCCCCACCCTATGTGGGGGTGAGGAGAGAGAGATGATTTTGAACAATTTAGAATCTACATTATATCACAAAGCTTACTTATAAGTTTCATCTTTTCTGGCCCCCCGGGTTCTAAAGACTTTGTCCTATATTTTCCCATGTAAAACTTTGATCCAATATTGTAGCCCTACCCTACCCTGGGTCCATGATATGAGCAATTTAGAACCAACGTTATATCAAGAAGCTTTCACATAAGTTTTAACTTCTCTGATCAGTGATTCAGGAGAAGAATTTTTAATGACCAAAACCTTTTCTTGATTATGTCCCATTGCAACAATTCTGAATCCCCTGAATCCCCTTTACCAAAGGATATTTTGTGCCAACTTTGATTATAACTGACCCAGTGGTTCTTGAGAAGAGGTCAAAAAAGTGTCAAGTTTAAAGATGGACAGACAGAAGAACAGCTAGACATATGGATGCCAGACAACATGTGATCAGATATGTTCACTCGAGCTAACAATGCCCTTTTCCAAGTGGAAGTAACAAAGTGTCATGAAATCTTTGGAAAGTCACAGAAAGTCTACTCAGTAATTGTAAGAAGTGACAATCTTCCATATGGAATATGTACATTCAAATTTGTGCAACTGATAGTCCTAAAATGGGTTCAGACCACAAATTTTTACATCTTAATAATGGGAGAGAAATCTGTAGAAAGCTTTTTGGGAAGAACAGGAAGACTACAGTTCTTCATTTAGGATCTTTAAATTGAAAATATTTTTCATAGGGATAACACTATCATTGGTGTTTAAGTAAAATCTTCAAAATCTGTTAAAAGAGCAAAGCCACAAATTATAAAATTCATGTGTATTAAGACTGGAGCTTGAGGTGACTCAGATGAGCATTGCTGCCCATTGGTCTTCATTGATAGACATTAATAAGCATAAAAAATGCAGTACCGGTATATATGCATTGTGCAATTTGCATATCATTCTCTCCTCCTACTATAATATGGAACGGTAAAAGGTTCCACAGTAATTTTCTACACCATGAAGACTTGAACTTTCTAAAGGACATTTCACCAATGTTTTGTAGGCGTGCTTTCCACAAGATGAGCACTTCCCCAGAAGCATTCCATGTCCTCCGCTGTAAGTGTGCCTCGACTCATGCCTTGATCTCCATTTGTCAGTACATACTCGGGATTGGTGATCGTCATTTGTCCAACTTTATGGTGAACTTAAAGAATGGGGAGATAGTGGGCATTGATTTTGGCCATGCCTTTGGCTCTGCTACACAGGTAAGTATGCATGTAACAACACGGACAGCAGCAATTTTCAACAAAGAATGATAGGACACAAGAGTCCTGGTAAAAGGCCAAAATTGAAAATTAAATAAAATGTTTATTTCTTTCCATAATATAAATCCCTGATATCCTAACTACAAATGTATGTATTCTTAATATTATTTGAAATTAAAAACTCTACCAAGGAAAACCAAATATAGTCAAACCTCGTTATCTCGAACTTGAAGGGACCAAGAAAATACTTTGAGATAACTGAGGATTCGAGATATCCAGGGTAAAATACTTAAGGAATAAGTAGTTGGGACTTCAAAATGACTTCGACATATCCATGGTATTCGAGATATCCATGTTCGAGATACCGAAGTTCAACTGTATTATACATTAAAACTCACTTAGAACGAAGTGCCAGGGACGGACAATTTTGCTTCCTTATGAACGAAGTTTGTTATAACCTATAAATTCACATGTATTTTAAAGCCAGGAGGAATGAAAATCATTTCCCTGCAAGAATCAACTCATTATAAGCGTGATCATGATAAGCAGTGTTTTACTGTAAAAATCTAAGGCATGAGACCCGAAAATTTCAAAGTGGCCTGGACAGAACACAGTGGGAACATTCATTTCAATTTATTGACATCACCATGTTGGTATACAGTCAAAATAAGAAACAACATACATGTAGATATGACAAACATTTGCCCAGCTGTATTTTAAAACTTTCAAGTGTTTAATTATTAATGTTGTTGACCAATATTTATTAACAAGGGGTCGGCACTTTTGAGAATATGATGAAAATTTTCATTTTATTCCTAGTACAAGTAATCGTATAAATTCATTGCAGTTCCTGCCTATTCCTGAGTTGATGCCGTTCCGCCTGACTCGACAGCTGCGTAACCTGATGATGCCACTACAGGTTCATGGTCTAATGGAATCCACAATGATCCACACCCTCCGAGCACTCAGAAATAACTGTGACCTGCTGTTAAATACCATGGACATTTTTGTGAAAGAACCATCAGTTGATTGGCTGGTCAGTTCAGCGTCATTTTCATTTTAACAAAGCCTTATTCATAGTAATCAGACCAATAGTGTGTGGAAAATGAATTCAGATGTAGGTAAATTTTAAATATATATATATATTATACAGTTTTAAATCCCTTAAAGAACTTTTTCTTTTCATTTCAGATAAATGCAGAAAAACAAATGAATGAAATGAAAGGAGATGGTAAGTTTTCCCTATAATTCTTTAAAGAATTTTGAAATCTCATTTCAACAAATTCATGAAAGATTATCACAATTGCCAAAACACTGAAAGCTGTGCCCTTCTTCTTTAGAATCACCTGAGGAAGAGGATGTGATGTGGTACCCAAAAGAAAAGATAGAGTATATGAAAAGAAAGCTAATGGGAGACAACCCAGTCAGTGTAACCAGGTACGTGTAGTTATCCTTATAAAACCCATTTTGCTCGTCTTTCCTAAAAAGGACCCTTTTGTGATTATATATTTCCTGTAATTTTGTAGAGCTGAGTTAAAATTAGGTCACTTCAAGAAGGCAGCATTCCCTGCCATGGAGAGGGTGCTTCAGGGAGACAAGAGGGAGAATGTACGAGCACAGCTTAACGACACCGGCCTGTCAGTAGAACAACAGGTGGCAGCACTGATCGATCAAGCCACCGACCCAAACATTCTAGGTCGGGTTTATGTTGGCTGGGAACCGTGGATGTGAAATGTCAATACATGCATTAGCTTTAACTGGACAAATTATTGGTGTTGTGTGACCAAGGAACCATTACTCCGTGATCCAAAGCTTTAGAATTGTCCAGTGAAATTTACTTTTTATAGTTGTTTAAGCTGGGTTAGTTACTGGTGTAACTTTGAAAATAAATTCTGTAGAAGAGATCTTGGCAAAGCTAGACTGGAAAAATCATCAACATATGTGCCATACAGAGAATGAAATAATGGTGCTTCATGAAGTAAATCCAGAAGAACTAAACACAATACATATAGTAGACATGCTTTTTTTTTAAACTCTAGTACACATCTATGTGTAGTTACAGTTGATTCTGCAGTATTTGCATATACTTGAACATGTAATAGGGATGGAGGTTGTCAAATTTTATAGTCATTAATCCTCACATTGTTTGACTGAATATTCAGTTAACTAGAAAAAAGATGAATGTGCATGTATACATATGTACATGCATTATGCACACCAATATACATGTATTGAAAATATACAAGTTGATAACGTAGCAAAGATACCCTTTTTGTGACTGCTTTGACAATATAGTGTGAATATACATGTATGTTGCACATGCTTATATACAATTTCATGCAGCAAGTTCCTGTATTTCTAGAAAGGTTGTCAAAATAAATCTAAGTATTTCTTTTGGGTTTTTTTTTCATTTTATTTTCACATTAGAGTTCTGTAATAAGTACAGATGAATGAATCAATATTCATGCAGAAAAAAAATTGATTGTTCTAGCCAAGTTAAAATAGAGTCTTAACTCATCTCAATGTATTCATCTTTTTCTTTAAGAGACCTCTATACATGGCACACAAAAAGAGTACCAATTCTGTGGTATTTTTCAGCAGAGTGATCAGCCCTTAGGTTTTAAATAAGTAAAGAACTATGCACACTAACTCTCGATTCCCGCCTAAATTTTACACCCATCTAATTCAATATAAATGGCATTTTGGCCATTAAAACTTGTTTGAATACAAAGAAGAGTTCATTAGTAATTGATAATAATTTTGAAACCATGCAGAGTCAATAACTTAATTGCTCTATTACACTTCTTTTCATAAGGGGGGGGGGGGGGGGGTAGAAAATTTTATCCATTGAAATCACAGACTTTAAAACATCACCAGATTTTCAAATATGCATGGAAATGGATAAACGACCCTTAAATCTTTCTGTTTGTTTAACTTATGTAAAATTCAACATACAAGATTGATAAAGTACATTTTTTTTATTTGCAACTTCATATGAAATTGCTAATAAAATGACTATTTTTGCTGTTTTGTCTGTAAACATATATCCCCCACCCAGTGAATCAACATACCTGTAAAATGGATTTTTGTTTCATAAGGGGGGGGGGGGGGGGGGGATGGAGATGTTTTAAAAATATTTTCTGTTGAATGCTGACTGACCTTTTTCATGCTAATTGTTAGGCCATTATTTATACACTGAACTGTCTACGGATTCCCCCCCCCCCCCCCCCCCCCCCCCGATCATGACAAGGAGCACACTGTGGGTGTGACCGGTCACGGCAGGGGATGCTCACTCCTCCATGGCACGTGATCCCACCTCTAAATTTTGAGGTCTGTGTTTGCTCTGCTCCTATTTTGTATCGTTTCATTGGACTTTTGAGATTGAATACTGTTCGTTATCTTCATATTTCATTTCTGTAGTGAAAAACACAAGTTTTTACCAAAATTATAGAGTTATATCTCTCTTTGTTTTACCAAATAAGTTTTGTTTTGTGAAAATTCACATATATTTATATGAATTTGCAAAAAATCATTCAAATATGTTAAACTTTTGAAAATTGACTTGGAGATAGGTGGCAGAACTATACTACTGTTCGCAGTTCTTGAAATCATTGGTGCATTTCTCAGTGTGTGTAATCAATTCAAGCATATTTGACATTTTATGAAGGCAAGATAAACACTTTATTCTCATGCAAATGTATCTTACTCATTAAACTTAAAATTTAAAGTATAAAACAAATTTAAAGTGATTTCTGTTAATCAGTACTTCTTGTCTTCGAACATTTTTACCTCTGGGGGAAGGGGGGCTGGTACCCTATGTTGAGATAGATATACTTTAAGTGAATACATGTATTTAAACCTTTATAATATAACCTATAATTTCATCAGCGTCCAAAAAAAGTAGGTTTCATTAGTCTATTACAGAGGATCCTAATGAGAAAAGTTGTCAAAAATAGTTTTTTATCAATTTTTGCTTTATCCCATGGAATTCTGTCTACTTCTCTGGGCTGCACTTTCCTGAAGGGACATCAGAATGACAAGGGGGTGTCATTTAGCTTCCTACAAAGGTCCTACATGTATATGAAGGATGTATCAAACAGGCATTGTTCTCTCTGCTTCATCAACAGCACTACACAAATCTACATCCTCTCCATCAAACATGGGATCATCTTCCCACAAGTAGACAGGAAATACAGAGTCCGGTAATGGGAAGTCTGCAGGAGCAAATAGCATTGGAATCAATACTGGATTATACCTTTAAAATTGTTACAATTACTAATGTGTTCAGTTTTACCTGAGGACTTGAAATTTTGTGACCTGCAAACTGGATCATGACATTTCTGGTAATAAATCCTTTTCTTCAGGTCCACAATAAACCTACAGGATAAAACATCAGATAAAGTATAATCCAAGAAATTCTTTGAAGGATAGTAGTATTTTAGCTGCAGATCTGTAGCTCGATGGTCTGAAAACATTGGGATGAAAAACCAGAAAGCTACAGTGCCACTCACTGGAAAAAGTGTATATTTATTGCACAAAAAAAGTGCACTGTTTCTCGATTTATTTCTCCATAAACATGTATTTCAAAATATTACTAACCGTGTGTTCCTAACATATATACTTTTACCACTTTCACAACAAAACTGCATGTATAAGTCATGCATGAAGCACATTGGACCGAAATGACTTGCCACCCAAAATGGCAGTATAAATAGGCGAACTTTTCTATGGTTTCAATTTCAAGCCAAGTAAGGCTACAAACAACAGTTTCGGGGAATGTTTCATTGTGGAAGTAGTAAAACTATATGCTAGGAACACACTGTTAGTGATATTTTGAGATGACAGCTTAAGTACGTGTATACGAAGAAGTAATTCGAGAAATAGCGCACATTTTTGTGCACAATAAATATACATTTTTTTTCAATGGGTGGCACCATAGCTCTCTGGTCGTCCATCCCAATTTTTTTTCAGACCAGCAGGCTACAGATCTGCAGCCACTAGTACTTTATTACGACAAAAGACCTGGGCCCATTTCCAAAAAGAATTTACAACTAAGACCCAAACTTTAAATTGATTGTAAAATCATGCTAAATTAATGATTCTATTAAAAATTGCTTTCATAAATATATCTTTCTAAATTCTTTTAAAAAAGATTATTTAACAACTTTCAAAGAATGTAAGAAAGAATTTTATTCGCAAAATTACATTATGGTGTTGGTCATTAGATCTTTCATAAAATGAGGCCAAAAGTTTTGGCCTCAAACTGTATACATTACATAACATTGTTGCTTCTATGACTCCTATTAATGTTGTGACAGAATCTATAGTTGGCCATTTCATAAACAATGAGTTCTCCCTGACTGAAGTAAGTCCAGTGACGGATCCCTCCTCGAGTATCTACTTCCTGTACAAGTTTCCCAAGGAAAGCATCTATTTCAGGATAAGGAGAAGTTCTGTATCCTTCCAGACTTGCTGCAAAATAATTATTGAGTTTCAAAGTTGGAATGTAATTCATTATTAATCACAGTTAAAGCCAACCTCCAAGGACTGCCAGAATTACTGTTATAACAACATCTTCAGATCAACACTTCTTATTTTAATTGAATTTTAACATTATTTACATGTAACATTATTTTATTTTAATGTTGATTCATTCTCTTTTTTTATTCTCTGGGTGCAATCTTCTACCACATCACCTCACCTTTTCATGAATTTCAATAACAAGAGGCCCATGGGCCACATCACTCACCTGAGCACAATGACTAGGAAAAAGCTCAAATCAATTCAGTATTGAAAAGTTTACATGGGGGTTGGGGGACTTGATTTTTAAACCTGAGGATGCTTTCATATCAATATAACAAATAACTTTGCTGTTCTTGAGCAGAAGATTTTTATTAAAGATTTTTTCTTATATATTCATTTGTAAAAATTTGATACCCCAATATTTACATTTGCTGTGTTTTTCTACTAAGCCAACTGAAAAATTGATTTGAAAGTCATTTTTGTGTATACTCACGCGTAGAAATATACACGGTGAAACTCGTGCTAAAGTGACGTCACAATGAGGCTACAGAGACGTTAATAAAAATGTAACGATATAGGGCAGCAAGAAATTCAAATACTGAGTATGTTATTAGTGCTTTTAAACTTGTAAAATGTAAATATAAGGAATGTTTTTAAGTTTAGTGTGAATTATTGGTGTGTAAATCACACAGACTTGCACGTAGGCATATTTTTCATGAAGCGCTAGCGTGTTTCATGAAATATGCCTACGTGACAAGTCTGTGTGATTTACACACCAATAACTCACACAAAACTTGAAAACATTCCTTAATTGTGGCCCCTCCTTACCCCCAGGGGTCATCATTTGAACAAACTTGAATCTACATACCTGAGGATGCTTCCATATCAATATGACTAAACATGGCTTTGTTGTTTTTGAGAAAAAGATTTTTCCTTTATATTCCTATGTAAAACATTAATCCCCCTTGTGGCCCCACCCTAATCCCCAGGGGTCATGATTTGAACAAACTTGAATCTATACTACCTGAGGATTATTCCATATCAATATGAATAAACATGGCTTTGCTGTTCTTGAGAAAAAATATTTTTCCTATAAATTCCTATGTAAAATATTGACCCCCCCTTGTGGCCCCACCCTAATCCCCAGGGGTCATGATTTGAACAAACTTGAATCTACACTGCCTGAGGATGATTACATATCAATATGATTAAACAGGGCTTTGCTGTTCTTGAGAAAAAGATTTTTAAAGTTTTTTCCTATATGTTTCTATGTAAAACTTTGATCCCCCATTGTGGCCCCACCCTACCCCCAGGGGTCATGATTTGAAGAAACTTGAATCTAGACTACCTGAAGATGCTTCCATATCAATATGACAAATCATGGCTTTGCTGTTCTTGAGAAGATTTTTAAAGCTTTTTTCCTATACATTCCTATGTAAAACTTTGATCCCCCCCACTTGTGGCCCTAACCTAGCCACAGGGGTCATGGTTTGAACAAACTTGAATCTACACTATCTGAGGATGCTTACATGTCAATATGACTAAACAAGGTTTAGGTGTTCTTGAGAAGATTTAAAGATTTTTTCCTATACATTACTATGTAAAACTTTGATCCCCCCCCCACTTGTGGCCCTAACCTAGCCCCAGGGGTCATGATTTGAACAAATATGAATCTACACTACCTGAGGATGCTTACTTGTCAATATGACTAAACAAGGTTTAGCTGTTTTTGAGAAGAAGATTTTAAAGATTTTTTCCTATATATTCCTATGTAAAACATTGATCACCCATTGTGGCCCCACCCTAATCCCCAGGGGTCATGATTTGAACAAACTTGAATCTAAACTACCTGAGGATGCTTCCATATCAATATGACAAATCATTGCTCTGCTGTTCTTGAGAAGAAGATTTTTAAAGATTTTTTCCTACATATTTCTATGTAAAACTTTTATCCCCTATTGTGGCCCCACCCTAACCCCAGGGGTCATGATTTGAACAAACTTGAATCTACACTATGTAAAAAAGGTTTCCTATAAGTTTCAACTTTTTTGTGCCTGTGGTTCTTGAGAAGAGGATTTTAAAAATATGCCACCAAATTTGTACTATTTCTGAATTATTTCCCCTTGAATGAGGGTGTGGCCCTTCATTTGATTAAACTTGAATCCCCTTTACCCAAGGATGCTTTATGGCAAGTTTGGTTGAAATTGGCCCAGTGGTTCTGGAGAAGAAGTCAAAAATGTGAAAAGTTTACAGACGGAAGGACGGACGGACAGACAGACTACAGACAAAATGTGATCAGAAAGCTCATTTGAGCTTTCAGCTCAGGTGAGCTAAAAATGCGGCACATTTACAATGACTTACTAATGACTGATTACAATAACTATGATTGTTACTTAAAAGTTCTCAGAGATACTTGTAACAGAGCTGTTTACCCTTTTCTGCATTTTTTTTTTAGTACATGTACATGTATTTATTGGAATGGTTTCTGTTTGTAATTTGAGCTTTTTTTATCAGTAATTTTGTGTTGGCAATACACTGTCTTGATTTTCTAAGGTATGTTTGAATACTTTTAATTAGAAATTTCCTGCATGTCTAGCCAATTCTACCATGAGTTTCAAACACTGTCAAAAGCATAATTTCTTGAGGCCAATCTGTAATCTGTATTTTGAAACAAAAATCCAGGATAAATTTCTGTAATAGTAAACAGCTTTGATGTAAGTGTTCAGAATTTGCTTCATGTAATTCATGGCCATCAGTCAGTAATTGATTCCTAAAAACATATCATATTAAGAGTGGGTCTATTGCCAGAATATTTTAACTATATCTACATTATGAAGTTGTGATTCAATAGTCCCAAATTTAAGTAATCAATACTGAATACATGTATTAAATGAGATGAAAATTCAAGTGAATGCAACATAACGGACCCACAAATCCAAATGGAGAAAATAAAGCACACAATCACCTGGGAGTTTCCAATACATGCAAAAGTATTAGCAAGTTTTGTTCATACCTACACAGGTGGAGCTGTTTTTAACAAATCTTCGACTGTCCCTCTGCATGCCACCAAACTTTAAAATTCTCATTCTTGGTGAAAATCTGTTGCAAGAAAATATTTTCTTCATGGTTCAGAAAAGTTTCAACGATTCTTTTTTCAAAATGTTAAAAACTGAGACTTGGTACCTAGATTTTTATTCAAACAACTACATACATGTATCTGAAGGGTTAATCAGTTTGAGAAAGTATATTTCTACTTTATTTCAATTTTGTTTCTGTAACCATGTGAACCAAATGTATTCAAAGAGTGACTCTACAACTTACTTCACATTTGATATCAGTGACTGCATAAAGATTCCCTCTTCATAACATTTTGTTGCTGTAGACGGAAGAAATTCATTTTCTGGTGCCACCACAAGGGGATTGTTCTTGCCAAACTTGCTGGATAGGTACAGCCGAAAATTCCTGTTTTTAGTGTACACACCTGAGATAATACATGAAGGCTCTGAATTTCTGTATGAATTATCTAAAAACATTGCAACCAGATTTCAAAATCAAACTTAAGGACAATTTTACATGCACCTACATATACAGAATTGCACCTGACAATACATTACATGAAATGGATATCTGATGAATAAAGTTAGCTTACCCAAATCACAAAATGCAGTTTTCTCTCCCTTCTTTGTTTTAACAAAAAGAGATGACAATTGCTCTTCTGTAAAATGTTCAAATACACTGTCAGATAACTTTTCTTTCTTTCCACCTTCCTCAGGCATTTGATCATTTTCACCAATCAATACTTCATCAGTAAATTTCTTCCAGTCCTGTGGAGTGCCAGTACGTTCAGTTTGACCTTCAAATTTTTCCGATGACTTCCCCTGTTGTTTTGCCCTCGTTGCGTCATCTTCTTTTCTCTGAGATGTACAAGCTTCGTTGCTGTCGTGTAGAGACTGTTCTCCTTTAACTGTTTTGCATTCACAGTGTTGGCTTAGTGCAGTGATTATGTGCTGCACAAAATTGCCTAAAAGATACTGAAAACATTTTATTCAACAATTTACCATTCATTATATACTGAAAAACAAACACAAATGATTGTGTGCCATGAAACATTTTTATTTGCATAGACATTTGTTTCTCTGTGTTGATGTTTTATTATATTAATGTAATGCAACATATCTTATGTGGATCCAATGTGTTCAATAGTCTGAAAATTAAGCAATTATGACAAAAAGTTGCTGTACTTTATAGTTCATACAAAAGATACTGCTTTATTTTAACATATATCTACTGACCCACTGTAATGTTGTCTTGAAAGGCCACATCAGGAAGAAGGAAGACAAGATGTCTACTGAATTTCTTATCAGTGCTGAAAAAAAAATAGTATTCTAGAATAATGTATCTTCTCTGTCAGACCACAACTTGAAATTTCTTGGTGAATCCATTGTCTATATTCTATATACACAGTTACAACAGAACATGTAAGTCTGTTTACTGCATGTACATGTAACATGTAAATACTCAAAAGGCTTTAAAATCTTCAGCAGAAATAATATGTGGATACTTGCCTGGCATCCAAATCAAGAACATTTTTCCTTGTGCACTTCAGACTGAACTCTAGGTCTAACCATAAACAGACATACTGTAAAGAACAAAGAAGAAGGTACACTTTTGACTTTATTTTGCCCAAAAAAATTAATGTCTTCAAAAAGTTTTGAAACTGGCTTAAATATTAATAGAGTATATGAATGTAATAAATCAGGAAAGTATATGGCATGAAGGAGTACCATTCTGGAAATATGACGTCATTAATTTGATGCCTTTCTCTATTCTAAACAGAAAAAGCCTCAAAATGACCCATTTCAAGGGTTATTTTCCTTAAGAAAATAATGTCCACAGCCATCGCCCACTAAAATTTTCGGATATGTTGTGTAAAATTCTTTGAAAAATCACATATCTCAAAATCTTTGTGGGCGATGCCTGTGGACAATATTATCTGAAAGAAATTTCCATGGAAAATTGGTGTCCTCTGCAACTTTTTAGTAAAATACGGGAAAATGCACATGTTTATGACGTCACAATTAGCATTTAGAAGGTCATATGAGAAAAATCATTTGCAAGATCTTTCTGCATAGAATTTCAATGACTCAGAAAGCATGAGTTTTAATTTTTTACATCACTTTCATTTTTAAGAAAAACACAGGGCAAGATTTGTATTGAAACCGTACCTTGTTCTTTCTGATAAGAAGTAATAAACTGTAATTTATTTCTTTTTTTGCATTCTCTTTTGCCTTAATTAAACCTCCTAGAGGATAGGTTTTGGCACTTTGCCACTAAGTTTACCATCAGACTGATAACTTTCTATATTTCCTGCTCTTTTTTTAAAGCTGGGTTAAGAACAAGAACATAAGGCTCAAGAACCCTTGACTTGGGGAGGGGAGGGGGAGATTGCTCACAATTCTCATTATCATGTATTTCCATGATATATCAAAAAGCTGTGTGATTAAGTACTTATGCTGAGACAGGCAAATAGGCAGAATGGATCCCCTGTCAACAGCCATGTTCTGCAGGTGACAAAAACTGACCTGAATAAATGTGTCCACCATCTTGATTCCTATCTGGTCTAGATTGTCTGGAATGGAGTATTCCAGATCAAAGTACAGCTTACACACAGATCCTGAAAGGAAAAGAATATTAAAGAATTCCCTTTCATAATGACAGTCTCTACAAGATTTTCTACTCAAATATTACCAGTACACATGTACTAGTATATGCACATGTATTTCTGGGTGTTTTCTTTTAAACTTATCAAACATGCAACTCACCTTCTGGAATGATCTCATAATGAAGTTTCTTTTCACTGGACAGCTGACTGAAATTAAAGTTTAGTTGTATTAATTCTAACTCACCAGTCTTCATTAAATATTTATCTTATGAAAAAGTGAAAACAGCTTTTTTTTTCCTATTATGCATAAACATTCATGTAATTTTCTTTTAACTCGAAACGTGGTAAAATCAACCGAGGTACATTGTATATAGACTCACCTATAGTAGTGCCAGAACACTTCATAACTGGATACAAGGTACATTCGCTTTCCATCACCTAGTCCAAGACTGGAACTCTCAAATGCAAATACATGCAATTCCTGAAAACAAAAACTTGACTTATGATTCCAGTACTATCCAATTTACACTGCAATCAAAGTTTCTGCCTAAGATTACCCCAGACATTAAGAAACAGAAGGAAGAACTGGAAAACTGACAGAGTAAAACATGGCCCTGCAGTATTCTTATATAAAAATGTTGACCTTCGACCTTTGATCCTCAGAATTTATAGGGTCACTTTCAATTGTGAAAATTGAATAACGTTGCATGTTAAAATACATTCTTTTGTACCAAATTAAAATGTGTTCATATGAAAATAAATGAATTCCATTTACTCTGAATCAGAATGAAAGTTTTCAAAAGTCATTTCCAATTATATGATACATATGAAGTCTATAGGTTACAAAATATCACAATGGTCATATTCATCTCAAAGGGCCCAGCTTTCAACTACAAACATCAAATGTAAGGTAGCTGAAAAGGGTTTATTTTGAAGAGGTACATTTGTGTACTATTAAGGGATGTGTTTTTTGAGTCTAAAGGGCTTCTATGTCATCCTTGTTATAATAAAAAATGGCATGAAAATCATGAGTGCTCCATACCCTCTATAAAAAAAAATGGCACAAAAATCAGGAATGTTGCATATTCTCTATGGAAATTGTTGCATATCTTCTATCAAAATATGGAAGGAAAATCACAGATGTTCTGTACCCTAAGTCAATTGGTAAAGTTTGAGGCTGACCGGACTTAAGGGAAAGAAATTATGCACCGAGCAAAGATTTTAAACAGAGAAGCTATTTTTGACCTTGACCCTTGACCTAGAAACTTTGTTCTAGGTCACTGCACATACATTGACCAGTGGCACTCTGTAAGTGAAGTTATTCAAGTATGAGCCACATTGAACCAATAGGAGAGAAGATATGCTCCGCACAAGGATTTTTCATATAATTCTGCTATGATCTTAACCTCAGACCTAGAAACATGGTTCAAGGTCCTGCACACCCTTTACCCAAAGGTACTCTGTGGGTGAAGTATGAGCCAGATTGGGCCAAGGAGAGAGAAGATATGCTCCGGACAAGAGATCTCGGATGGACAGATGGACGGAAGAATGGAAGGACAGACTGATCACTATAGGGCACCCGCAGAGCGGGGCCCTAATAATTCCAAATTCTGACTACAATCTTTGACCTTAACATGTACATATACTTCATAATTTTCAGTCATTGGTTATGGATGGGAATACCTCAGATTGGTCTCTGGCATAGTTGAAAGCACTCTGCTGTCTGTAAAACAGCTTCCAGTCAAAGACAGGTCCTGTTATCCTATATTACAATGCAATTATGCTTGACAGTCTTTTAATTACCATGTTCAAGTTCATTTATATATTCACTCAAAACCATCTAAAATATATGGTACATGAGGACAAAGAAAAATATTTACAACATAAAAATTCCGGTCAGAGGTACAAGTATATATGATAATTACTTATTCAGAAAATGAACGTGAAAGAAGACAAAGGAAAGAAAAAGAAGATAAATACATATAATACATATACTAATAGTATAAATGAGGGAAAAAAATGAAAATATTAATATGAAAATTTTCTGTACCAGTGCAGCTCTTACAATACCAACCAATTACTTCATGAAGTTTTAATGAACTTGATATGCACTCTTATCTTTTTTTTTTAAACAAAATCACTATTTGCTAACATAAATATTTTAAAATTTCATTCAATTTAATAAACTAGATGTTATTTCTTGTTGGTACAATGCATTTAAAATTGACATATTAAATGCGTTTGATTAACTGAATGCTTTTTTTGTATATATAACAACAAATGATTCATTATATAATGGATTCAAAAAAATTATCAACTCTAAATATTGTTGTTTTCAAAAAAGGTCAATAACTTTTTTTTATTTAGTGTCTATTTCAGGCTTTGGGCTTTTTCTGTAATAAAAAGGAAACTAATAAATAGCTTACTCAGATGTGTATAAAATTTATTGTCTATAGATATGATGGTCTTAAACAAACTGTAGACAAAATACTCTACATGTATCGGGACAAACTTAATATAGTTACCTTTGATTATAGTTCTTTGGAATACTATTCTCTTTGAAGTTCTTAACCTTTTCATTTAAAGTGTTTTCAATAAGTTTCCTTTTCCTGGAAAAAAAATCGAGTTTAATATTGTAAGGCCCTGAGTTAACCTCCAACAAACCTGCCTGTGATATAGGCCTATGTAATACTACAGAAATTGAATGTCGAGGTAATTCATTGTGGATCAAGGATGACAGCACGTCTGGTCACCGTTAACAGGTTAATGATTCGATCAATGCATCAAGCATCGCAGCTTGAAAGATGAATATATTAATCAGAAAGTTGCGTGGATTACAAAATCGTGTAAAAATGAGTTCCAATATCCACTCACCTCAGAGCATTTTTGTTGGACAGGCCGTAAAATACACCCCGTGATATTGTTGACATTATTAAATTTTGGCGCCATATACAATTTAATAGGTCGTACTTAAAATGGTTCTGACAGCTGACATGCAATGAAAGATAGCTTTCGCCCCATTCTCTATTTATTAAGTTTTTAAAATGTTTTCCCCCATTTATCATGATCTTTCTTGAAAACTCAAGAATGAATGTAGTTTTTAAAGGTTGTTGATATTACATCTGTTTACATAAGACGAATCATGAGACTTTTTCATAATGTACTTCATAATGTTACATATAGCTTGTACATAAAATACACTACTGTAAGCTACAGAAAGGATATATGCCCTATATAAAAGATATGTTAATATCTGATTATTTAAAAGAAATATTAAGTATAATGTATTTCTGCTTTAAAAGTTCACAAGGATATGTTATTTTTTAAGAAGCATCAACAAGCCTTGGAGAAAACTTCAAAAGTATTAAACATTCTGACACACCTTCATTAACTTAAAAAAAAAAAAAAAAACAACTGAAAAACATTTCTTAGGTGGAATAAATCATCAAGGATATAAGCATAATAAGGATTTTCTACAATGTAAATGTTTACAGCTCTGATGACTCCAACTAGGTTCCAAGGTTAGGTACAATATTGAAGAAATTGTAACTTTCAAGATGTAAAATCACATTAGACCAGTAAGTAACTTGAATAAAATAAAAACAATACAGCATAGTTGCTGTCTGAAAGAAATTACTTTTATTGGACGGAAATAAACAGTGTACAAAACATGCAATAACAATAAAAATTCTCTGCGCAGATATTTTCTTAAACCAGTGTCTTGCACAATTTCTGCACTTATATAATATGATAAATATAAAATGTCTCCATTGCAGTATCTTAAGGTTTTTCAAGTTAGATTACAGTGAAAACTTTCTTATCCAACACCTAGCTGTGCAATCCATTTCACTGCGAGTTCCAAAATTTATTTTCTTTCCCATTTCTACTAATTTCCAGTTCTTTACACAGTGCAATCTGATATCCTGTCTATTCCAACACAAAATTTATCTCTGCATAAATATCAGACTAGAGAGGTTTCACTGTATCTTTGTTTTGCTGAGGGTACATCATAGTAATTAACCCACAATTCCATTTTATGTGACAGCAATGAAGTACATGATCTGGCTGTGTAAGTACAACTTATGTAAAAACCTACAAAAGTTTTGACTCATTTTCTGTTTAAAGTGAAAACAGCTCTATATGAAACAGTCAACTACATATTTCCAGAGCATAAGTGGAATAATTATATAGGTTATTTTGACAGCAAAAAGTAGGGTAATTAATTGTAACAAAGAATGGGTGGACTTAACGCCCTATTTTGGATCTTTTTGCAACTACTCTACCAAGCTGTAAATGAAGTGAGTCCAAAATATATTACAAGCAATAGAAAGAGTTACGTATACATAGTTATATTAGGTAGAACATTTGTACAAAAGCAATGCCCTGTTGCCATGAATCAAAATTGAAGCAACGATACATTAGTGTCGTCTTCCGGAATTTGGCATGTACCCGGAGTGGTTTTTAGGTCACATAATCAATATTAATAGGAGGCGGGACCATCGATCGGCGTCATTGTTGACATCTCTCTCTCTCTCTCTCTCCCTCTCTCTCTCTAGAAATTCGAATATGTGTATGGCATATTACAGCGATGTCAATATGAAATTTAAAAAAAAATGTGTGGATACGCAAAATTAAAACAACATTTAATTTGCTAAATTCTGAAAACGGCAACCAAACACGCTCAAAGACGTTAATTTTATCGAGGTCAGGTTGAAGAATACAATGTAACTGTTTTCACGAGTACACTCGCAGGTGGACATCACGTGATGAATTGTAATATTTAACAGGTCAATCGAAGTCAAATCAAGGTTAACTCAGTCATAACAATGGAAACGAGAAGTTTGTTTTGAACACGCTTTTTGTTAAATTAAGTGTGAGCGCACGTTTGTCGGCTCTTCTCCTTTTAATATGACATTATTTTGTTCAATATACAACTACAGTTTTCTTAAGAACAGCCGACAAACATGCGCTGACTATGTACTCAGACGATGAAAAACGCATGACCCTGATTATCTATTGATATTCAAGAAATCTTCAGGCACCATGCCTTCGATATTTATTTAGTTTACCTCGAAAAGAGCGTTTTAAATTCATATCTGTTCCATGAATACACGGTTAAGATATCGGGGATTTATATGATTGAAAGAAATAAACATTTCATGAAACTTTAATTTACGGCATTTTTTCTGGCCAGTTAAGTCCACCCATTCTTTCTTCTATTTTTGTAAAAATAAACTAACAATATACAGAAATTAAGTAAAGATATTGTATATATATATCTAATAGAAATAAACCAAATTTATGGATTTAAATATTATATCATTTCTTTAGCAAAGTTCATATTTTCAATAAATATATATTCAATATAACAATGCAAATGTATATGGTATTTTGTGAAAACAAAATTAATCACAATCTTTTTATTGTTATCTGCATAGACTTAATTTATTGACAACCAGAAGTATTGTGTGATGTGGATGTACAGTTATACCCCTTTACCCATTAATAAGAAATAAATATTTGGACACTAACTTGTTACATTATTTTGTTACATTATTTCAGTACAATATGCCCTATCAACATCATTACAACATTAGCTCTACCAGTTTCTGCTTCAGACATAGAAATAGTATGTATACAAAATGCTACCTTGCAGCTGCAATGTAATTCCAAAAAAGAGCAGAATATGTTGTTAAAGCTACAGTCCTGCTGCTAAAATAAAGATGATAAATCTCCAACAAAAACTAAATCCTGTAAGTGCTATTTCTGTATGACCTCTGTACACTTCACGCTCCATTCTTCATCTTCATCATCTGGTGTGAAATGATACGCAATCTAAAATTTAAGCAATAAAAATTACCATTGTACATGAATAAATGCTTCATTGTATTCATTTCCAAGCAACTAACTTAAAATCAAGATTCCTTTGAAGCTCCTTTGGACTGTATAAGCACAATATAATGAGGTCAAGGTCATAGAAAAGGTCAAGATCAGAAAAGTTTATCACAGTTGAAAAAAAGGATTTCCCCTTGATACTAACAAGAATTGCAAATTTTGAATAAACTGGACTTCACAATTTATGGAACTATGGCTATACTGTTTTTCATACATGTATATTAACTTGCTATTCTTTAAAGATGGTAACTTCGAATTACTTGGACCTATAGCTAACACTTACTATCTGAGAGTGTGACTTGACAGAGAATGATTCCTCTAGAGATGGTCGATTTGTGAGACAGTTTTGGCTGCTGGAACAATCCAGCTTGACGCGGACTGTACTGTAAGACTGAAGTAAAAAACAAAGCTGGTTACACTGTATTTACATTCTAATCTGTAAAAGACAATGCATGGTTATACTAAACATTACACTCTATTTTGTAAAAGACAAAGCTGGTTGTACTGTATTTTACATTCCAATCTAAAAAGCCATTATTTTTTATCTCTATGCAAGTCATAAACCATTTGTAAATTAATGTCTAATCCAAAACTGCAGATTTTGAGAAATCTTTGTACATTTTTTCCTTGTAATACATGATTACCTTGTTGTCCAGCACTATGCTGGCCCTAGTATCTCCCATGTAAGTGTACATTGTCAAATCCTTCATGCCTTTCACCTTGGTAGCTTCACCCTGTGAATATAAAAGAAGTAACATACATTCATTGTAAAAATTTCAAGTCTGTACAAATCACATTAAACGAAGAGAGTTCTATAACTGAACAGTAGGTGATTGTGCTGATCAACTGTTACACTGTTTATATATTCTTCCTATCCTCTAATGATCATCAAAACATTAGAATCACAGCATATATACTGCTTATTGTATCGGACATAAAACAACAATGGAATAGAAACAATTGGGGTGGGGGTGGGGTCCATATCTATGCACTTATAAAACAGAACAGGTATTAAGGACAATATACATTTTAGTATTTAGCCTAAATTTTTAGGCAGAAGCTGTTATCCCAAGGCCAATGTTATTATTACTTGACACATGTACTGGTAATTATAATACATATTTTATTACAAACTGCCCTTCATACAATAACAACTGTGGTGAAAACTATTTCTGCAGACAGGTAGGGCAATTCTTCTGGCTGACTTAAAAATCAATCATGATAATTATCACAATAGGTAGGTTATCTACCTTTTCCATCACAGACTGACAGAGAGGGCGCTGCAGTTTATCCATCATAGATTCTATAGCAACCACTTTAAATTCAGCATCATCACAGTCCTCTGTATACACATTAACTAAGAAAGGACAAGCCTGCAACAATGAAAAATAAAATATAATATATCAAGGTTCTATAAATTTTCACATTATAAGGCATGTATACAAACCATCAATTATAAACTGAATTGTTTGAATGGCATTAGTTCTGTCAGGCATGTAAACAAATCATCAAATATAAAGTGAATTATCTGTATTGTAGTAGAGTTCTGTACCTCATCCATAACCAGCTCCTTGTTGATACCCAGACTCTCCAGAGTCACCCACATATCATCTTCATCTCCGTTAGAGTCCTCAGCTTCCAAGTCATTCAGCTGAAGGAAGCCATTCTTTGTGATTTCTCCATTCTCAAGTTCAAGACGCTCTGAAATGAATGATGATTAAATGTTTTAATTTTTTTCATTGGCATTTGATCAAATTTTATCTATTATTTTAACCATTAGAAGCTATTACTTAATATAGTCTACTAGTATATTTAAAACCACTTAATTTTCAGGTAAGTTGACATTCAAAGCATAGTATATTTATTTCTTCAAAGATAATCATTTAACCCCTTCCACTAGTTCAAAAAACTCCTTCATGATATGGACAATTTTTATATAAACAATGGGATCACTCTGTTCCAAGGATACAGAATTAAGACCCTTACCCTCTACAACCTCCCATTCATCGTCCCCGACCTCTTCATCACTTGTCCTGATGTTGTACCAGTTAAACTCCTCTCTACTCATTGTTCCATTTCCATCCAGGTCTGATAAATCAAAGACATCCTCTAACACCTTCCTAAAATGAAATTACAACTCTCTGAGTGTACATGCAATTTGCATTCCATGCATATCACTGATGGTAATTTAAAATGATTACATTCCTAGCCCAAAGGACCATTGAGGATGGAGCTGACACACAGTATTAAATCTGAAAATTGGACATTTACCTACAACTGAAAGAGACAGCATTTTTGACTGGGAGTACAGTATTAAGAATATATCATGAACAAACTACATGTATTATTCATAAAAACGTTCTTCACAGTTCATCAGTACAAAATCCATCTGGGACCATTCTCACCTGAGGGAACTTTCTACATAAAAGCCATGGTTCTCAGCAAGAAATATTTGTGAGTAAAGAAAAGGTTAAGAAACTCATAGATATTTCTTGCACACAAAAGAAAAGTTGGTTTACAAAAAAAAAAACTTTTATTCTGAATTGTCTATTAATGGACAAAGTAAACATTAAGACATTAAACAGTACATGTATAATTTACCTAAAAGCTTTAGTGATGGTGTGTTTTCCCTCTTTGCACTGCAGTAGTTTTACAGGGTTGGATGACTCACTCTCTCGCTTTTTAAGACGAGATCCAGTTGTGAATGGAATTACATGATAGTTTCCTGCATCCAAGGAACATTTCACTCCATATTTCTAAAAATAATTCAAAAAACTTTAAAAATTCAATTCAGACATCAGCTGTGATGGGCATACTCTTCCATCATATTATGGTGTAAACAGAATTAATTTTGTTTATGGGTGTACAGACTGGTTCTGTAGAGCACTGAAATGTTTAGTACTGACCCCTTTGGAATCTCTGTGCTGTGTGAATGTAATCAGGACATTACCATCATCATCAGGTCTTTCCCTCAGGATAAACAGTGCTGTATCTATGATCTGATCAACGTTGGCTGAAATATCACATTCAATAAATTTCATTTTACTCCAGACCATATACAGTAAAACACGCTTATAACAAAGTGTCAGGGATGGATAATTTTGCTTTGTTATAAGCGTTATTTGTTATTGTCTGACGTCATGGCGTCAGACAGTATTAGATTTAGCCAAGGCTTGTTGGTCAAGTCGTTCAATAGAATTCTTGTGATAACTTGATCTTGGAAACTTCATACTCAGTTGGAGAGCATGGGGAGTACAGAAAACAATCATGCTAAACACCCAAACAAGCGAGAGTACTGGACCTATTTATTATCACATTATACATTACAGGTTACATAACATTTGGCCATTCTCGAATGCATATCATTTATGTCCAGCAAAACAGCAGGAATGAAGCTGATCAGGTCAACACTTGTCAATTATCTTTATCTACCCCCCCCCCCCCCCCCCATTCCTACATCTAAGAAAAAAGAAATTACAAGTAATATAATGTACACAGAATAAATTCATGACAAGTTTTATTTTATGTTGATGCCACTGAATTGAAATTTTCTTGTTTCTTAGCAAAAGAATTCATTTCATGACTAAGACTCATGTTGATTACACTGTATTTGACATTTCTTGATTCTTCACGTAAAAATAAATTTGCTCAAGTCAGACAAGCTTTTTAGGAAAGCTAATACTTGTGTCTGTTAAGTTTACAATGAATTTTAAACTCAAGGGGAATGAAATTCACTTCCCTGTAAGCGTCAATTCATTATAAGTGTGTTCGCTATAAGCATGTTTTACTGTATATTAGCTGGAAAAAGTCATAGAAGTTATTATTTACCCGGTAATATGATTTCTATGCAATATATTTAAAAATAAATAAAAGATTTATTTTGAATTTCATATGTCAGTTTAGAAACACCTTTACTTCTTAACAAATTTAGGCAGTAAAGTTTAATTTATTTATAGAAAATCTGAATACATGTACCTAATTTTAACAACTAATATGTCATTTTGTAATCAAGTGTACCAGTAATTACCTTGACAGCGACTTTTGATTGGCTCTATTGTAATCCACACAGAAGTCTCCTCTGTTAGTTTAAGATCGTACTGATGGCAAAGAAGGTTTCCAGTATCCTCATCAATGAAGAACATTCCTTTGCTTGTTGTGTGTGTCCATTCCTATATATAATTCAATATTTTCCAAGTAGCATTCACAAAATGACATGCTATATTAATCATCATTGTACACGTTTACAAATTATCAGCAAATCCCAAATTTAGGGCTGGGATGATACACTTTCTTTCAAAACGTTAAGTACAACAAAGAAAAGAAAGTCTGAAATTTTCTTTTTTGTCACGATATTTCAAAACACTTATTGACACTCATTATATCATTATCACACAGAATCAATATTAGTTCAACTTTAAAATAATGTTTGCTTGCCCTCTCCCAACTCAGGATGAGAAAATTGAGTCGGTAGGTAGGTGAGAAACTTTTTTTAAAGGAAATTTCAAAATCAATGCTGAATTTTCAAAATCTAAAATTACTTCCTGAGAGGTTAAAAAAAGTTTTGAGTCAGGCCATTTTTAGCCAGTTGGCTGGGAGAGGGCAACCAAACAATTTTTTAAAGATGGCCTTATTGATATTTCCATATATCATCCCAGTCCTACCCCAATGTATAGTGGATAGCTAAAACAATGCACTAAATCACAGACACTGACAAAAGGAATTTGATATACACCTTAAGATTCTTGGGCTCATATAGTTTAGGCAGGGTTGCTGCTGCCTGACCCTTGGATTTCCTGTTTCTGGGAGATGGCTTTGGAAGATCATCTGCCATATAAAGGAAAATTAACAATGAGGCTTTTTTTTCAGCAACATTTACCCGAAAAATTTACATAAAATTCCTTGAATATATTCTATGAACAGACGCTGTTATAATTTCTGATTGACGTATACGTACCAACACTCAGAAGAGACTTTCGTGACCCAGCCAAAGATGCACCTGTCAAAGAAAGTGGAGAAATAATAATGAAATTCTGTGTCTTGAATGATAGTGACATTCATAAGTCATTATTCTTGAGGAGTATTTAGATAAACTGAGGGGGAAAATTGGGATATTTTAGCATCTTAAGCTAATGCTTTTTCAAAATTCTCTGCATATAGCAGCAGAATACAAAGAATTTCAAGCAAAATTTTTGCATCTAGTGATCTACTATACTGCTAAAAGCAGTACATATATACATGTACCAGACATAAGCAAAATCTAAAAGGCTTTAACTGCAAAGTATACATAATAAGAGTGCTTCACAGTAGAAACACACTCTAGTATAATTGAAATTAAAATAGAAAACAACTATGTCACAATCAACATGTATAACACATGATCTTCTGGAGACTAAGGATTATATATTGGTTTGATGTAACATTTTAGCTGTAAAAATTCAAACCACTCAGGTGAAAGCAAGCAATTAAAAAAATGTAGTTCTTCTAAAATGGTAACAATCCAACCAAATCACTGTCACACATCAATAAAGCCTCAGAATATCCTTGTTATAATTCACAACTATTAGACAATGTTATACGTGTCCCATCCAATATCTGTGCACATCTTGTTTAAATTCATGTAATGAACATGTTAATTTAAATTCCAATGAATATATTTCCAACAGAAACAATGAAAATGCTTTTGTACTATATATTATTTATCACAAATGCATTTGTTATCATGTGACATGTGATGCAAAGATTCCTGACCTTATACTCAACAATGTTTTAGAATATCTAAAGCTTAGAGTTTCATCAAAATTCTTAAACCTTAATTGTGATCATCATTTGCAATCAATGCAATTACTTTTTTTTTCCAAGATTTTGATTATGAAGAGGAAAAGAAAGGTTGCAAAACTATAAATCAAAAGAAAAATATCACAAATAATAATATAAAAAAATTAATACCCAGTAAATTATCTTAAACTATTTAGACCTTGACCTTTGACCAATTGATCCATACCCTAAATTTAATGATAGGAAGTCTAAAAAATTACAAGCATTCCAGTGATAGTGTTCAAATAAATCTTTGGCAGATATGAGAATAAATGTTGCCTTTTGATATAATGACTCAAAAATCTCAAACTTTCATTCTATAACTATATAATGACAATGTTGAGATTGTGACAACTGTATGTTGAAAATAGAGGATTCATTATCACATTAAAGTGTCAACAGATAGACAAAGTTATCTGCTCTAATCAAATAGTGGAAAGATTTTGAAACCTTGCAAAAATCCATACCACATGTTGAATCAACATTTACTATTTTTTATCATTAAAAGTTATAACTGAACTTTTTTTTAACATAGTTGTACAACTGTACAATTTAGAATTCCATATCAATAAAAAAGTCTTCACCCATATTCAAACAAGTAATTTCATAAAACTTGCAAAGGAAAAGACTCTAATGGGTATCTGAAAACTGCAGTCTATAATTGGGAAGCAATCAGTGCCTACAGGGATATGACGCTGTGTCAATATAAGCAAAGAGAGCAGAAATATGACTTCCAAGATAAGTAATGCATGGCAAGAAAAATAACACAATAGCTATGATGAACATCCAGTGGTGAGGAAACACGGAGCCGTGAGTACCTGACTTCATGGAGGCGAAGGAACCAAACATACTCCCTTCATCTGTACAAAAAAGTCCACAGTTGTTAAACTGATACAGACTTCAAAATTGCTTTAAATCTCATACTGTCACTCTTAAAAACATACTTCTAATATAATAAAACAATATGTATTGAATAGGAAATAAATTTTGCTTAAAAAAATTCAAAAACATCTGATCTCTCTTCCTGGTTCTGTAACATAGACACTCTCAATAACACTTTTTTGTAGCTAAGTGATCTGCTTAACAAAATCTAAAAATAACACTAAATAACAGTGTTAAATCTTACTGATCTGTTTAACAGATTTACTGTCTTTCCTAGCACGGGGAGTAGGCCAGACTGATTTAGGAGTTTCTTCTTCAGAATCATCCTGCTCTTCTCTAATGGTTGCTGTCTCAGCAGGTGCAATAGAGTCCCGTTTGGATTTCAGAGAAACTCTAGATCCCAGATTTGGATCTCCTCTTGACTTCAGGGAAACTTTGGATCCCATATTTGATTCCCCTCTGGATTTCAGAGAAACTTTAGATCCCATAGTTTCTTGTTTGACAGTATCTCCATCTTTCGATTTCAGGGAGAGCTTTGAACCACTTATATCTGCTTTAGAATCTTTCCTTGACCTCAGGGACACCTTGGATCCCATAGCTTCAGACTTTTCCTCCTTAGTATTGAGCAAAGTAGTAGAACCTGTTACTTCAGTGTTACTAGTCCCATCTTCTTTAGATTTCACTGATGTTCTAGATCCCATATTTTGTGTTGATGAAGTTGGTTCCTCTGCTTTAGATTCTGAAATTTCCTCCTTAATAGATACTTGAGATCCCATGCCTTCGGATTTCTGCTGATTTTCCTCCTTGCTTGATTTTAATGATACTTTAGATCCCATATTTGCTGGTTCCTCTGCTTTAGATTCTGATATTTCCTCCTTAATAGATACTTGGGATCCCATGCCTTGGGATTCCTGCTTTTTTTCTTCCCTGCTTGATCTTAATGATACTTTAGATCCCATATTTTGTGTTGTTGCTCCTGGTTCCTCTACTTTAGATTCTGATATTTCCTCTTTAATAGATACTTTGGATCCCATGCCTTGGGATTTCTGCTTATCTTCCTCCTTGTTTGATTTTAATGATACCCTAGATCCCAAACCTTTGGTAGATGCTTGATCATTGTCCTTTGACCTTAGTGAAACCTTTGACCCTGTGTTCTCCTGAGTGACAGCACTGTCTTCTTTAGGTGGCTCTGATGCCTCTGAAGACACATTTGGTTCCTCCATAGCAACTTTATCATCTAACATATTTCCATACAAGTTTTACACAGTGTTACATGTTAAAACTACTAATACCATACAATAATGGATTAGAAATAGTGTATATAAAATCCCTTAATGATATAATTGCCTGCTCAATTATGCATTTTGAAAAATGAAAATAAGATTTAAAAGAAAATAGATGTCTTTCAAATTGTATTATATATCTAATTAATATCAGAGAGAAGGGATCAAATTCCAGAGTTAAGTTAATAAATGAATGTAGCATTCACACACATCCATTAAAGTGAGCATTAACAAAGCTATAGTACATATTTCCACTGCTGTTTACCACACACCCCACTGTAATATTGTTTAATTCTGCCTTGCTGTATCTACTTTTACACTAGCTTCCCATCTACTCTGAGCATTAATCAACTCATCTATTGTGTGATGTCTATTTCATTAACATGTAGTCATGCAATCAGCCTCTATTTGATTTCTAATAGACACTACAAGTACAGAACATTTGTAAAACCTCTTTTTACCTCTGTTAGATCTGGAGGAAGCAGACATTGGCCTCTCACTGTGACCTGCAATTAAATGAAGGGAAACATACAATACACTTGTAGTGGAAGCCATACTTCAGAATTTAATACTGGAATTTAAAAAATTCCAAGCCATTTTTTTTTTGTCAAAAGAAAATGAGATGGTAAATATGCAAACAATTTAATAAAAAAATAATATATCTAACAGGAATTTAAGGGGTAAAAAAGCAAAAGAATGAAATAAAATCGAATTTTGGATTTCATGGTTTGGGTAAGTGAAATGGATCAAGCCAAAAAAAAATTAGCAAAGAGAGTTTATAGACTTTGAAAGATATTGTTAATAGAGTAGTAATAAAAAAAATCTTAAAATCTACAAGCAATTTAAGAAACAAGGTAATATTAAATCTCAGATTATTTATTTAAGGTCTGGGGTGGAGGGTCAAATGAGTGCACTGTGATATGTTCTACATGGATCATAAACTGCATGAATTCAATAATTTTTGGATAGAGAAGAATGGCATACATATTTCTGTGACCTATTTGTAAATGCATGATTACTAGTGTTAACAATAGGTTTTAAAATTACAGACAACAAATACTGATCAGTCTAGCCATCTTATCCTGACAACAGGATTAAATCTCGAGTGAGATTTTTTATGTATTTATTAGGATCACACTTTTATCCTGTTAAGTGAGAGTGTTTGTACAACAACATCACATCACAAAATGAAGAGCTGCTTGGACACACAATGAAATGGATGTTTGTAATGAAGGATAAAATCAACAGAGAGCTGAATCCCCCATTTTTATTTGCAGCATTGGATACTGAATTCTATGCTCAGGAGAAAAAAAATGCATAGATGGCATAAAGCAAAAATATATATCTTTTTATACAAGCACTTTTTAAATACATGTACAGAGATTTCAAGCCAGGAATGATAGCTGCATTAAGAGCTGGTAAAAGAGTTTTACCATCAACATATTTATGTAAATATTCTAATTAAATTAAAAATTAGGAAATTTGATATATGGCATCTTTTGTTAATATTTTTTAATTACAATAAAGTAATTGCTGGATTCTAGCCAAAAATATTATATTCACATTATTCTGTTGAACTACTGCTTTTTTATGACTATATTCTCCAGCAATGATGAATAGCTTCAGAAAATAAATTCAAAAACCATAAACTGAAATTTAGGAATTGTTTATCATCAAGCATAGGTTAGATGTATGAGCAAAATGGATGGGGAATGTGCAAAGTTGTGATGCCACACCAGTGAAAACTGTAGCGGGCTCTTACTTTTTACGGATGCTGCAGATTTAACTGATATCTGTGACCCTGACCTAGAATCACCTGTGTGGACAAAACTTTTTTTTTTCAAAGTCAACAATACCTCATTAACATTTTTTTCTCAAAAGTTAACATTTGAGTGTAGCATTAGTAGAAGTTCACATTAACTATCTTACAATTATTTCATAAGCTATGAACCCTGTATACTGAAATGCATTTTAATCACTATCATAATCTCAATTTCATGTTTTCAATCTATAGTAAGATCTAAAGAATCATACAGTATACATGCATTTTTAAATTTCAATAAAGGTTTAACAAAGGTTTATGAAATGTTTTACTTGTTTTGGTAAGATCTTCCTTCCTTCTTTTTTGTTCTTTTTTCTCCATGATTCGACGAGATGCTTTCTTACATTCCTCTGTTGTTTCCATGATCATCTTACAAAACTGTTTAACAGTAATAAAGTGACAAAATATTAAAAGAATAACCCACTCACTTCGACAAATGTTACTTGTCCATAAGGCAAAGTCTAATATTGAATAAAATTTAGTAAGATCTATTAATTATATGTACAACTGTATGTTCAACATTAAAAGCCTTTCAATAACTAAAACTACACATCAACTGCGGCTTTCTAAGCAAGACAGTTAGCATGTATCTTTTGATGCATCAACCATGCAAGCTTGGTCATAGTAGAAACATAAAATTTCTTTGTAATGGACATGCTCCAAAACTTTGACACCTTCACTTATCAAAATAATAGATGGTTAGATGAGTTTTTGATATCACAGTTTTTACTAGTAATATAAAATTTTCTGAAAAGGTGATAAGAACACAATATACACATGAAGTATCGAACTAAAATAGATTTGCTTAATTTATATACATGTATACATTCTCCTTGACAACAAAGATCATGCTTTAGCCTGCCCATGTTTAATGAAGCACATTCTTTTACTGAAAACAAATAGCAGTGAACTTTTCTTTTATCATGCAGTGTTTAAAAGGTTGGGACTCTTGAAACATTTATACCTCTGCATAGTCAAGCTACCAAGATAAACAAATTAACAAATTTATATTTGTTTTGTAATTATTTATACTCCTTCTAAAACACTGAACCACATATTCATCAATCTTATGTATATCCGCAGCATATACTTCAATTACCTCCCCATAATCCAGGCGACCATCTTTATTTTCATCCACTTCATCAATCATCTTTTTAACCTCTGAACGACTCATCTTCTCACCTTTCTAAATTTGAAAATACAGTGTAGTAAAAAATTCAATAGAATTAAGAGGACAGCAAAGAAAAAAGTCAGACATTTTGAGCTACACAAGAATTGTATATGATGGAAATAACTTTCATATATGTGTTTTATCATGCTTGACTCACAGTGGTCATGATTTTGTACAACTCCTCTAGAGAAATATAACCATCGCCATTAATGTCAATCTTTCTGAATGCCTTCATTAAGTCATCAGCAGTTGTGGCCTTTTCCTTTTTACAGATTTCAACAAAATCATCAAATGTTAAGTGGTCTGAAAATAATAAAGTTCATTAATTTATACATTGTTCATCCAAAAATCATTCTGAAAGATCCAATTCACCAAAGGAAAGCAAATTTTTTGAAAACATCCTAAAATATTTTGTTGTACATCAGCTAAAGGAATTTAATTTATAGGAAAATCTCTACCTGTATCAGATTTCCAATATTTTGACAAAACTCTTTTTGATGGATTTCTACCAGCCTGCTGTAAAACTGAAAAGAAATATGGAGTTTAATTGCCCCTTCTTAAGTACCTGTGTATGGTCCATAATTTTGACACTTGGGTCATAATCAAAAATAAAACTGAAATAAAAAGAAGCATTGTTCCAATACCACAATTTTAACTCTCAGCAAAATTGCTACATTTTACTAAAACATATTTGAAGTCAGGGCTAGACAAATAGCAGTGCCCGACGCCCGGGACAACCAATTTTGTTTGGCGGGCAAGTTATTTGATAAGTGGTACCTGCCCACGGACAAGTGCTTCTCCAGTTAACAAAAAATCAAATGTTGTTTGTTTTATCGCTGTTGAAATGTAATGAATCACAGTAGAGCACCTGTTTTTCGCTGCTGTTCATCACTACATCAAATACTCGGTCGGAACTCCTCTAGAATTTACCCATTCATGTGTAGTTAAAATATATACAAGACGTAAAACATAGCAGCTATCGAATCCATGTCAAAAAGTTGAAGAGGATTTTAGACCTTTTTTAGGTATTGTAAAAAATACTGTAAAAATTCATGCCGTGAATGCAAACGTTTTATACTGATATTAAAATTGGAGTTGTTGACTGGCGATCACTGAAAGTCACAATCGGCATGCAGTGGTGGTTTTCATAATCAAATACTTTATATATTTTTTGTTTTCAATTAAATAAATACACATTATTTTTGAATAATAAAAAAAAAAGGGAATACCTCATTAAAGAATTTTGAAGAAAATAGACTGAAACTTTGACTTTACTAATACCCAGAAAATACAGAAAGAAATCTGAATCTTAAATGTAAAATTTTACTACTAAAATCAGGGACCTAACATATATAGGTCCCTGCTAAAATATTGAACTGTGATCATGTATGCATGAAATAATTTTTTTCAGTTGAGAAATTGTAAGTTGACAATATAGACTTTAATTCTAATGCTTGAAATTCATATGCCTTGCAATTGGAAAACATCAAATGATTTGACGTCTTCATTTTTTTTTCGCTTTGAGTATTTTTGGGATGATAAAGTAACACAGAGAAAAGTTTAGATCATGCACACTGCTCAAGCTAAGAAATCTTCCTGGAACAAGACTTACCCCTAAATTTTTCCATGGAAAAATTAAGTGATTTTGTGTCTAGTTTGGTCCCCATGTAGTGTATCAGTTGAGAAATAATTTAATTTTTAACGATAATGCTTTAATTTTGTGTTAATCAAGAAAAAGGTGGGACAAGCATATTTTTTGGTAGGACAAGTAATTTTACGATGGTAACCTGTCCGAGGGCAAGTACTGAAAAATTCTATTTGTCTACCCCTGTTGAAGTTAAATCCTTCTCCAAATCATAATGCTCATAAGACTAGTGCTTAAACCCAAACCATATGGCCTTAAATGTTTTTTTTAAAGAATAAGATGGAAAGAAGAGCCATTTATCCTTTAAAACAAACCTTGGATGAGGTCCTCTAATGAATCAATCTCATCCTTGATATTGTCATAAATAGACAAGTAAGCAGCTTTACACTCAAGGTAGAACTCTCCATTATCCCCACCTAAGGAAGTCCGACTGGCCCGCCTTGACATTCTGTAACAAACAAAGGTATACATTACAGAAATAGAAATTAAAGGTGAAACCAGTGACATTGAACTTAATTGTCTTCTCTATTTCAATTGACCTTTTATTGAACAAATAAAATTTCATAATTAAAAAAAAAAATCTGATTCAGCAGCTATATATGTGAATGTAATGTCCACTTGCACTGCATTTAGCTTTCAAGATAAATAAACTTTAATACTTACCTACGTTCAGTTACAAATCTTCTTGTTACGTGAAAATGTGATGTCTCTTTAGCATGCAGGATTTAACAATGCAATATATTTACTATTTACTAATATTTAACTGTCAAAACAAGACTAAACCAGACTAGGCAAATATTTTAGAGGAAACTAAGAACGCTGAGCATGCGTAATACGCAAGAAGGCTTCATTCATCCAGTTGTACCTGTTTTATTCGGAATTATACATGCAAAGAGACATTTTAAATCTATTTCGGTTTTTGATTTCTCTTTTTGTAAAAAAAAAGTCATTTGTATGAGATAGTCTTTTTTCCCCAATCTTAGAAAGGTTTTCTACCAAAACATAGACAGACCTCCACGAATGGAACTTTGTATCGCTTAATGATTTATGGTCAGAATTACGTTTTAAAAAAGTTAATTTTGGCTGGAAGATGCAAGTAATTATTGACATTGACTATGCACAAGTCAGCGTACGTTGTTGCTCTGCTCGTTGCTGTTTTGGTGCGATGGCTGGTTTCCCTTCACAAATATTCAGGTTCTATTTATTTAATATTGTTTATGATTAATGAGATGGATTCAAACATTCAGTTAATCTTCTGGAAACTTTTATTTTTTAATTTGACAGAGGAAATTCGAAATTATAACTAAATCTTATAGACAAAGTAAAGCACGGTTACAGCTTGATATAAACTAGGATTGTTCGTGATTGTCAACTTTGTGATTTTCTCAAAGCGGCGTCTTTTTTACCCAAGGTTTTGCACGAGAGTTGATAATAACATGCTATGTTTGACACACTCTTAAACCACCTCAGAACTATAGCCTATAGTATACGAGCTCCTGAATATAACTCCATATGATAGACTGGTAGTCTTAAACATTTTCCCAACTGGCAGTTGTGTCCGTTAGTATTCATCCAAGTAATGAACAAACGTTGACTTTAAAATTTTACTTTACTGAAATTGTGTCTCTTGTTTCGTCATTTTTATGGTCAGTATGCTAAACACACAAGATTCTTACATCCTTTTTGGAGTTATAACATAATAAAAATTACAAAGTGACATCACATTATGTGTATATTTTTGTGATTTGTCCATTTATATCAAACTCGGTAATTTCTGATACATGTATACGGTTAATATTTTATCAAACAGTTCTCAGAACATTTCAAATCCCCTCATACAACTTCATGTGATGTCAGTCTAGACATTCAAAATGTCTCGTGGTTTGAAGACTATGAGGTGGATATAAATTAAATAGGTGAATAGGTATCTGTGTTCACCCATACGTTCGTCCCGTCAACATATTACATTTGATGACAATGCTTATCCTCAGTACGTTAGCTACTGTAGTGATCTAGTTTTACTGTTTAAAAAATTGTTTATTTAATCATGTTAATGGTCAATGATTGTTCAGGGGTTGAAATTTTCCTGGAAATCCCACTAGCCAGGGGCTACTATCATCAGTGAAAAGTTACTAGCCCAAACCTCAAACTAACTACCCAATAATTTTTTTTTATGCAAAATGAAAACGTAACAAGTTGAAGTTTCAGTCTCTTTGGTGACTGAAACAAATTCAGCTAGTTCTCAGTCAAAAGGAACCAGTCTACATAAAAGAAGAAAGTAAACTGACGAGATTTTTTTTCCCATTCAGCTAGTCCGACTGACTATCGTTACATTTGAATAAGGTAGCCTGAGTCTAAAAATGACAAGCCCCGGGAGTCGGGCTACCGTATATTTCAACCCCTGTTGTTTATACTGTAATATTTTTTACAGTGTGACTGTTAGGGCGATAGCAGTTTTACCATAAAAAAACATTTACACAGCTTACACTTGTAACTTTGAACCACCTCTTCAAAATTCGAACCGCATGAGACACAGTCTAGACTGTGACATCAGATGACGTTGTATGTAAGTTGCATTTCCATGAGGTCCAGTCCAAAGACTATTTCTACCTATGTAGTTATAATGTGACTGAATTTTCAGAAAATTGAGATTGTGAATTACATTGTATTGTTAATTTGTGATGTGTTTTACTGGCACCTTGCTCTATAAATAGATTGTATATAAACTTACATGATTGTTTTATTTCCTAGTTATAAGGAAAGTTTTAAGACAGAAGAAATAATTTTCTTGCTTTACAATTTTTTGGATGATGTCTGATGGAACGGTTAAATGATTATAGTGGTTTACCCCTAACGGCAATACACAACTGCTAAAAAATGAGTTTAATTTTCCTGATTATTCTCAATCACAAATTTCCCAAGAAATAATCATTTTTGTTTGTTTTCTTGTTTGTTTTTATTTGTTGTTATTTTTTGTTTTGTGTGTGTGTGTTGTTTTTTTGTAGTTTTTTGTTTTGTTTTTTTGTTTTGTTTGTTTGTTTTCTTAAAGAACCTACAATGATCAATAATAAACTTGTGCTTATTCCAAAGTGGCTATTTGCAAACAGCATATCATGGTCTGGATCTTTTTTAAGGGGCTGGAAGACCACCTATGTTTGGTGATTATGAAGCTCAGAGGCACTGGATGGAAATCACTTATCACTTGCCCCCTCAACAGTGGTAGACTATTAATCTGATATTCTTAGACTTTTGTTTATGGGTGAATTAAAAAAAATGACCAAATGCATATTTATCAACCCACACTAAAAATACAGGCAATGAAAATAGATTTCTATGTCTCAGCATATGTCTTTAGATGGTGTCTAAATACCTGCCAAATATCTCGTTGATATCTCAATTAACAAAAAAGTTATGCCCAAAAATGATGCTAAAATTGTCAGGAGTGCAACACCTTTTTGTGACATTTTGAAATTTCAATATTTTCTGGAGATCTGTGCAATAAAAAATAATGCTTCATGTTGAAAATAAAGACTTTCCTGATAATATTCAGAGTATTGAGCTTTAAATGTGGACTGTCATAACTTTTGTTTAATCAAGTTGTGGTCATGGCTGATGTTTTAAAAAATGTAATACCATGTCAGGAGTGCAACAGAAAAAATGTAGTGTTGCCAAAAAACATCAATTGTAAAATTCTGATAGAAAATTAAGACAAAAAAGAATTTTGGAAGTGTAAAATAGTAACTGATATACATTTTAAAACTTAAAAATGTTATATAAATCACAAGCAGCATTAATGAGAGTCAAGTATATGTGCATACCCAAAAATGTCAGGAGTGCAACATTTGATGTTTTGCTCCCAAGCATGAAAAAACTATTATCATTATATGATTTTCTGATTTTTATTTTGGAAAATAAAGACACAAAGAACATTTTTACCAAATAAATTATCAATTACAGGATCTGTCTGTGCTTCAGATCCATATTTCTATGGTCAGGAGTGCAACACATTTTTTTAAAGATTCAGGTTGTGTGACGAAAAGACTTCTATTCATGCTTAGAAGTATTCATTAATTAATAATGATCTTTTTGTATAATTTAATGCTATATTATTGACAGTTTTATTATTAAAATCCTTCCTTTTTCAATTTTATCAATTCAGATGTGAACTTTTATCTTTTTTGTGATTTTTTAAATGAATGTTAAAAATAAACACACTAAAACATTGTCATAAAATTCAAGTAATTCCTCCTCAACTTCACTGAAACAACAGAACAAGTTCTTATGTAATTTTCACTTCACAACTCTACTTTAAAGGCCCCAATGCTTTTGGTCAGGAGTGCAACAAATATGTTAGAATTATAAATCATCCAATAAGAATGAAAATAAAGAAAAAAATGATGAGTAGAATTTTTCTGGTGGGTTACTGTGTTTGTCTTCTAAGGGAAAATATGCTTTAAAATATATTTTATCTTCTAAATATACACTGTACATTTAAGCTAGTTTTTTGGCATAAAATAGGGTATAATTACAGATAAAATGCTAATTTTAAATATTTTCATCTGTTTTAATTATGAAGTATTGGACTATAAGTATTGCACAATTTCACTACCACTTGATGTTTCTAACACTTTATGAATTTTTGTGTTCTCTGGTTTTAATTTTAAACTTTACTGCAGTCAGGAGTGCAACAAAACTGCTTCATAATTACCAATGCTTTTTAACTATCTTTACTAAAACATAAGTTGAAAAAAAATGCTTGATACTATTTGATGTTCAAAACACTATGTCTATCAACAAATTACAGAAATTTTACAGTCAATTCGGAGAATAGTTTTCATCATTTCACATATATTTTAAATACAATTTATATATATTACACTTTGCAAATAATCATGTTTTAAGGTCTTCAAAATATGAAAAACCTGCTGTAAACGATGAAAAATATCGACACGACAAATTGATTTACAAAGTAAGAATGGGTTATTGTGTGTTATAATTTTTAAAACAATGTTAAATAAAATACATATCAGATGTCAGGAGTGCAACACAATAATGTAACTTAGGGTCACTTCAAAATCTAGTATTTTTTGTAAGAGAACTCGTATATAACAATTCATTTTGGCTTAGATTTAAAGAACTGACTTGAACGAACAAAAAAGTGAATTTTGGGGAATTTTATTGCTTCATATTTTTTTTCATATTAAAACTTTTCAAACCAGAATTGAAAAAATAATGTAAAATAACAATCAGAAAGCCAATTTTTTGTCACATGTACAAGGGAAGATACTCATTCAAGGTCTAGATTTAATCATTTATACCCCTTTTACCATTTTGAAGCATAAAAAACTATAATTTCTTGTGATTATGTATTTTAGAAAGTCTTTTAAGGTGTAATGATATTTTCTTTTTTCAAAAGAAATTTTACTAATAAAAATTCTGAAACTTTTTAATCCAATTGTCTATTCTATTCTGTTCTAGAATGCATTTGCAATATGATGATATAAGTGAAAAATATGTTATAAGTAGTTGAATTTTGCCCAAAAAATTCAGTTTGGTGGTCATTTTTTTTTAATTCACCCATATACCTTTTGTTGCTATAATGTAGATAATTCATGTTTAGGCATCCTTTGATATGACATTAATGAGAGTATTAGTAATAAAACTTCTTAATTGTTAATTTTGATGTTCAGTAGTTTACAAATGCTTCTTTGTCAACTAGCAATTCAACTGCTTTTAAATGAACTTAATTTATAATACATGTAAAATAGAATGCAAACCCATAAAAGAGGCCCATTACTGTGAACGAACTACTGTATGGGACATTTTTTATTCACTGGTCTGCAACACAACTCATGTTTTCTATAAAGATTTCTGTTTCAAAATTTTAAAGTCTTTCACTGTGTCACAACCATAAATATCCAAATATTTATCACACATGTATAAAAGTTGGTCCACAGTACAAATCGGTAAATTTTGTCTCTCTCTTCTTTTCTGATTTCATTGCATTTCTATGAATATATGTAGTACATGTATTTGTGTTCTATCAGAAAGGAAATATAAGTAATTTAAAAAGTAATTAAATATCATAAGTAATTTCTTTTAAATTTTTTTAGGTATTTCAATGGCATTAACAACAATTTATCGTACTGGGGATTGGATTATCCCCCTTTGACTGCCTATCATAGCTGGCTTTGTGGTGCAATGTAAGTACCATAAGACATAAGTTTAGCTAATTTATATTCTGATACTTAGCTTCTGATCAAGATTTTTCAATGCTGTACAACTGAAGTTGTTGACTATTCATGTTCAGTTTACATTAATTCCAGTGCCCACAAAATAAATCCATCCTGGGTGGCTTTAAAGGAATCCCATGGACACGAAAGCTATGCCCACAAACTGTTCATGAGATACACTGGTATAACTTCTGTTTTAAATTAAATAAATGAAATTTCATGCTAATATTTAAGAGCAATGTTACATGTATCAGATTTATGATGTACGAAGAAATAAAAAAATACTTAGAAATAATAGTATGATGTACATGTATTGTACATGTAAAAACTCTTCAGTGATTTTCAGATGTTGTCACTTTTAACATTTTTTCTACCATTTTCAGTGCTGGTTGCTGATGTTGCCATATTTTTTCCTGCTGTTATTTTGTTCTTTGTTCAGCAGAAACTTCATATACAGGAAAGGGTTTGTAGAATTAAGTTTTATAACACTGGAGATTGAAAACATCATTTTTCTCGGTAAGGTTATATTTTTTGAAAATTGTATAAAAATTACCTTCCTTTTTAAACCTTGTGTATTCACAGATCAAATTATCACTGGTTGTTCTGTTGTATCCTGGTTTCTTGCTCATTGACCATGGCCATTTTCAGTATCCTTTCAAAGAAGTTATAATTATTCTCTCTTTCATTCTCTCTCTTTCTCAGTCATGAAATTAGGTGCATTGTTGTGCATCAAAGTTAGAGTACTAGGGATGGGTATCGGCAGAAATTTCGTATCGTGATATATCACGATTTTTTCCCAAAAATATCACGATAAATCGTGATATTTTTACATACAATTTGTACTACAGTTTCATATGAATTTCCATAATTTTTCCTAAAAATATGCTATAAAAGCATAACTTTACTGTTTAAATATTTATTTATTTAATATAAAGAATGATTGGATGCAGTTGTTTAACTGTTTTCAACATTTTAACACCTCCTGTTATTGTCATTCAATAGATTGAACAAACAAATGAATATTTTTAGTTATGTACCAAATACCGGTATTTTAGTCTTCGTATCACGATACGTATCACGCAATAAAAAATCATGATATACCGGTATACCGATAAAATCGCGCATCCCTATAGAGTACTTCTTTTGAATTATCAAAGTTTTCTACTATCCTTGACCTGCATAAAGATACAACTGTGTAAGTTTGGGATTAGCCTTATTTGGAGTAGTTTGGATTTCCCATGGTTTCCACCTCTGGGGCTCGGTATGTTTTTGTCTTGCTCTGAACTACAAACAAATGGAGCTTTATCATGCACTACCCTTCTTTTGCTATCTGCTTGGATGGTGCCTTCAGAAATGGACAAGGTATATTGTTATTGATAATTTCATAAAAATCAAATGTAATTTTAGAGTATTTACACTCTTGTAGTCTATTTTCTTTCCTTTGCAGAATACCACATCTTTTTAAGATAGCTACTGTTGTGTTGACAACTTTTACAGCATGCTGGTTGCCCTTTCTAGGATCTAAAGAAAATCTTTTCCAGGTTCTTCACAGAGTTTTTCCTTTGGCAAGAGGATTGTATGAGGTCATTAGAATTATATATTCTTTCGATGGCAGTAACCAGATATAAAAATACCAGGTTCATGTAGATGATTTTGGAGGACAGTCTCGGCAAAATAAAATGGATATAAAATTCCAGGTTCACACAGTGGAGGCTGTTTTATCATAGAACAGCGGGAGATTTTGCACAAAATCTAAATATTCAGTAATGTCTTCTGAATTTAAGAAACCATATTTCTTGCAAATTTACATAAAAGCAGGGACTTATACACTGTATAGGTCCTTATAGTATATAGGTCCCTGATGGAAGTCAAGCTTATTAGAAAAACTAATTAGTGCATATTACATACACATGATTTAATTTTCTTTAAAGAATAAATTAAAAATTGTATAATTGTTATTTTGCAAATATTTAGAAAAACTGCATATATTACATAATCCACAAAATCTTCATAATAACAGGTACATGTATGTTAATCTTTTTAAATCTGGAACTTTTTTGAAACCCACTAAGCTATGCTCAGCAAATTCAATCAATTCAAGCATTATGTTACATAAATGTATTACAAAACAAAATACAGAGAGAAAAAATCATGCAAGAATACAGTGCTGTTTTTGTTATAAAACTGTTAAATTGCACTTTTAGCTGTTTTTACACCTTGTCATAAGAGTACTGAAACACGATCTTAACAACAGCTGACATGGGATTACTGCATTAGAATACGTAAGAGACATGATTTCACATATCTAGTCAGAAATAGGATTTCTTGAAAATTATTGGAGTTATGCATGTATAACTATAATGACAAAATCAGATGGTGTAATAAGGTCTGTTTGTCTTACGAAATTTCATTAATATTTGATCTCAAATTTTGGAGTTATAGCCCCTGAAATATAAATCTGTTATTGTGTAGTTTTTGGCTACATTGTTATACTAAATCATACAATAGATTGAAATTGTAAAAACAAATGTTGGATAAGACAAAATATATGTATTTAACAATTTCTATAGCTATCTGATAATCCAATAGATGAAAATTGTAAAAACAAAAATGGTTAAAGAGACAAAATCTATGTACAAAGTATTTAGCAATTTCTATAGCTGTCTGATCATCCATTTTTCGAATCCTTACCCCTGAACTTTCAAGGTTAGGTGAATTTTGGTTCTTAGTACAGACAAGTATTAGATTTTTTAATTGGCTACAGCCAGATGAGATAGTCTGACTCCTGGGGAGCCTCTTGTTTTATATACACATGCAAATTGATGCAAGAATTAAATTACAGGAATTTTTAAGTACATGTATATGAAATTGTTCATTCTGTTTAGGATAAAGTTGCCAATGTTTGGTGCAGTTTAGCAGTCCTTATCAAACTTAAACAGATGTTTACTGTGGATCAGCTGGTTCTAATATGGTAAGTCAAATGTATGTGGTTCTAATGGATGTAAAATTATGTAAATGATAGTCTTTTATCCTCATTTGTCATGTAAATCATATTAAAACTGGAAATGTATGAATCAATTTATGTTATTTGCATACATAAATAAACATTTTTTTTTTATTATTATTATTTATTATCTCCCTTTGGAAGGGTCATAGCCCTTCATCTGCATTTTCTCTCTGACCAACAAATGTTGTGTGAATGACCCAATAGTTTTTGAAAAGTAGTCAAAAATGTGAAAAAGTTGACAGAGCTAGAGCAGATGAAAACAGACAAAAGATGATCAGAAAAGGTCATCTGAGCTCTTAGCTCAGGTGAGTAAAAAACCAATAGAATACGATGATAGAACCACAACATCTGATTTAATAACTACTCGTAATTATGTTACATAAGTTAGCTGTGGTATTACATATTTGCCAGAGTTGTTTCTCAACTTGATATTTTCCTTTTTAGTCTTTTGACAACAGTACTGTTCTTGTTGCCATCATCACTACATCTACTGTGTGTTCCCAATGACAGGAACTTCAGAATAGCTCTGGTGAGTAAACTGTATACAGGGTTATTTTTGCCTTGTGTTATTTTCGCCCTTTCATACTTGCAAACAATTTTGCCCCATTTTAAATTTGTCCAATCACAATTCTGTTCAAGAAATTATACAGCTTTTCTTGAATTCACCCCATTTTAAATTCGCCCAACTGTGAGTAGGGTGAAAGGGGCGAAAATAAAATGGGGGAAAAAATTTCCCTGTATACAGTATTTCTTACATTTTATATAAGTTTTGTATATATTCATGTAGTGAGATACCTTGATTAATATATGTGTTCTGTGTATTTTTATTTGCAGGTCAATTCTTCTCTGGTGTTCTTTTTATTTTCATTTCATGTCCATGAGAAATCCATTCTTCTCCCAGCTCTGTAAGTTATATTTCACTATCAATCACATAATTACTTCAATATCCAGTTTTAGGAAACTTTATAATCGTTTTTTTTTATGAACTAGTACTTTTTTTTTGCTTCATTGTTGTAATTATAAAATAAAACAAATACAGAAAGGATTTATTTTACAAGGTTTTCTGGTATATGCATTATCTGAGATTCCTCTGACTTTAACCCCCGCTTTTATGTTGTGACATAAGCGGGGAGATCTACCCTGCACATGTCACAAAATAAAAGCAGGGGTTAGAGGAATCTCAGATTAATATATGCAGTACATGTATTCCATAATTTAAAAAAATGAATCTGCTTAAATTAAAGTTATTTACTGTTGTCTTTAAAAAAAATTCAGAAAATAATTTAGTTGTTGAATAACTTGTAGAGCAATATCCCTACTCGTTCATGAAAATCCATTTTGGTGTGTATGGTTTTACTTCATTTCAACATTCAGGTAAGAAAAAACTAATAAATTTTGTAGTCCTAAGTTCAAATATTGTAATTGAGCATCTTTGTTGATTAATTATTCAATATACGGTAAACAAAGGCCTTTTTTTGTGGTGATTTTTTGTGATTTCTAATTACCAGACCATTTGAATTAGAAGCTATTTTGTGGAAACAAAGACATAAATATAAACATATACTGTATATATGTAGTACATATATGTTAATATGGTTTTAAATTTTACATGGAAGTCCTTGGTTTTGTTTGATTTTTTTTTTTAATTATTTTTTTTTTAAATTTTCTGCAATGGCATATTTTCTCTGATTCCTAAAATACAGTCAAACCTTGTTATCTCAAACTCAATGGAACCAAGAAAAAACTTTGAGGATTCAAGATATCCAGGGAAAAAGGGGTTGGGGCTTCCAAATCACTTTGACATATCCATGGTATTTGAGATATCAGTGTTCGAGATACATGTACTGAAGTTCAATTGCATCTCCATGTACTGTATACAGTACATTGTAAAATGTATATGATTTTTGTTGTAGCATGCTTCCACTGTTTATAAAGGATGACCTCATTGTGGCAGCTTTTGCTACCACAGCTGTACACGCTCTGGTCTGTGGAACATGCCTCAGCTTAAGTTTTGGAAATAGTGATCAACCCTGGGAGAGAATTAAGACTGTGATGGTAAGTTTAATTAGGGCCCAGCTTAAGGAAGCTCTAAGCACTGCTCACTGAAGAGTTCAAATTTCATGGTAGTTTCATGCAGTTAGAGTGATCTGCCCTTTGATGTTCATTGTAAAATGGAATAAATGGAAATCTACAGTAAATGACATTTTGAATAAAGTAATCTTAACTTTATCTTAGACCAAGATAAAGTAATTGAAAACATTATTTGATTGTATTTTTCCAATGTAAGTAAACAATAGTGATTTCTCTTCAGTAGTACTTCATTATCTTTGAACATTTTTCTTTGAGAAATATGGCAGGTACCCTATGTTGAAAAGAACTAGATAAAGTTAGTATGTACGTCTTTATGTGATACATGTACAACTTTCTCAAAATCCAAAAAAAGAAAAAATTCAGTAGTGTTTAGAGCTTCCATTAAAGATAAGATACCACACTGTAATCATCCTTCCATATGTGCACTTCTCTGTCTTTCTGTCAACATTTTATGTGTAAATAATTTTTTTTTTATAATGTTGAAGAAAACAGCTTTAGAGTCTACAAACACTTAATCAAAAGTTTGTGTTTATTCTCAGCATTCATGTGCAAAAATGCTTGTACCTTGCAACCTTTAAAATAATTTATTTTTTATATGGAAATGGTCTAATCATTATGTTTTTAGGATGATTCAGTCCAAGTTCATTGTCAAAATCATGATCCTTGATGACAGTCTTTTTTTTCCCTGTATACGGTATACAGTAAAACTTGGATACAGTAAATTCATGGGAACCTGTGAAATTACTTCTCTTTATCCATAATTTGTCATATCCATAAATCAAAATTGTTAAAGTGTATGTAGCAAATTTGCAATACACAAGTACATGTATGACTACCGAAAATGTTCAGCGAAATATTAAATACCTACAAGTACTTAAGTTTTCTGATGAATTAAGTTTTAAATATAAATACTTATGAAAAATTATTGTAAGTTCAATATTTTAAAATTTGAGATCTTTATAAATTCTTTATAATAGGAGTAAATTTTGTAATTGTTAACCTCTGGGAAACAAAATCAGTTTGCTTCATCCATAAAATCATTATATCAGTGTTTGTTATAACCGTTTATAAGCACAGGAGTTGGCTTAATTAGCTTTCAATTTTACAAAAATTTTAATAAATAAAAAAAAATATGTAATACTATAATAATAACACAAGATGTTATTATTAAAGTACTGGGTATTACATATTTTTGTTTTAGTTATTGAGAGTTTCGATAAAATTGATAGGTATGCCAACTCCTATATTGTTTATAAGCAATTGTTAAGAAATCTGCCGGGATCTATATTTGTTCAGCAATATCTGTGTTTGTACATGTACTAAACAACTTTAACTGTATTCAGTATGTATGTGATAAGTAAGGCACATATAAACTTTACTTTTGGAGAGAAACTTATTTTCAAATTATATTTAATCATAGATAATTTATTTCAAATAATTATAATGAAATAGTCTTATTTATACATTGATACAGCTGAAAAATTATATGCTTCACTTTGATATTTTCCATCCATGATTGTGCATGTTTTTTTTATTTTAATATGTATATTTAATATTAAAATTGTGCATCTCTTTTAAATCTAGATGAAGTTGTCCATGGTTGGAGCCCTGTGCCTGACAGTTGCTAACCTGTGTCTGACTCCTCCCCCTAGATACCCTGATCTTTTTCCAGTCCTGGTTTCTATATATTCCTGTGCTCATTTTGTGCTGTTTTTAATTGTATTTCATTGTCTACAATTTCAATTTCAATCAAAAAAGAATGAAATAAAGAAAGTGCAATAATTACATGTAGAAGTCTTTTTTTAAAAATGTAAATTGGTTGAACACATCTATTTATATACATACATTTTGTTAATAAAGCTGTCATGGAAAGGGAAATTAAAAATTTAAATTTCTACCTGATTTTTTTTTTGGGGGGGGGGGGCATTGTTGGATAAGTCATATTCCAATAACAAAAATATAATAATGATTTGCCTTATGTGACCTGAAGAAAAATATGTTTCTGTTGCCTGATTGACACACTTATTGTTACCCTAAACTAGGCTAAAGCACAGTGCACAGAAGGATGGGATAATCATAGGCACTTCCCATCTTAATTGTTTAAAAAAATATATTAGTAGGTATATATTTTGGGGAGTGCCTATGGGGATAATGAAAATAATTAAATTGTAGATAATACATATTTCATTTTGCCCTTTCTCACTTTTTTTTTCAATGGTGCTACCCTTGTTAAAAAAAAACAACTAGTGTACCGGTACAAACTTAAACTGGATATGGGGTGTTGAAACGAATTTTTATGGAACGGTTTAATTAATAAGATACGAAACTGCTTTTGAAACAGCTTTACATGCACTTTCAATTTGTTTGGCGGAAAAAAAAATTATCGAATTTGTTTGGCGGAAAAAAAAATTATCGAGCTCTAGATAGAATGGATAGCGATCACGATGACAGGTTTGTATTTAGTCATTTTATCCAGTAAATGCAATTTTTTAACATTCTTTCTACTAAGAAAAAAAATATGATTTATGATTACAAATACGTTATTTTTAAACGGTTCTAAATTGTTTAAAGCAGATTCATTGAAAGCATCTGGTATATATAGTAATATACGTGTTAGTTTTAACTTACATTTGAAATAAATAGAATTTTGGATTTCACAGGACCCTAGAAGATATTAACACCGTTTTGGAATATGCAAAATTAGAATCTTGTGATGTTAAGCCAACAGTACAGTGTATTTATTTTTCTGAACACCTTGACAATCAGTCGTTCAAGCTTTTGGAGGTGAATGATACAGTGCTGGAAACCTTAACAAATGGAGATAGGTATACTTCTAGTAGTAACTGGGGAGTTTCTTAGCCTGCAACATTACATTATATTGATTATAAACTGCAATTCATTAGTCTCCATACATGTACAAATTATTTTTTGTGATCAAAGCATATATATAGTTCTTTCAACACTTTATGCTTCTTCTTTTAATACCAGGGTAGTAATTCGAGGGAACTCAGAGGACATGGCAGTGCTTTGCACTAAAACTGCCACTTTTGAAATGAAGGAGGCAGAGATTTCAAATTCTATGTTGATTGTTCCACAACTAGATATTGGTCAGGATTTGGATGATTCAGGTCCCCAGATCATCAAGGTTTCAAAGGTACATACAAGTCAAACCTCATTATCTTGAACTCCATGGGACTGAGAAAAAACTACGAGATATCCAAGGATTCGAGATACATGTATCAAGGGTTAAATACTAAAGGAATGTGTGGTTGGGACTTCCAAATCACTTCGACATATCCATGGTATTCAAGATATTGGTGTTTGAGATGCTGAAGTTCAACTGTATAACTAAATTAACTTCTACATCTTTGATGTATTATCATTATCTTCAACTTTTAATTAGACAAGAAGTAATATAAATGCTTTTTTCACCCAGGTGACATCTGTGATGAATAACTACTATGAGCTAAGACCATGCAAGCCAAAGGTATCAAAACTAAAGAAACTACTGGAGGAGAACATGTATAGTGGTAGAGAGTGTGAACAAGATGAGGAACATCAGGGTCATAAGGTCAGTGAACTCATAAGCTCCAATTAGGAAGATATTCAATGTACATGTGGAAGTTTTACAAACAAATTGATTGTAGATTCTTAAGTTCATTTATGAGGTGCCTTGAGATCTTGTAATAAAAACCAAAAGAATCAAATGGAAGGGTATTTTTTCTTATTATAAAAAAAAGAACTTTTAAATTACACATGTACCTGTATTTGTTTGTTTACCGGTACTTTGATATGTTTATTGCAGTATTCATTTGAGGATTTGCTGAACATTGTTCAAGGAAGTGAAACAGAAATTAAAGAATCTTTGAAGAAACTTCAGGCTTGTCAAATAGAAGGTCCCTAAATATTTACATTAAGGAAGGCATGATCATAATAGTCTTAAACTTGACCTCAAAATGTTACATATAGTTCTTTTAGTTATTGTATATAACATTACATTTTTTATAACAGGTATGTGGAGGGTGTTAGATTTTGATTTTTTGACACAAGTATTAAACCACATCATACAGCTGTGTGAGGAAAATGACTGGTTATCCACAGGGATACCACTGGATGAGTGCTGTGAAACTCTGCAAGAACTCTTCCCAAGGTAGACACAAAGTTATATCCCTCAAAGACAAAGTCAATTGTACCTGAAAAATTTGCACAAAATTTGAAATATGATGACAAATAAGCTGTGATTTATATTGGATTTGAAAAACAAAGCTTTAATTTATTTTTGATAGGGAAGTGATTACTCATGTTATAGAGTGTTATGCTGATGAAATGAAATCAGGGCAAGGGGACCAGGATCCAGAGGACCAGCCAATGGAAATAGGTCAGCATTATTTTTCACAATAGGTAGAGCTGAAGCTAGTTTGTAAAAGCTGTTTCAGTTGCCCATTCTAAATATTGATTTGATTCAATAAGAATTTTAAAAAAAATATTTTTTTATAAGCAATTTTTTTCTTACTTTTTCAGATGCCAAGTTTTACGCTTTAAATGAAGACAAAATCTGTCAATTCTTTGCAGAACTTATTTTAAGAAATTCAGGAAAGGCAAGTGTTTTTACAGCTGAAATATGGATATGATTTCTTGTATGCAAATACTGCAGTTGAAATGAATTAATTGTTTGTTAAAGCTACATGTATGAGTAAAAAAATTAACGTTAAAAAACCCAATGATGTTGCATTGGCATTTATTTTAAAGGATATTTTGTTTGTAGTTCAATTTAAAAGAGTTTCTGAGAGTATGGGAACAGACTGTTCCACAAGGCATGAAGACAAGTTTATCTCAGCTGGAGGTGAGAAACAAAACTGCCCTCTATAAAACAACATTTAATTTTTTTTACAGTCTTTCATTCACAAAATGCCAACATAACTATGTAATGTACATGGTGTAATATGTGAGACCTTCATATGCTAACTCTTTATACATATGCTAACTCTTTATATTGTTTACAATTAATTTATTCTGGATGGGAATTTACTATAATCATAGTACATGATTCTAAAGTGATTTATTAAGCTTAAACAGCATTTATTATGTCTTATTTTAACTCGGTTTTGTTTTACAATACCTGCAGTATTACCGTTCGTGTTTTGACAACTTCCCCCATTCTCGATCATTTGTTTACAAATTTTAATCTCTAAATTTCTTCGTAAATACGGTAAAACAATCGTTTTAATTAAACTGAACCTGTTTATAATTACCAGTTGTTGATGTATGTTCAGTACCAGCGTATTCCTTTACCTTCATCTATGTGAAATCGTCATTTTACCACTTGCGAACTTCTTGTGTACTTTACCATGCGTTTCTCTTGTCTGACTGACCGTTTCACAACTTATCTTGTCACTTGTGATTCTGCTGCCTGATTTTTCATTATTCAACCATGTTGTACATTATTTTTATCTTGAATTATTGTAATATGATGCTGACCACTATTTTTGTCTATTTTTTACCTTATGATGGTGAACTATTGTCTTATTTTATCGATCTCATCGGCGCACTATATTGTGAAGTCATACTTCCGTATTTACATATATCGCTGCGCGCACTACTTTAGAAGGCGCCTAGATTCGAATCTTGATTTTTACAGTAAAACTATGTAGTCCTGGATATTTTTATTTATTAAACTAATTACATTATTTAGTGTCCATATAATTAAAGTAATCCGGACAAGGTCTTGTATTGTTCATTAAATGATTATTAAGGGTTGTAATTTAGCTTGTCCGGATATCGGGAATTGTTCGGAATTTCCATAGATCCGTACAGCGTTTGGATTGGTTATAAATTTTCCGGACAAAAAGGACAAACGCTGATTGGTCATAGAAGGTTATATATAGGACCCAGCTTCAGCATCTCGACACACTCACTCTTGACTCTTCATCCCTTCGGGTTGTTTGGTTAGAACTAGAGAAAGTCCAAGGTATTCAAGATGATTAATCTTGTAGTGGATGATGCTAATTTTTATAAGGACTTGCGCGTCCGGACAGGACAGTTTTAAGAGTATAGAGATTATTCCAGTCATGTAGACCAGTAGTTTATTGTTTACAGTTCGAGTTATTAATTAGGACTTATGACCGGAACATTTCTATGAGTCAGTCGTTTCCAAGTTCAGAAGTTTATTTGATAGTTTATGTCACGTTTATACATTTTAATAGTTGTCCGGATTGTTTGTTCGGATATCCAGAGTAGTTCTCACAGTTAAGTTCACTTAGGTTATTCTTGTCCGGAATGGCTTGTCCGGATTTGGTAGTATTTGTTCGGATTAGCTTGAGCTGAAAATAAATTCATTTTGAGGGTATACACATATTCTGAATAGTTTACGCATATTTTCTTCATAAGTTAAGTGGCATTAGAGTTTAATATTAGGCATGTCTAATAGTTTAGTACAGAGATAGTTTATTTGGATTTCCCAAATAGTTAGGGACTGTCCGGATCGTCGCTTGTTGAATTATTAAATTTACAATTAATTTTACGCAATTAATTACGCAAAGTTGTTCTACTTTGAGTTCGAGAACAAGGAGTTGTTTGCAGATACTAGTTACTACAATAAATTAACTGTGTAATATAGTCGCAAGACAAGTTCACACCCCCCCCCCCTTTTTTATTTCGGGTCATCTATTGTCTGAATGGTCAGCATCTCATTCGTTGTTATTGTTCTTGATTGTTGCCATCCTAAATAAAAACTTGTTATGCCTGAACAAAGGAGTTTTTATTTTGTGACAAGGGTCCGCTCGACTTGTTACAATATATTTCCATCTTTTAAAATAAGAGGTATAGTTTGAATTCCTGTTTGAAGAACTTTTATGGAAGATTCAAAACCCAAACAGATACCAGGTACCTTTGCTTTTCATTACTTGTGCAAGTATGGTAATTGATTGGCCTGTGTATATGCTGTGTTGTAGGGAAGGGCCCTCATAGACAGGGACTGTATGCCAGAGGTTATTTGGTATTTCCCAGTGGATGATCTACCAGAGGATATTGGAGAGAGGTTCAACATGTTGTTCAAAACACGAGAGAAGTGGATCTTATCGGAGATCACACCTTATATCAGGTATAAACTGAGAGGAAGTGGTAAGTCCAGTAATGGAAGTAAAGTAATATATCCATCCCAAATCAAAATACTTTAGTTTTACTTGGTCAGTCCAGTGTTGGAGTTTGAGTTTTCACTTCTTCTTTTTTTGAATTTTCAGGGACTTAACTACAATTAAAGTTGATGTTGGTGGACTACTTACAAAATATGCAAGAGCTTCCATGTTAAATGGCATAAAAGTTTTCAGTTCACGGAAACCTGTCACTTGAATCATAAACAATGCTTAAAAAGATATGTTTCGTTATTGTACAATTCATGAAATAAACAAAATATTTTCCAATGAGTTTATCATTTTATGAAGTTAAATTCTGCAGATGGATGAAGCTTAAACTTGATGAAAAAAGAGGCCCATAGGCCTTTGTAGCCACTGAGTAGCACGAATTTATCAACATCTGGTCATCTTAGCCCCACCTAGAATTCTGGCTCCATGTGAAATGAATTTTTAGCTCACCTGAGCTGAAGGCTCAAGTGAGCTTTTCTGACCAAAGGGTGCCCAATATCTGTCTGTCTTCTGTAAACTTTTCCCATTTTTACCTAAGAACTATACTGGGTTAATTTCAACCAAACTTGCCACAAAGAATCCTTGGGTGAAAGGGATATGAAGAGTGAAGCCCTCTGTCAAGGGGGATAATTAGAAATAAGTGAAAATTTAATGACATCATCAAAATTCTTCTCAAGAACCAATGGGCCAGAAAAGAAAAACTTATTTGAAAGCTTCATTGCATGTATAGATTCAAATTTGTTCAAATCATGACCCCCTAAGGTAGGTTGGGGCTACAGTTATATATGCAATAAAAGTTTTACATGGGGAAGTATTGGAAAAATCTGCTGCAGAACAGCAAAGCAATGATTTTTATTCATATTTCTATGGAAGCATCCGTATGTAATGTAGATTTATTTTTTTTTTTCAAATTATTACACCATTGGGGAGAGTGGAGCCACAAAAAATAATAAATAAAATAGAATTGTTAAACTTTTCAAACATTTACAAAAACTGTCAATAATTCCATACAAAATTTGTCAACATCCATTCTTTGGACACAGAAATTGGGTAGATAAGAGTTCAAATCAAGATGCTTGTTGTACTTGTTTTCTCACAAAATCACAAAAACGCATTTTTTTAACAATTACCCAAATTCTTATTTAAAATGCAATTTTTTTAATAAAATTTGCTGATGCCAAATTGTGTTTAAGCTGAAAAAAGATTGTTGTATTTTACTCATTAATGCATACATTTTTGGTATGAGAGAAACGGAAATGAAATGAAAAGAGAAAGAGTATTACGTACCTCCATACCCGGAACAAATATTGGTGAATTTGATTAAACTTACTGAGAAGAATATACAGTGGCGTCTTGATAATCTGGACGCCAAAAATCCGGACGCTTCATCTTCCGGACGAAATTTGTGAGGAACAATTTATAGGTAAATACACCAAGAATGTTTATTGTAATTAGTCTGGTATATCTCTTTGTATCATATCCGTCACACGTGTTTCCTCGACCCCCAACTAGCCCCCCCCCCCCCTTCAAGAATCCTGGATCTGCCTTTGACAAGTTTGATATGTGGACATAAAAAATAAAGACTATTGTTGACTTCACAAACTTGGAATTAAATCAAGAAAAAAGACGTTTAATTTATTCCTGAGTGTGTACATGAAACAGTAAAACATCAAAATATGGTAAGTACTGAAATACCTGTACTCCATTCTAGGCATGTGCAACAAAGAAAATGTGATCAGATTAAAAGAAACCGTTTGAGTTATAGCTAGCGTTCCATTCAGAACTCGGGGTTAGAATCACTGAAAGAACAAAGATACTTTTTTTGATGTCCACGTACGCAACCGTGAATTTACAATGTATATACAACTAACAGAAGCACAAGACGCAAAAAGTTAAGATGGATGCAAAGCATCAATTTGGTCGCAAAAAATTGAGCTTTTTTTTTCACGAAAAAGTACAAAATATATATATATATCAAAGTAGAAAAAAAGTGTAAATATTTCAAAAGTGTATACGGTGCTAAAAATATTTCAGAAATTACAACATAAACAGAAATGACTCGTACAACTTTAATTTTCTTGAGCAATTGTTTATGATCAAAATTTATTTATCTATCGATATGTTTGTTTGTTGTTTAAGGAGGAGAAGGACCTTGAGCTAAAAAAATACTTGTCATTCATTTTTTTTTTTCATATTTTGTATATTTCTAATTAAGTATGTCCCACATATCTTACATATCTTAAAACAGTTAAATCATTAGGTTTCTTACCTTATTTTGGAGATATTGATTGACAAATACTATGCCCTACAGTATCTAAGTGGAGTTTTAATTCTCCATGTTTCCGGGCGCATTACTCTGTCCATAATGGGATTTTTTAAGCATACATAAAAAATATCAAAGTGGACATGTATCTTTTAAAATATTTCAGAGCATAACTAGGATTTAAAATTCGAAAAAGCAAGTTTTGTCTATCACACTGCATCTGGGTAGGGAAAATAACGCACTTTTTAAGACAACTTAAACAATAAAAAACGTAATTTACAAAAAATTCTATCATTCAATATTTTTTAATTTACGTTGAAATGCAAATCCTTCAAATTATTGATTAACTGTAAAAGTTTCGAATGATGAAGCTGACCTCATTATTTCACAGGACATCGTTAAAGAGGACATAAGCATGACAAAAACGTTACATTTCTCGAGTACGGGAAAAACCAACTATGACGTCACACGTAAGCTAGATATACCTACATAAGATTTCCCTCATCAGCCATGCAAAAATAATTTTTGTGTTCCCCGTTTCTCAAAATATTTCATCACATACTGATTATGACCTGTTTTTACATAATAATACCGCCCCTCTGTTCACCGAGTATGATCTTGCTGTACTAACAGATCGTGTATGACGTCACCGACTTGTTGGACGCGCAGTTTAGGGAAACAGAGGAGTGGATCAAACTTTTTCATAATTTGTTAATGTTTACAAGAATGTTAAAACTTTTTTATTATTTTTATATAAGATGGTAATTAAAGTTAAAAAAAATTTCAAAAACTTATACAAGAACTGATGCTTTACACGTTTTGCACGGAGACTATGACGTAGTTAAACAGAGTCATGTGACCATGTGTCCTTCATCCCCTTAACTTCCCTCTCGAGAATTTTTCACTCATACGGAGACGCCACCACTTGCCGGTAGAGGGATGCATTCGGCACTTAGGGCCATTGATCAGTGAGGGAAAATCGTCGATTATTGATAAAATGCATTATCATTCGAACGAAGAATAATACTCTCCTAACACAACCACAAATATATCGGGACAGAAAACGATTATCATGAAATGCGCGGATCTCGAGGGGGATGGGAGTCCGGACACCCCCCCCCCCCTCCCCCTGGAATTTGCAGAGTTATTAAAAGTATATACTGAAGCAAATAAAATATGACTTTGGATACCCTTAGAAATGGGGGGGGGGGGGGTTTGTTCTGTTTTTTTTTTTTTGTTTTGTTTTTTTGCTTGTCAAGAAATTTTCTGGGTTTAATTAATACGTATGGGAAAGGAGTTTAGGGGTTTTTTTTTGTTTTTTGTTTTTCGCTTGGAAATTTTTTCACAATGTATATATCTTATAAATTATAAACATACCGGTAATATTTATTTACTATATGTAACATTTTTATTGTCTTATTTGAATAGAGCTTACATTGAAGAAATATGTCGAGAATTTTTGATACGATTAACCGATTAATCGGTCGGAACGTCTTGCGGTTAACCGATTGGTAATTGTGTATTCGATTGCCATCCCTAATATATATATATATATATATATATATATATATATATATATATATATATATATATATATATATATATATATAGTCTAACCTCGTTATCTCGAACTCGATAAGACCGAGGAAAAAACTTCGAGATATCCGAGGATTCGAGATGTCGAGGGTAAAATACTTAAAGAATAAGTGGTTGGGACTTCCAAATCACTTCGACATATCCATGGTATTCGAGATATCAGTGTTGGAGATACCGAAGTATATACAGTGCCCTGACTTGAAAGAAAAAAATAGTGGACTGACTGGCTTCCTAATTCATCGGAAAATTTAATGGGTATGTGAAAATCAAGCTTTTTGTGCAAAAAATGGTTTAAAACTGCATGGTCAACGCTGGAACTTGTGTGACTGAATACCTCTTATAAATAAACTATAAACTGTATCTTAAACACTTTTTATTTAACATCACTCATTTTTCATTTTAAATATTTAGTGTGACGTCTTATCTAGGTTCACATAAGTAGTTAGGAAGTCTGTATTCAAGGTATATAAAAAGAACACACTCACTACCAAGTTTATTGAAAATCGTAAAATAAGCTTATCATATCCATTCAAAGTCAACTTAGATCCCTTTAAATGTTATGTTTGTTATGCTCAGTGGGTAGAATTTTCAATAATGTACTTAAAATGTGACTCCTTGAGGTTTTCAGAGTACTATTTAATTGGCTGGAATTCTTTGACGTTTTCTTAATTCTCTTAATCCTTTTGATTATTAACATATTGCTACATATTCCTTGGGTAAATTTGAAGGTTAAATAAAATAAATGGAGAAAAATCGTACCCTGTGGTCAACCGCCTCCCCAAGCGCCTTATTTATAGGTTCCCTTCTTCAGCACTGTCGTCAGCAACTGCAGGCTTTACAGACCCGAAAACAAAGTTCTAATGATGAGTTGAAGGACTTTGTCAAAGACATGAAAGAGCAGACAAAGGAGATTAGTTATGAACTGGAGGAGGAACCACCCGACACTCAGAGGTGGTACATACGCCGCAGATCGGACACCACGGCACCACCGCCTGTGGCAAAACTAAGATCAAATAAGGTTAGAAGAACAATACGATTTTATAGACTAAACATATAATTATTCGAAAGCATGAAGGAATCCATTCTTGTCTAACATAGAGAAAAAAAATGCTAAACGTATTCAAATACGGATTTATAAAATTAACTTTTTGAACTATTTACCGAGTAATTTAACTCTTATTGAAAATTCTATTTTGCAACGATTCATTTCTATGAACTCTTTAAATGTACATCGTTTTTGTATAGTACTAATCATGTACAAGGTTTCAAGATTGGGTAGTAATTCCTTAAAACCGAAAGTTATAGCCTTGCCTTTGCCAGAAGTAAGTCAAAATGACATCTATAAAAGGTAGAGACTTTCAAAATCCTGTTCACAAATTATTTTTTTATTTAGCACATTATTGTATTGTTAAGATTTAATCTACTGAGAGAGGCCGACAGCATGGCGTTTTAGCGATCATCTTTAATCTCGAGAAATCTCGGTCATTACATACTGTAACAAGTCGAGCGGACCCTTGTCACAAAATAAAAACTCCTTTGTCAGGCATAACAAGTTTTTATTTAGGATGGCAACAATCAAGACAATAACAACGAATGAGATGCTGACCATTCAGACAATAGGTGACCCGAAAAAAAAGGGGGGGGGTGAACTTGTCTTGCGACTATATTACACAGTTAATTTATTGTAGTAACTAGTATCTGCAAACAACTCCTTGTTCTCGAACTCAAAGTAGAACAACTTTGCGTAATTAATTGCGTAAAATTAATTGTAAATTTAATAATTCAACAAGCGACGATCCGGACAGTCCCTAACTATTTGGGAAATCCAAATAAACTATCTCTGTACTAAACTATTAGACATGCCTAATATTAAACTCTAATGCCACTTAACTTATGAAGAAAATATGCGTAAACTATTCAGAATATGTGTATACTCTCAAAATGAATTTATTTTCAGCTCAAGCTAATCCGAACAAATACTACCAAATCCGGACAAGCCATTCCGGACAAGAATAACCTAAGTGAACTTAACTGTGAGAACTACTCTGGATATCCGAACAAACGATCCGGACAACTATTACAATATAAACGTGACATAAACTATCAAATAAACTTCTGAACTTGGAAACGACTGACTCATAGAAATGTTCCGGTCATAAGTCCTAATTAATAACTCGAACTGTAAACAAATAAACTACTGGTCTACATGACTGGAATAATCTCTATACTCTTAAAACTGTCCTGTCCGGACGCGCAAGTCCTTATAAAAATTAGCATCATCCACTACAAGATTTATCATCTTGAATACCTTGGACTTTCTCTAGATCTAACCAAACAACCCGAAGGGATGAAGAGTCGAGAGTGAGTGTGTCGAGATGCTGAAGCTGGGTCCTATATATAACCTTCTATGACCAATCAGCGTTTGTCCTTTTTGTCCGGAAAATTTATAACCAATCCAAACGCTGTACGGATCTATGGAAATTCCGAACAATTCCCGATATCCGGACAAGCTAAATTACAACCCTTAATAATCATTTAATGAACAATACAAGACCTTGTCCGGATTACTTTAATTATATGGACACTAAATAATGTAATTAGTTTAATAAATAAAAATATCCAGGACTACGTAGTTTTACTGTAAAAATCAAGATTCGAATCTAGGCGCCTTCTAAAGTAGTGCGCGCAGCGATATATGTAAATACGGAAGTATGACTTCAGTGCGCCGATGAGATCGATAAAATAAGACAATAGTTCACCATCATAAGGTAAAAAATAGACAAAAATAGTGGTCAGCATCATATTACAATAATTCAAGATAAAAATAATGTACAACATGGTTGAATAATGAAAAATCAGGCAGCAGAATCACAAGTGACAAGATAAGTTGTGAAACGGTCAGTCAGACAAGAGAAACGCATGGTAAAGTACACAAGAAGTTCGCGAGCGGTAAAATGACGATTTCACATAGATGAAGGTAAAGGAATACGCTGGTACTGAACATACATCAACAACTGGTAATTATAAACAGGTTCAGTTTAATTAAAACGATTGTTTTACCGTATTTACGAAGAAATTTAGAGATTAAAATTTGTAAACAAATGATCGAAAATGGGGGAAGTTGTCAAAACACGAACGGTAATACTGCAGGTTTTGTAAAACAAATCCGAGTTAAAATAAGACATAATAAATGCTGTTTAAGCTTAATAAATCACTTTAGAATCATGTACTATGATTATAGTAAATTCCCATCCAGAATAAATTAATTGTAAACAATATAAAGAGTTAGCATATGTATAAAGAGTTAGCATATGAAGGTCTCACATATTACACCACCCCCCACTTAAAAAAACAAAATTCTCCTGAATTTTAGGATTTAAAAAAAAATATTTAAGATAGCCTTACAGGAACATTCCTTTTCTTAATCTGATCAATGATAGTATCAAGTCTTTTTGTTCTCTTCAGGGAAGCCGATTCCAACATACAGAGAAAATCCTCGTCATCTGAATTCTTTGCCCCCTTCACAGCGATTTCACTGAGTTTCTTATAATTATAGAACCTTAGCTTTCTGTCTACCTCATCATCAGATGACATGGACGACTTGGCCGATCCGGGCAAACACAACATGTTATACCTTGAGAGAAGCTGTGCCCTGGAGAAGGAGATGCTTGCTGCTGAAAGAACGCCATTGGTTTCAAGCTGGAGTGCTGCAAATTCCCATGCTTGTAGTTTCTGGTCCGGGGTGAATGCCTCCCAGCCAGCTGGTGGCCAACACACTACTGCACCATTCATGGAGATCTCAAAGGTATCTATCCCCTGCCAACTTCTTCTTGCTGGGGGTAAAAGTGGCATGACCCCGAATTCAAGCAACTTGCGGGCTCTCTTCAAGGTAACCAGGTTGCCCACAGTGGAATTGTCAGCAAATTCTTCTTCTTCTGTGGTGGATGGAGGCAAAAATGATGATGTTGGTGATGCAGAAGAGGGTGCAGACATCGACAAAGAAGGATGACTGAGTTCATTGGGCTGGCTGGGTGTAAGGACTGTCTGGTCAGCTATGGCTTCAATAAAACATGTGGGTTGATCTGGAGGGAGAATTCCACTACTCAGTGCAGCTGGATCGGCAAACTCAAACAGTACAGAAGCTTTCAAGTCAGGAAAAACAGCGTCAGATGACTCTGGGACAGCGGACCTTTTGGCAGAAGAAATAGACTCCTCAGGACTAACAGCCAGTGGATGAGACAAGGAGGACTGGGTGATGGAAGGAGGGGCTGGGACCTCTGACTCAGCTGGACGAACAGTATCTGGACAGGCATCACCAGCTGGAGAAATGTCTGTTGTTGCAACTGTTACAGGTATTGCAATAAGCTACTCAGTTGTTTTAGGAGGAAGATCTGGCTTAGCTTGGGGTCCGTCTGCATTATTCGAGGTTCCTGGTCCCTGGGAGCCCGAAAAACTTGATGGTACATATACAGGTGGGGAGGTTCCCTTCCTAATAGACTCCACCAGCTTGGAATCCACCCTTAGCAGCTTTGACATCTCCTTGAGAAGAGAAGGCGAGGAAACAGATGTGAACAGAGTTGGAAGTTGGAAAAACGGATCCGGGCGGATGTTCTGGGACTTCCTCATGACCGACGATAATATCTGAGGATTGCGGCTTGCCTCTGATGTCATCACAATGTTGAACACTTCATCTTCCACTGACATCACGTGCACTCTGATCAGCCCACCTTCAATGTTGATTGCCTTGATGGTAAACTTCTCGTCAAGTTCAGGCTTTGATGGCGAGTACCCCCTCAGCTTCTTGACCACTGGACTAGGATCTTCTTCTAAGTCTTCTGAGTAGTCTGGCTTAAAATGTTCCTCCGGTGTGAGAGATGAGCTTCTTCCTACCTCCCAACCCTGTTCAAATTCCCGAAGTCTTCTGCTGCTCAACCCATTGTTTCTGATCCATGTGATCATTTCTGTCCTTGCCCTAGTGGCTGCCTCACTCCTCCAGGGATTGGGATGGACCAGTTTTTTGTAATCCTGTGGATGTAGGGCAAACCAGAATCCGTTGGCCTCGGAGAAGAAGTCTGCTGGCACGTCCTTCCATCTCCCCTCCTGTTTATGTGCCTCCAGGACATGAACCTTCAAATCTGCCATTCTCCGAAGAGACTTTTCCCGCTTTCCGTCCTTTACAGGGCAAAATGGGCATATCACGCGCATCCTCTCATGAGGCCGAGCAATCAGGTGATTCTTGCGATCTCTGTTGGTTTTAAACTTATCAGGGCACAACCAGCAGGCATAGATTGCAGAAGACATGCTGAAAACTGGTAAATAAAAATATCTGTAAGGCTCAGTATATTATTCTGAGCCGAGAACAACGCCGTCTGCAGATACATATTTAATTCTAGTAAAAACATTCTAAAATCCACCCCCTACCCTACTATTACTAATAAAAAAATTGACGGGATGGCCAGCAGGACAAGGAAAAGTAAAACATTTTACAACACACATACCTAAGGCAGATAGCAGATACCACAACAGAGGAGATGCAACACCAAGTGATCCCGTAGATCAAATATCACCAAAATAAAAATAGAAACAAAATACAGACCCAACATCCTCTTCAAGGATTCTTCATGGTCACCAAAAAAAAACGCAGGAGCACACCGTGGGTGATCAGGCCAGTTGTGCATCCTCAACCAAGGGCGCGACCCTTCACACAGTGCCATCCATAGACACTAGCATCCTCCTCACTTCATCATAATAAAAACACAACAACTTATAAAAAGAAAAATCTGCTCCCAAATCTACCCCTGTAATGTCTCAACAGGAATTACACAAAGCCCCGGTAGCGGAGAAACACAATTCCTCCCACAGGTACAATGGATACTAAACATTCCTTCCAGAAACATTACTCAATTACTGCGCAGAAAAGACCCGAGTTTCTCTCTGCAGCCTCCTTATCCATGCTGGCACATCCCTCCCCCTATACACTGATAAGCGATCTATGTGGTATAATTTTGCTTCTTTTCT